ATGAAAATCATCAGCATTTGATGATGAATTAGGAAGAATGCTAGTAGAAAGGAAGGTTATTCCTGGTCTGACCCTAGACCTAGTCTATTTTTGGTCCAACGTCAGACCAAAACAGCTGTCTAGGTTTTTTAAAGCACAGAATAGGGTCTTCATTCATTGGTATTTTTAATCTCCAACATCAAGATCATACTCTGATCCAATCATTGATCATCAACAGCTTAGCCCAGTAGTCATAATTTTAAGCCCTATCATTTATGCAAATTTTTATCACTCAGAAATAATTATTACTATTGTTTATCAATTGTCAAAGTTTTGGATACTGCATTTTCTTATTCATTGTTGAACCAAGAATGGATCAGCCTTGCTTCCCATCATGCACTGTTGAATCTTCCACTTTCATCAGAATATCAATAAATTCCTCAATGATTTTAACCAGCTTCAATTCCTGTTAATACCTAGAAAAAAAGGAATATACAACGGTTGGATTAAAACTAGAAATATTTAATAGCTTTTATATACCTACAAAACTTGAAACACCTGCAGGTTATGCTCGTATGGAAGCCATTAATGATTATAAATATCTTTATAAAATCAGTCACCATGTTCTTCATGGCTGTGAGATAAAAAATCTCACACTTTAATACCTACTATGAGATGCTGCTGCTACTGCCTATGTCTCTAAATGCATAAGCATATTTAAGTTACAAGAAAAATGACCTCGTTTCTGTCAAACTGAGGTTAAGTAACTACCCGCGTTACACTTCCTTTCACTGCGATTGCATACTGATCTTATATAGCAACATGAAATATATATATATATCTATACATTTATTCATTATAAATCGCTTCTTATTTCTTTTGTATCATCATAAATATCTTTTTTCATAACATCATCTTGATAGCTGATCAAATAATTTATTTTTCATTACTGGAAAGCATTTCAAATATTTTATTCAATTATATAAAAAAGAAATCTTTAATTATCATTTATTGCAGTTTTTATTTATCAATAATTAACATAATTAATTAAGTAAGCAATTATTACTCATGTTAGATAGTTTCTTTGATGATGATTAATATTTCTATCAACTTGAATGAACATTAGAATAATATTTACTTCAATTAAATATAAAACACTTTTTATTTTTACACAAATAAAATCGGTATGATAATCAGGTTTTATAACATTCCTTTATTGAATTGTTAAAGTATTAATCAATTTAAAATGAATGTAAATTTCCTAGATATCATGATAATGGTGATCATTGCTATCAACATGTTGCTATAAGTTAGAATCTAAAACCCAGATTGGGAGTTGATGAATTTTGTTTGCAATAAAAGCATGGAGATAACAGAAAGGTCTAAGCTGATTAGCTTTTAGGCTTTCTGATTGTTACGTTTTGACGTCCTTCACGTAGTTTTAGGATTAAAATAACAAATAAGATTAAATATGTTCATACTTACCAATTATTTATCAGATGTTAATGATCACTCAACTTTGCGGAAGAATCTGAAAGAAAAATTCAAAGTATTATAATTGAGATATAAGGAAAGTTAGATTGAATTGATTTACCATAAATTCACTGGCAATTGAATGATGTATATCATACCTAAGACATCTAGAAGCAAATTAGCACAATGCACTAGTAGTTGAAGTATCTGAACCTTCCATCAATCTTCTATGATCATGTTTTCATTGAAATATGTAGCAACTGGAAACACCCAAAGTATTTAAGCCAATAATTACCAACAAGTTGCTTTTAATTTGATCACTTTCTAATTTATCCAATTCCTTGGAGTCCATGAAAATTTCTGATTCTATCTCTGTCCCTCAAGCGTTTTTTATTTACATATTAAGGAAGTGAAAAGACTCTTTAAAGCAGCATGTAGTTGAACATTTCACGGAATTGGGCAGTATGTGATGGATTAAATTACCATGACTTCTATTGTTACATGTAATAGTGATATAAAAGTAACATGAGAATATTTTAACATGGCTATATCATAAGCTAAAGGTGACAGTTGAAAAGTATCATAATCAAGAGAAGAGAGAAAGAAATAAATATCTAGTGTAGTAGTTAGTTTCATTGGTATAACAACTACTCTTTTTCTCATTTATTTTTTCCTTTTCTTTCTTCCTTCTCCCTCTTCACTTACCTGTGCCATGAATTGAAGGTATGTAGGCTGTGCCACATCCCTGTCCGGAAACCGTTATCTGCTTCTACTCAATGGAGAACTCCATACCGTTGCCTTCCATACACGAATTTCCTCCGGACCACACTAATATTAGGAAAAAATTCCATTTAACTGTTTTTATTCAATTAAACCTTTTTTTTTTTAAATATTCATTCATTTACTTACCTTTATTACTTTCTAATATTTCCGATGATGAAAGACCCTAAATGATAATTGATTAGATACATTACTGAAAATTACACTTTGGTTGATTTATTGAGTTGGGTATGACAGATTTTGTAATTGACAATCAATCGATAGAATTTTTTTTCTTTTTCAAATTCTTTCAATATTCAAATTTGCATTTATAATTAGATGTGTTTAAATATATAAGATTAAAAATAAAAGCTTTGGAAGTTGGTAACACAGAGTAGCAAAATCATTTAGAAGGAAAGTTGACTTTAATAAAAATTTCCAACCGGTAAAACAACTTGGAAAATACATATCGAGTTGTTCGACAGTAACACCATCATTTGAGTGACATTAAACGATTCAAAGCTTAAATAATAAAATATTTATACTTTTTATGATTTCTTTTTTTTTAATTTTATTTTTATTACAAAATTTCTTTTTTTTTCATGGTTTAATTATTTACTTTGAAATGCAAATTAATTTTTTTTTTGGATTGTGTGAATTTTTTTTAAAATTGTAATTAAAGTAGACAATAACTGGATAATTCATCATTACGAGTCCCCTCGTTCTCATAGCCTACTTTTTTATGTAATTCAAGTGATTAAAATTTACTCGACTTTAACATCAAAATTATAAGTGAATATTTTTTTTTGAAAGTTTAGTAACACATTAAATTTTTTTCTTCTGTAAAATAATAATTAGTTCGTTTTGTAATTAATTATTTAAGTGAAACTTGTAAGTGATGTCAGCAATCTGCATATTTTTAGAAAAAATATGATTTATATGGAGAAATTAAGAGATTAATAATAATCCATTATAATTAAGTAGTTACCTTAATCTTAAAATATTTCATTAGTAATAATTCGTAATTAATAATTGCATTGAAATTCTAATGATAAATTTACTACTTGATTTAAGTAGTATCCAAATTAAACCATTTAACTTAGAACTTTAGTTCCATTTTGTGGAATACCATATTTCCGGCTACAATAGAGAAATAAAACACTACAAATAAAGAATGGACCGAAAAATTCTTTTACAAAAATTCCGTACGATAAATATTTCTTGGGTTATGAAGATTAACAATTGACCAATCAGGTGTCAGTTGCCGCGTCATAACGCCAGGCGTCGCACAAGATGCTGTAATTGTTATTTTATTAAGTGAAAATATTTTTATCTATCTAAATAAGTTAAAAGAGTGAAAACCATCGTTAATTCTTTATGCCTAAGTTTAATAAGGAATGTGTTTACTTAAGTCTGCATCCGAAGGTCTTATGTAGGTCCTACAAAAATTTTTTCTTAGGTTATCTTAATAAATTACAAGCTCAGAAAATTTTAAAAATTACTATTTCAATCGTAATAAAATTCTAATTATTATTCATCACGATTTTTATTTGTACAAGACCCGATAACGATGCCATTGAACACCAAACTATCATCCACAAAACAAATTCCTTACAAAACTAATGTTTCTATACGAAGAAAAAAAAGGTTCCTTCTAAGAACAGCATTCTTGATTACAATCAAGAAATATTTGATTTAAATGAATCTTTAAAAATGACTTTAATTTTCTTAGAAGCAGCATTCTTTTCTTTTTCTATAACCTCCAAAGAATTGACATCTAAAATTATTTACAATTAAAAACACAGTTGGTAAACCTGATGACAACAATCGGAAATGTATTACTAAAAAAAAAAAATGGAAAAATAAATAAACGTTATTATAATATAATCATATTTAACATTAATAAAATGATGAAATAATAATGACACTCTCAGTCAATATTTTGACACGGAAAGAATACTTGGAAAAATTCAAGTGATAAAACATTGAAAAAAATTTAGCATGAATTACCACATGTGAACACAAATATCCTGACGTAGTAAATGCAGGAACTTCTTATTTAGTTTTCTACGCTCTACCTAGTGTGTGCATAATCGAGGATCGGGAATATAATGGGGTTCTGTTTAGTCAAAGCTACAACGTGACCCGTATTAACTGCTTGAATGTATACACTTTAACTCAGCCACACGTGAAATTAGTTTGTCCGTTATGCATAGCAAGTTTATTTTTTCAATATTTTAAAACTTTTCAATAATTTTTCAAGGACACATTTCATACCAACTGTATAAAATCACTATAAATATCCAAGAATAATTGCATCATCATATCAAATAATAAATATTTTATATATTCCAATTATTATTTACAATTAAATTCATTTCAATAACATATACTAAAATAACTAAAAGCATCTTTCAAAATATATATATCAATAATTATTAAAGTAAATTTTTTATCTGGTAATTTTATTTGCTTAGGTGATAAAGATTGTTGTGCCACCACTGTAGAACCTGCTAACTAAATTGCTTCGTAGGGATTCATAACCGTAACGGCGTCGTAAACAAGCAGCTGAAGAGTCTCCAATCTAGGTTACCATTGTGCTACTTGTTTTCCTTACACGAGGACAGAGAATTTGAATAATTATTACATCTTAAATTCTTCTTTAAAAAAAAAAATATCAATTTTCATTCTCTACTTCAATGAACAAAAAAAAAATTCCTAATTGGTTTTTAGTGACGAATATTTACCAAAAAGAATTTTTTTTTTCTTAGGTTGGTATGATAAGAAACAAAAAAAAAACATGATAACGACATTGATCTCGCGAAGCAAAAGTACATATGTAGTAATCAGAACGATCGTATTCCTCATAATATTTGATATCTAATTTAGGTTCTCGGAATACCAACACGTTCGTCACACATATGCGCGATGATTAAGTGTAGTCAAGTGGTGGGGAGGTATTGCCTTGAAATCATGTGACCAGCACGAACGGGTATAAAAGTCGCATGAATCGTATGTTTAGTAGCCACTCCAACAGTTGGCTCCAACGTAAAATGGATACTGGCGTTAATAAAAACAAGTTAACGCATATACAAATCAAGGAAGCTAAATTTCTGCCCAGGGATTTAGTGATTAAAATACCAGACAAAACAAGGTAAAGATAATACTAGGGGATTTAAAAGGGAAACTTAAAGATCATTTGACACTACTATTGAGGTAGGTCGTCAAGGTCGAAGAACAAAAGAGTTCATTACCCTCGTCTTCTTCTTTTCAAACACGGATCATTGAACACAAAGGAAGAAATTCCACATACCAAATATTGTCGTCTATTATTTGACGACTTGTTTTATGTGATTTTTTAATTACCCTAGTGGGAGGATGGTAACATTGGAAACCAGATTATCCTAGTGTTGGTCCAGGAATGCTTCCTACTAGGGTAATCTAAGTTGACATAAATAACCTAGACATTGAGGTCATCTACCAATATAAGATAATAAAAAAAAAAGTAAATTCAATGTTATTTCAATGTCAAATTGAAAATAAAAAATAACTAGAATATTCCATGATGATTAATGAGATCATCATTTGAATATCTTAACCTATAAAAAATATTCAGTATACTCCGAATGTTAACTAATTTCATGTCTATGTTAATTCGTAACACGAAAAGAACTAGTGTTGGTAATAAATAGAATTAACCAATTGAGTGATTGGCATTCTTCTGTAAGTCAATTACAATTGGTTTATCCAACTTGGACTTGATTTAGTGTAAATTTTAAGCCATTGAGACAAAGGATTTGCAGTTTATGGGATTTATTAATTAAACATAACCTTCAATATGAGATAATTGGAGGGTGTTATAATGAAACTGATAGATGAAGCAAGGACGGGGGGGAGGGATATAAAAATGTCGAGAGAAACGTAAATGATTATTTCCGGATATGGTATAGGTTTACTTTCATTGCCGTTCACTTGATAAATTTTTTTTTCTTCTTTTATAGAAATTTCTTTCTTTCGACATTACTTATTACAAACAACGATACTTTAAATTCTTTAGAAATTATGATTATATTAATGACAATGAAATTGTTTATACCAAGATAAATTCATTCGTGTAAGATATATAAATTTATGACGTCTGTTTTTTTTTTTTTTTTGTTAAATCTTGAAAAGAAGCCGAACTGGGTGAAGGGAGCAGAGCAGGGGAAACGAGACAGACAAGGACATCCGTGTACTCACATATAAATTTAAATACATATGTATACATAGGCGTGCGCAATTCTTTTTAAATGAAACACAAGATAACCTTTGAGTTGGTATAATATTAATGATAATCATTTTATTATCATCTAGAATTTATTTTAATTAAAACCCAATGACTTTAATTCTTCATTAAATAAACTCTGTTTTAGAGGTTATGTTTTTTTTGTTATATTGAAAAAAATAGCCATCAATTGTTGACAGACAAAGAAGAATTAATTGTAAACAATTTCAGAATGTTAAAAAAAATTTACATAGTACAGGAAAGTATAGGGAAATCGTATGTATAACCTTCAAAAAATTAAATAGCATTAAAATCCGGTGGATTTATGATTGAAAAATTTTTTATTGTCATTCTATAATTAGATATACGTTAAAATCACACGACTACTAGACTGTAATGATGCACTTAATGCACAAATGATTGAAAAAAAAAAAATATGTATGAGACAAGAAAAAAAGTATCAACGTTTTACTTGACCATCTTAATTTAGAAACAAACCCAGAGCCGTGTCGAAAATGACACCAAGCTACGACCTCGTTTTTCGTGGGCATATTGAGTGAGCAACACAACTTAAGTAATACTCTCTTGGTGTAGACATACTTCTGGTGTCATACGGAAGCTAAAGAATTCCCACCCACAGGAATTATTATTCTATTTTTAATCCTACTGATTTCATAACACCCCTTTTTTTCCTTTCCATTATACCCAAAGAGTTTGATTATTATTATTATTATTTAATTACCAAATATTATTCTGACAAATACAAACCTAACCTCTAATGACTTATCATTTATGGTATTTATCAAATAATAATAGACCTATCAGCTATTTTTAATCAACCTAAATACCAATTTATTATTAATTAAGTCTCAAATAATAAAATGACAGTAAATATTTAATAAAGATAGCAAGTATATAAAAAAAATGAGTTTTAAAGAATAATGTGAATTGGTGTTCTCAGAATCGAATTATAATATCGATTATATTACAGCTGAGTAATTAATTCGATAACAATCGATATATCGATAGCAATAACCCTAGCGTCGTTATCGAAATATTATGCTAATTCTAACCTATAAAATATCACAATACTTTGTATGTTTTTAATGTTGGATTAAAATATCCACTTCGATAATAAAAAATGTGATAATAAAATAAAAAAGAATGAAAGAAGAAGATAGGACAATATCAAAAATAAATAAAAGCAGCCAAACGAGTTTTTCTGGTATCCTCACTTCTCAACGATTCCACCAACTATATTACTTACATTATAAAGAATATTTTTTGACTATCTAGAACTTTGATAAGTCGTCATTAGCATTAACAACCTATTTACTAATCCATTAAAATAACAAATACATTAATACGAATAAAAATAGTTACATTTTATAAATTATTATTCAACCATAACCTTCAAAATATAGGTAATAAAAAAATATTCTTATTTCTCGAGTAATTATTAACTATTTTTGTTTGATATTATGATCATTAAATAAACAATTGTTAATCCGCCATTATCAAACGTCAATGGAGACGAAAAAATATGTATGCGTCATTGAATAATAATTACCTATTAAAGCATAAATTTTCAATATCTGTTTGAACATCAAAATAATATATTATATGAAAACAAACGAAATTAAAAGGATATAGAATTTATGATAAATAACTCAAACATTAGTTTAAGTTGATGGCCTCGATATAACCTCCAAATTTGGGCCGTGCAATCGGAATCGACAACCTACTGACACACTATCGATTTATGTCGTCATGAAATGGTACTTTAAGTGAAGCTCGGCATCTTGAATAGAAGAATTATCAAAAATAGATAAAATTCATCGTTACATAATAATAATGCTAATAATTATCATCATATCCAATGTTTACATATTTTTATTTATTAATCCATTGTAAGCAAAAACCTCAGTTGATTCATGTCGAGGTCAAGACAACCTTTAAATCAATCAGACTATTGTGTAAATAATTTTCCTATTCAATAATATCTTTTTAAAATGCTGATAATTAAGAAAAAAACATCATCAGCTTCCTACATACATATTTTCTTTTTTTTGCTTTTAAATAATTTTTTTTAAGAAACTTAGAAGTAAATAATAATGACTGTAAATTTTTGTTTCAGCATCTTTCATTTCCATCAACACAATCCAACCATGGATCTGTTCGCTTTACCTTCAGTCTATCGAGCAATCAAGATATTGAAGGCCCTCAGGGTGCTTTTGAATGTATTCAACAAACCAGTCCAAAGTACGTTTTAAAATCATTTTTTTTTTCCTATTAGTTCCATTACTGCAACTATTTTTAGATACATCTAGATATACTGTATAAAAACAAATAGTATAAAATAATAATAATAATTATGGTAATTAATTACAGTAATTTGGAGAGTCTCGGAACGCTGCCATGTAAAATGCGAATCCAAGCAAATGACGATGTCTATGAAACGACACGACATCGTATGGCAGTGGCTGAGGAAAATAATAAAAATAAATGGTAAGTGTTTAATTACAAAATTCAGTCTAGGTGTGACCCGAAAGGTCCACATGACTGACTTCTCAGTGGAAAGAGGCAAAATATTAAAAAAACACTTAATTGAAAAAAAAATGCTAATATTCATAGAATTTGCACAATTGGATTTATTAAATAAAATTTCCATTGAAAAGTACATTATTTATAACAATATTATTTAATTAAATAATTTGTGATAATCTAAATGATGAATAAAAATTGCAGTACTAGGGTGATAAAACCAAATGGTCCTGATATTGGGAGAAAAGTGAAGGTGAAAACAACAACAAAATCATTACCACCTCCAGCAAATATTAGGCATCGTGAATCGATCATTCCAAATTCTACCAATAAATCAATGAGAGTTAATTCTTCTTTACCATCATTATCAACATCATCAAGCAATCAAGTACCAATTCCAACACCACCAACATCAGTAGTATCATCTATTAAATCACACAAGCCTGTTACAACGAACAATAATCCTCCAGCTCGACAACAATCTGACAAAAAGATGTCTGAGTTGATGCGAAGGCCACTCAAGGAAAGACTCATACACGTACTAGCCTTGAGGCCTTACAAGAAGCCGGAATTGTATGATCGTATTGTTAAAGGTAATTTATTTATTAATTTAATTTTTATGAAACCATTTTTTTCTTTTTTTAATCCTCATTCAACATTACCTATCTCTCTTTCTCTCTCTTGGAAAGATAAAAGTATTATTATTTATTGAAATAATTTTATTTTTTTAGAGGGTATCAAGGAACGTGAACGTTCTACATTGACGTCAGTTATAAGACAAGTGGCTTACATGCGTGACAACACGTATCATCTGCATAGGCACGTGTGGAATGACGTACATGAGGATTGGCCATTTTATACAGAGCAAGATAAAGCGATGTTGAAGAGACGTAAGCCCCAAAATTTAACTCCTCCAGGTTCTAGTGATGGCTCAAGTGGTAAATTTTTTTTCCCATCTTCATTATTCGCTGATTAATTAGGGAAAGCATGACAATAGATGGACTAAGTCTAAGAGATGGATAATAAATAAAGAAGCCAATGGTTTATTGATTGATCAGACACTGGTCTGAAGGTTCAAAAATATTGGAGTTTATTTTGATATTCAGTTTTTAACAATGTGTCCATCTTTTAGGTGACGATCACCTATTGGTTTACTCACCTTGTTTCAAAATACCTACTCAAGTCTTTGATCATCATTCAAAATGTATTACACTGAGAAAAAAATTGACTGAATAAGAATGATTGTTTTTCAATGATTAAAATGGAAATTTAGAATAGTCTTGATAAAATATTTGATCTTCCAACAATTTTTTCATTGAATCTGAATGATTTTAGATAAAATTGTCTAGAGTGTTGGTTTGTTATCATTTTTTGATTGGATCCAATGTATTTGATACTTTGAAGCAAAGTTTTTTCTAACATCAAAGAGAATTAGATGGATTGAGTTGAACAATTAATTGAATGAATAATTATTTATTAAGACCCATGGTGTCTGGAAGAAAGAGAATTATCTCAAATAATCAATCAAACATCATTTGTATTTAGACCTATCATAGTATTGAACCAAGTGACAAGATACCTTTTCCAACCAAATTATCATTCAATCAAATCAAATATTTTATTACCAATATTCAACATTTTTTTTATTGATTAAATTGAAAATTATTTCTCAGTCTATTAATTGTTAATAAATTAATGTTGTGTTTAAATAGACTTGTATGGTATTTGGAACAATTGATTTAAAACGAAAAAAATGATTTACTCTCTCAGCTTGAATTAATAATCATTTTATCACACAATAACAGAAGCAAGTGAGATACTTTAATCCGCTCTTCTTTATTACAGTGTATGCAATAAAAATTTTCGTCACATTTTTAATCAAAAGCTACATTTTTTAAAAATATTTCTAGTAAAAAATGAAATCTTTTGATAAAATAGTGACAGAATGGTTTGTCAAAAATTGCTTTGATTAATTTGCTTGAATCAAAAATTTCTTCATCTTGAAGGTGACGGTCTTATTTCGGATTAATTAAAAAGAAAAAAATATTTTCTCATACTATTATTCAAAGTTAAAGTTTGCTTCCTGTTTTTAGATCGTAAATAAACGCATGCCCAGACGAATTTTGTTTTTTACTGCGAGTGAGAAAACGTCACTTTTCTCACCTTAAAACAGACAGAACTTTAATTTTGGATGACGATATGATGAAAAAAATAGTACATTGATTATGAGAGTAAAGTAAAAGATCCTTGGGATGTAATTTCACATCCGGGTGGAAATATCATACTTTACTCCCTTGGTAAACAATCTACTATAACATGCTTGGATTGAAAAAATATTTTGATCATCACTTTTGCATGTAGTGAATAAATTTCATCAACACACTAGATGTTTCAATGCAATCCAGTGTAGATAAAATTATTCAAATTTTGAGAGTAATGTTGATAAAAATGAAATAATCATACTAGCATATCTTAAGTAAAAAAATTATATCAATTTTAATAAACCAATAAAATCAACAGGTAGTGGACAATCACCGAATTCGAATCACCCAGGATCACCAACAGCAATTACAGCTCCACCGCCAAATTTAAATTACAAAAGACCAGGATATTATGAAGGAAGTGATGGATTTCAGACAAAACGACCGCGAATATCACATTACCGTAAACCAGAGGCTAATTCTCGGACAGAAGGAAATAATAATCCATCAAGTGTTATTAGTGGAAATGAGGCAAACAATTGGGTTGATCAACGGCAAAATTGTGATCGGGTTGATTATGGATTGGCTGAAAGAACGACTAATAGTGAAGTGATAAGAGGCAACGTAAAACCGTGTTTAACACCAACAAGTGATTGTGAAGAAGTCACTAGCAATCGTTATGCTGTTAATTGGCCGTCTAATCAACAAATTAGTAACAACAATAACCATAATTCTAGTGTTTCTAATAATAATAATAATACTAATGGTAATGATAAAGTGTCAGGAAGGAGTGAAAGTGCGAATTTGGATTATATCAATCGTGGAGTGAATAATGAAAATGGAAGGAGAAATCGAGAGGAACGTCGAGATAGGGAACGAGATCGAGAACAAAATAATGTTAATAATAATGTGAATGAGTGTGATTTCCCAAATCTCGGTGCTTCCAATTATCCTGGTAATCATGGACATGGTAATGGATCTCTTTCACTTCCTGAAGCTTCACCAGCTGTTCCAAGTGATTCCAAACCTCCAGAATATCCTGACTACCTCACGTAAGTATTTTTTTCTTTTTTATTCTTCTATTAATGTTCATTAGAAACCTTTTTCTATCATCCACCATCTAATGTTCTCTTTTCTAAATATTTTAAATTTAAATGATGGATTTGAGATTAAGTATAATTATTGTTAATTATTCTATTGCACTTAAACTCAGCTCCAATGATTTTAATGAAATAGTTGATAACAATTTAGAGATAATAATAAAATAATTTCAGTCAATACACAACAATTAGCAGCATTGAGCAAAGGAAACGATATAAGCAAGACTTTTATAATGATTATGAAGAATATCGAAGGCTGTATGAAGAAGTTAACAAGGTTTCGAAACGGTTTGCTCAGCTACAGGAACAAAGAGAACGGGCACTTGAACTGAGAAATTATGAAAATACTGAGGTTAATAAATATTTTTTTATTATTATTCAAAATTAATTATTGTCTTAAGGCTGGGCTGGAAAACTTTTTAGCATTTGACTAAATACATTTTTATTACTGTGTTTTATTATGTTGAATAATTTTATTTACAATGTAGTAAGGTGGGAAAGGATTATGAGAGATAATTAGTTTTAACACAATTTCAATAAACAATAAATAATAAATTATTTTCTATTGACGGCTATGGAGCATTGAAACATCTAGTATCTGGTTAAAATGATAAAATTTTCATTAGTGACATTTTACGTGAAATAATAGTAGATTATTAACCTAGGGAGCAAAGTATGACATTCCCACTCGGGACGTTTTCTCAATCTAGTGAAAGACGAATTTCGTCTGCGCATGGGCAAAGGGATTTTTTAAAGGGAAAAATCGATGGAAAGCCCAGCCTTAAATCTAAAATAAATGAAAAAAAAAATTATTTTAATAAAAAAACAATATTATTTTTTTTATAGGCACTTGAAAAACAAATATTGGCTGAATATATAGCAACTAAAAGTGATCCAGTTAAAATGGAGGCTAAAAGACGTTACCAATATCTCCATGAAAAGTTAGGATACATAAAAAGATTAGTGTTTGAATATGACAATCAATATTTTGCTGATGGTGATACAAATATAAAAAATAACAACGGTAAAAGTGTTAATGAGGGTGATTTGCGATACTGACATAGACTTAAATGGCCGTCGTCGCTCAATCATTATTTACTTATGATCCAAGTTATTAATAAAATCCAACAACAAATTGTTAATGTGGAGTTTAGACATATTAAATATGCATTTGCTTATAAAAAAATAATAAATTTTATCAAATTAATCATAAATGTGTGATCAATTTAATTACAAACTAATCGTCATCGTGACGTCGCCAATGCCATTTTAAAAAAATAAATTGTATATTGTAAGGAGAACAAATTTTTTTAAATTCATGTTAAAAAACGAAAAAAAAAACAAATAATAATAACATTCAACATTTTCCTACATTCAAGTATATATAAAAAAAATTATAAAAAAATAAAAACAAAAATAACAAAAAAATAAAAATAGAGTGAAAATGAAAGCAAGAATTATTATTCAAACAACAATAAAAATGTCATTTGTTGCAAAAAAAAAAAGAAATTGAATATTAGAAAGTCAATAGATAAAAATGAAAAAAATCATTGACAATCTTCATGAAGAAGCGTCCAAGACTGTCCAAACGATGATGGAATGATGGAACTGATAAAAGAAGAAGATAGTAAAAAATAGTACGCAACAATTAAATAAATAAATTAAATAAATAATAATTAAAAAAAAAAAGTCCGACTATTTTATCGTCCATTAATTGAAAACGTTTTTTTCACATTAAAAATTATAAGAGAAAGAATGTTGAAGAAATTTATAAAAAAATTAAAAAAAAAATGCTTCTCATTTTATGTGAAAATAAAAAAAAAATAATAATTAGAAATTTTTCTTGACGTTTTTTATAATATTAACAGAAAAAAGATTAATAAATAAACGTCATATCTAATGATATATCGATTAATCGATGATTAATTGACAAAATTGAAGAGAAAAAAATTTTTTTCTTTTAATTATAAAATATTCCAAATGGATTAAAACAATTCAATTATCACTTAATCATTTTTTAATGATCGATTAATCGTTCGACTTGTACAATTAATAATATAACGAACTGATCTATTAATTTATCTATTGTACCCATACACACACACACACACACACACAAACATATTGATTTAGTCGTATCGTGATATATATTAATTAATCAACTGTTTAACAATGTTGATTAATTTGATCGTTACAACAATAGATGAATTGATTAATCGGAATCTATGAAATAAAATATTAAATAAATAAAAAAACGAATAATAATAATTATCAAAATAATAATTACTCGGTGACGCCGACAGTGTCGATAATATATTAAATTTTATTTTCATTCATGAAAAAAAAAAAAACAGCAAAGTAACAAGAATATATTAACATTCATTTTAATTTTTAAATGGGCAGTAGAAAAAAAAACAAGAAATGTTTTATTTTTTATTTCATTATTAAATCGAGAATGCATCGTGCATGAGGGTATATTTTTAGATAATTTTCATTAATTAATTAATAAATCATTACTTGTCGATAGATGCATAGAGAATTGTTTGAATATTTTCTGTGTATCTTCAATTAAATGCTTTTATAATTATTATTATTACCGATTATAAATATGTATCGTTATTAATCTTATTATTATTAATTAATTATTCACATTATTATTATTATTATTTTATTATTATTATAGTTAAAAAATGAAATGCGCTAAATATTTTATGAAATGTATATTAAATATATATATATATATAAATAATATAAATAATATAATGATACAGCCTGAAGTCATATCTCATATTAAAAATAAAAAAAAAAAAATGAAAGGAAATCGTTTAGAATAAATAGAAAGAAATGATTTAATTAGTCGTCATGAATAAAAAAAAATGAGTCCGCTTCCTTTGAATTTGTGCCAAAAAATGTAGATTGAATTTAAGTCAACTGAATTAGAGAAAATTTGTTTGAATATTAGTAAGTTCTTTTTTTTTTTTTAATGTAAAGAAAAAAAACAATTAAATTAATGTTGTTTTTTTTTTTGTAATCTTTTACATTGTTATCGTTATTATATTGGCTATTTCATGACGATATAAATGTGTGCAAGTTGCCAATAGTCTGGAAGTAATTAAAGCTCAGTTAATTATTATTATTATTATTTTTTTTTTATTTGTTATTGTTAATATTCCATTGATGCGCACATTTAATTAATTCCAGACAAATAGTTGATGACTATTAATTCATCATAGATATTGAAACAATTGATTAAGAGCTCAAACTCATAAGGGTTGTGCAAAAAAAACAAAAAAATGTTTGAATAAAACAGTAGATTAAATAAAAACTAACAACCAATAAAATAAAACTAAATTTTAAAAATTAAAAAAAAAAATAAATTAATAAATATTATGCACAAAAATCCAACTCAGGTTGTGACAAAAAGATGTAATAAATATTCACACGATAAAAAAGAAATTGTCATAAATAAAATTTTTTTCTTTTTTAGGTAATTAATTAACAATTTGTTACATACATTCATTCATTTGTAATAATTATTATAATTAATATTAATTATACAACTCATATACTCAAAACACATCAATGTTCTGTGCAAAATATTGATTTTCCACTTATAAAATAAATCAAATGAAATTAAAACTAATTATTAATTAATGTTATTAATTAATAATTAAATTGTTAAATAATTGCGAATTTTGCGGCACAATGATATTACTATTATTATTATTGTCATAATTATAATTATTAAATATTATTATTGTAATTACTATTATTATTTAATATCTTCTCTTCTTTTTTTCTATTAATTATTGATTAAAGTTTGATTATTACAATTAATGGCCAGATTTTTCATTTTCAATACTTATTCATTGTCAACAATAGTTTGATTTATTTCAATTAATTAACAGAAAGATGCATTATTAATTTTTAATTTAAAAAAATTCAATTTTTAATTTAAATTTTATTTTATTCATTGGAAATGAATCTAGAATTAACAGAAGTGCCAAAAAAAAAGCCTAGAAGAAATTTTGATAATCACTAAAATAATATGCGCTTCCAATGTCTCGATAAAAAATGTCATCATTTATTTTTCGTTTGAGTAAAAATAATTTAAATAATTTTTTAAGACTTAAAAAAAATAACGAATTTAATAATATCATTGATTTATTAAATTAATTCATTGATGAGCTTAGAAAAAAAAAAAAAGTATCAATAAATCGATGTGTTTATAATGTATATTAAAATATAATTAATCATTAACTTTTAAAATCAGTTATTTTTACATAACATATAAATATGTCTGACTATTGTTTATTGCGGCCTTACTTAGAATAAACTTTCTACCAATTAACTGTACATAATTTTCTCTTGAATTAATTTTTTAAGAAAATCATCTAAAAATGTATCCTTGTTTTTTTTGCTTGCTTTTTTTTTTTATTGATTATTTAATTTGCACGTCGATCGTTTCAAGTTTGTTATGCCCATGAATTAGTTAATAAAAATAAAGAATAATAAATTTATGAAGTGAGCGTTAATTTTTTTTTTTCATTTAATAAAATGTAATTAAATAGAAAAATTCAATTTAAAACTCATTGTCGTGGTAATTATAATGTTTGACTGTGATGCTACGATTATTATTATTACTATTATTATTATTATTATTATTATTATTAGCGAATTATAAACTTTTTTTTTTAAATAAATAGACTCTGTTAATCATTTTTGTGTCAAGAATTATGAATTAAAAATATCTTTAAGATTTAAGAATATTATTATTAATTTTTTTTTTATTGCTTATTGCTCGAAATGAAGCGTTATAATAATTATTATTGACACTAGAATAATTCAAACAAACGAAATAAATTTGTTTTTATTTTTTAACTGACTCTTAATTGACATATTAATGCTTAACAGAGTCCAGTAAAAAAATCCTCTTATTAATGGCGAAAAAAATTTGATTTGTGTGCCGTAAAAAATAAAATATTAATAAATAAATGGAAATAAAACGATTGAAATATTTATTGCGATAATAAATAAAAGATGTATGTAAACTTAATCCTATCACAATACAAGAGTGAATTAAAAAGGAAATAATATTATATAATTTCGTTGAAATAAATATGCTCAAAAATGCTCATTAATCCATTTTCTCAATGCCATGTCCATTTTTATTGTTATTATTTTTTTTTTTTTTTTAATGTGTGTTATTTATTAAAAAAAAAAAAAGAAAGAATTATTAATCGACACATGTCCGTCACTGTAATAATTACTATGGGATACAATAAAAAAAACTCTAATGTTAGAAAAAAAAATGAAAGAAAGATGAAATAGATGTAATCGAAATTTTTTCAACTAATAAATAATAGCAGATTAGTTACCTTATGTTATTATTATTATTATGATTATTATGATAGTTGATACTATTATTATTTCTCTTAATGTTTGTAAGTTAAGTGTTGAAAATGATGATTGTATGCTTGGATTTTATCATTTGTGGAAAATAATAGCAAAGAGTGAGAGAACTGTGAGAATTCCAAGCAGGAAAAAGTTTAAATATTAAGAAAAGTGTTTCATGATGATTAAAAAATGATGATTATTATTATTATTAATTATTATTGAATGAAAAAAAAATAAAATGTATAAATCAATTAATTATTATTGTTATTAAGTTGTCCTAGACTTTTTAAATTAAGTTGATAAGTATTTAAAAATTTCTTTTAGGTTAGAAAAATTCTTTTTTTATTTTTTAGCTTATAAAAAAAAGCTTCATTTAAATATTTAACGTCAAAATAATGCATTCTTGTGTTCAATCAAAGCTAAACTTTACAATTAACAAACAAAAAACAGCAAAATACTGACTTTTTTCTTATTTACTTGATTTCTTTCCATAATAATTTTTTTTTAATGCAATATAAACATTTTTTGATAGTCTATTTGTCTATAAGGATCGTAAAAAATGATATTTTGTTAATAATAATTGCCAAAATCTATCAAACAAGAAGTTGTGAGGCATAAAATTTAAATTTCCCACTAAAACGTTGAGCTGCGCAGTCGCATGTTGTAATAAATTCCGATTGCGCATGCAATTGATAATATTGATAGACTGAAAAAAATAGTTATTAGATTTATTTACCAATATTTGACATAATTATGCACGAATTTATGAATAAATACAAAAAGTGTCAACTAAATAGTGCATTTAAGTGACGTGCTGATATTTATAACCTACAAATAAATTAAATGAATACAATAATAAGTTATTGAGCGAACTGTGTTTTTATAAAATTGACACGAAAAATAGAAAATAAATATAAATTTTTAATAAACTATTAGAAATGACTACGGAGATTGAAGATAAGGTAATAACATTTTTAAAAATACAACAAATAAGTAATTATTTAATCAATAAATAAATCTAAAGGTCGTGCATATTTTTTAAATATAAATTCCTATGTTTTATGATAGATTCAAAAGCTTAAACAACAAGGCAATGATTGTTTTCATCAGCAAAAATATGCTGAAGCCATGTTCCACTACACCCACGCTATTAAATTAGATCCAAAAAACCATTCATTATACAGTAATCGATCCTATGTCTTCTTGAAGCTCCAACAATATCATTTCGCCATGGATGATGCATTGATGACAATCAATTTAAAGCCTGATTGGATAAAGGTATTCATGCTTATTAAATCACTGACTATTCTATTCTAATTAATTCATGTATTTATGATGAATATAACATCAATTGTTTGGTTATTTAGGGTTATTATCGCAAAGCTGAAGTGGAGTTTCATACTTTTAGGTTTAATGAAGCTCTCAAGTCTTATGAACAAGCTCTTCAACTTCAGCCCAATGATCCTGATATTCTAAAAGCGATTAATAGAACGTCTAGATCCCTTATTAAGGATCAAAGAGGTTAGGATTTTATTTATTAATCAAGAGATTATTTATCTTCATGTTTTTTATTTTTTTTGATTAACAATTGATTCATTGACACACCTTCTTTTTAAGCTGACCAACAAATTCCGTGGCTTGGAGCTGGTATTGGTATTATTCTTGGAGTGATTGTGGTTATTGCTGATTATGTTTTTACAAACAAACCCACATTAACGGTAAAACATTCAATGGATCTAGAAGATGTGCATCTATATGTTGGAGGAATAGATTGATTATTATTTATTATTATTTTTTACATCATAAAAAAATTATTTTCACAACATGTTGATGATAATGATGATCATCTCCAACAGAAATGATCATTTACTGATGATTGGATTGAATTAAGCAACCCATGACTCTAGATACTCCAAACCAGGAATGGAGTACAGGCTTGTTCTAGCTATTTTAAAGATGAAACTGATGATGTTAAAGTAGAAAGGAATTGGAGACAATGCTATGCTTCTAATATTTAACATAATTTATAGTTAAATCTTTCAAAAGTCTAGACTGTTTACAGATTATCTCCAGTTAATCCTCGCTGAACAATCACCTAAGGTCTCGTAAAATTTCCAATCTATTTCGTAAGCATCCTAGGCATTGGCTCCATTTTCCAAGTCAACCTCTCTTCAAATAATACCAAACACCTTTATTATGAGACTACACTTTCCAGATGGCAGAAAATATAAGTCCCTTTGAAGATTAAGAGTACAAGAAGATTTACAATGAGAATTATATTAAGTGTCCTAGGTACTTAGAGATGCTCTGATAGCCTGGGCCAGAGGTGGGCGTCTCTTAAGAGCCCAAGTGGCTTCCCAGGTATCATTTTTCAAAGCCACTGCTCCAGTGAGTAAAAGTGAGAGAGGGATAAGACTTTTCTAGGTAGACCTTTTTACTGGTGCTTTGTGGAAGTCAAAGTTTGTCCACCTTTAGCCTAGTCTGTCCAGTTAATTATCAATACTAGGGTTATTTTAATTATTATTAATATTATTTAGGGATGTTTAATTATATTTAAACTATCCAATGATGATATCTATCACTCCAACATATATTTTGATGCAATTAATTCAAAATAATTATTAATAAAAAATTTTGTATCATCTAGCATCCACTACTGATGGCATTACTAACCATCTCCATTGCAATGTTGGGTTTTGCCATAGCCAAAGGTTTTCGATACTTTGTCAAGTGTCAACGAAAGTCTCTTCTCGAGCCACCTATTGATTTAATGAATGATAATAATCAAGCTAACGACAAAGAATCAAACAATGAGAAGACCACTGATAAGCATCCTAAGTATAGCAAAGCTCAAGCACGTCAAAGATTTAAAAAAGGGAAAACGTAGCGTGAATTTATTTTATCATTAAATTCTCAAATGTATTGCATCAATTTCATCAATTATGAACATTATTTAATAATGTTAGAGATAATCCTTTTTAAAATTATTTAAAATAATAGACAGCTTGTTTGTTAGTTATCCTGTCTAACATCTTTTCTATTTATCTTGATAATTATTGTAATAAAATTGCGATAAAAACAAATGTTTTCTTTTTTTGTAGCATGTGAAAGTCTATGAATCATCTGTCATTGTTGATTTTCATTACACATGAAAAAGATAAAGTTTAAGATTATATTTATAGGATTGCGTAATGATCTATTTTAAAATTTAGTTGCTAAAATATTAATATGTGACTCAATTTTCGTAGAAATTTGGTATTAACTCTTCAATAATATATATAATATTTAAAAAAAAAGCATAATAAAAATTTTAAATAATATAAATATGAAGAATGTAATTAAAAAAAAATATTTAAATTAATTTAAAAGCTTAATTTTTAGTGAAAAAAAAATTAAGATTAATTTTGGTTATTTTTTTGCGGTTATAAAGATGATCAAGATACTTAGCAAACATCATTTTAGGCTGAATCTTTTTTTAGATCTCCATTGTCTGAACTAATCAATCCCAAAAGAATGATTTGAAACCATGAATATACCCCAAGGGGTTTTTTTAAATCAATTTCTCCAACAAATTAACCTAAAAAAAATTAACCGAAAAAATACGTTGATTTTTTTTTTTATAATTCATAAATAATAATTAAACATTAAAATATAAGGAAAATAAGTCTCGATGATGGGTGTAGCATAAGGGTTATGTTGGATACTGAAAACCATTAAAAAGAAAACTAACCTAAAATAATGATTAAAAAAAATGCTTACAAAATATGGAACAATAAACAGCGAATAAATATGAATTATTTAATGCAAAATAATAAGGAAGAAAGTGAGGAAAAGGTGACAGTTTAACGGACGCTTGAACAAGTGAAAATCGCCATTTGATCAACTCTTCAACTTGTCATCTTGAGACTGATGCGCGCGCACTAGTTTCCCCCGTACTTTGTTTCATCCCCCTACCAGCAAATCAGTGAACTTCAATTGGCTATAATTAGAAGAGAGGGAGCAAGTTGAATCTGAATAAATAAGAGTGGGGATAGAAGTATGGTGGTGGGGTTATGTAGTAGTGTGGAATGGAAAGACTACGTTGTGGTACGAATGCGCAATCGCATTGCGAACAGTTTCACGAGTTGAGTTCTTTAGTGACGAGAGACGAGGAATAAACAGGAGGGTTAGAGAGACACAACGTAGAGCGAGAGAGAGAAGATAGGACGAGGCAAAAGCGATCACGATGCACGGAGGAAACGGCAAGCGGCCACAGGCACAGGGCTGAAAGCTTGAAGGCTTCGGCCAGGGGCTCATTTACGTCATTTAATTAATCGAAAAATTTATACAACCATGGAACAACCTAAAACAGCATCGTCCAGACTACTAAATACGTCCTGCATCGAGAACAAGGACGACTTAGAAGAGGTAATATTAATATTTTAAATAGTTGCTTGATACGTATCAAGTGCCATGTCCGCCATTGTTGCGATGGTCGCGCATTTTATACCACGGCGCTACTTGTTCTGTTTCATACTTTTGGCGCGATATTTAACTTTTATCAATTATTTATTTTATTAACAACATTTTATTTAGTTTAATAAAATAATTATCATCTTATTTATTTATGAACTATTTTTCTTATCAATTTTTATCTTCATGTAAAATTAAATGATTTTAGAGGTTATAAAATTGATATTGGAGCCAACGTAAAGCTATTTTATTAAACAAATATATTTTTTATATTATTTTATTCAATAATTAATGACAATTATATAATTAAAATCTTTTAATAATTACTAGTTTATTATTTAAATAATTATTAATCTAAAAAAAGAATTAATAAAATTCGTTATTTATTTATTTATTTTTTTTTGCAATTATTAAATTAAAAAATGGATTAAATACAATTAGAATAGGATGAATAGAAATAATTTATATAATTAAGTATAAGAAATATTGTTTTAAATAATTAATAATAATAATAAATCATTTTATTGTTACTTAACCTTAAAAAAAAGTATGATTATAAAACAAAAAAAAATAATGGAAAAATGTATTATTTTTACAGAAATTCGAACGTTGTTATTCAGTATTGGTGGGATTAACATCAGGATTATCAGAAAAAGAAGCTCACGATACATTAAATAATGCCGTTTGTAAGGATAAAACCCACGAAGAAGTGTCTTTAGGATTATTGGTAGTGATTCTAACGGATCCCCAAGAAGCAGCAAAGAGTTACAGAGATTTAACATTAATAACACGTGATGGTCTAGCAATTGTTCTTGGCCATTTGAATCAATTAGTGCTTGAACGTTATTTAAAATTAAATGATGTTACTCGAACCCAATTAATGTGGCTTTTACGAGAATTAATAAGGACCAGTGTAGCTAATGTTGATAATCTTTGTTTAAGTTTATTACGACATACTGCTGGTGGTGATATATCGGCGCGTAATTTATATTTAGCTGATAAATTACTAGATATATTTCAAGAAAATCGAACTTGGTTGGATAAATATCCTTTTTTAGTTGCTTCTATTGTTTATACTTATTTGCGTCTTATTGAGGATCATAGTGCGCCACATTTAAGTGCATTGAGACAAAAAGAAGTGACATTCACGGTATCTTTGATCAGAGAAAGGATGATGGATTGTCTAGTTATTGGAAGGTAAAGTTCAATTTATTATTTATTCATTTCAACAAATAATTATTTATTTCAATTACTTCTAGGGATTTGGTACGTTTGTTACAAAATGTTGCGAGGATAAGTGAATTCGAGGCTCTTTGGAAAGATTTATTAACAAACCCAAAGTCAATAAACTCCAATTTTACTGGAGTTTTGCAGTTACTTCAAACAAGAACATCAAGAAGATTTCTACAATCACGTTTAACACCAGATATGGAGAGGAAATTAGTCTTTTTAACAAGCCAAGTTAGATTTGGTAATCATAAACGTTATCAAGATTGGTTCCAAAAACAATATTTAGCAACACCAGAATCACAATCATTGAGATGTGATTTAATAAGATTTATTGTTGGTGTTATTCATCCTACTAATGAACTCCTTTGTTCGGATATTATTCCACGTTGGGCAGTCATTGGTTGGCTATTAACCACCTGTACATCAGCCGTTGCTGCTAGTAATGCTAAATTAGCATTATTCTATGACTGGTTATTTTTTGAACCTGAAAAGGATAATATTATGAACATTGAACCTGCTATACTTGTCATGCACAACTCCATGAGATCTCATCCAGCTGTCACTGCCACACTTTTGGATTTTTTATATAGGGTAATAATTATATTTATTATTATTACATATAAATAATATTTTTAATCATCATCCTTTTTTTATTAATTTATTATTTATATTTTTATTTACAGATAATTCCAAATTTTTATCCAGCATTAACAGATAAAGTTCGTAATGGAATTTTTTCATCACTTCGACAAATTTTAGAGAAACGCGTACTACCTAGTTTATATCCATTATTTGATAGTCCAAAATTGGATCGGGAATTGAGAAGTAAAATTCGGGAAACATTTAAGGAATTTTGTCTACCACCAAATAGTGACACTGGTATTATTCTAATTCAATTTTATTAATTACACTAATTAATAATTTAATTTTATTGTTGTTTCATTAAACCATACTACTTTTATTAAATTTGATCAAGGTTTAAATACATAAAATTTTATTAAAATTATTTAAATAATTATTCTTAAATCATAAAAATAGAATAATTGAATTGAATAAAGTTTAAATTAAACAACAATAAAATTACATTATTACTAAACTAATCTTGTGAGATTTTAATTAATCTAATTAATGATAATAATAATCGTAAATTATTTATTTTAATTGCATGCTAAATAGATTGTTTAAAATTTAATTTAAAAAATTAAAACTTCAACTTTGAGCTATAATTATGATTTATTGTCACCATAGCTATTAATTGGAATATTATTATTCACTTATTTACTTGCTATCACTATATTTACAATGTCCACAGCTAATATATTTACTTAGCAACATTTAATCTAGTGTTTAATTTAATTTAAATTAACATTCGTATATTTCTATGCTTAGAATGTTGGTCTAGTTGAATTGGACTCCTTTCTACTCATTCATTTATCTCAGTAGATAGCTATAATAATACTTTAGCTTTACTTTTAATTATATCTAATTTAATTCAATGTTAATTTAAGCTTTATTTTCATTGCTACCATTTGTAGATGTGTTAATGACACTAGTTATTTGACTTTATTAATAATAAAATGTTTTATTTAACAGCAGGTAATAAGGCGCCAATGTATTCAGGTAAAATGGATGAAATGGAGAACACATCAAACTCATCTCCAGTTGAGAATAATCATGTTGGTAATCAAGATCCTGAGCCATCATTCAGTGATGATGATGAAGAGATGCCTCTTAGGTAATGATTTGAACATAAATAATTAATCAATAATTTAATAAATAATATTTACTATTATTATTATTATTATTATTGTAGGATAGTAACAAAGGAGGAAGAGGATGACGATGATGTGCCTTTGTCGAAAATAAAATTAAAAAAGGATAAAGAAAAGCTGACAAATTGCATAGGAAAAACGGAAGATTTAACATCTCAATTAATAAATACATTAGCACCAGAAGAGCTTAAAACGGCAGTTGATAATTTATACACTGAAATAGACAACGAAACGAGGTGTCAAATAATGGAAAGGATAGTTCAGATGATTGTTGATGATGATGTAAGAGTTGAAATGATTACCCCGCTAAGGAGATGCCTATCAGCAATATTAAGTTCACAAATTGATGCACAAATATTCCCGTCAGATAATTTAAATGATGAATCTCTTATGGATAGCATCAGTACACCATTATTTGTCATGTTTAGAAATTTTTTTCAATTATGTAAAGAAGAGGATATTCGTAAAAGTTTTCTAGGATATTTTTTAGGTGAATTTCAAGTATGTCAACCAAGAACTGGATATTTATTACTTTATTTTTTGAAAGTATGGGGTAGAGCTGAAGAAATAAGAGAAGGTTTAGCCTCAAATGCAACAAATGAAGTTAAAGCTTCTGTTTATAAAGACTTTTGTTCTGATAGAATAACAAAAAATGTTGAAGCTTGTTTATTAGCTGATTTAAAACTTTGTCATGAAGACAATGTTGATCTTTTATGTTATTTAGTACCTGATATCTTCATGTGTTTTCAAAATATTGCTATTGGTAATTCACAACTTTTACATCTTGTCGTTTCAACTATTGACTCATATCAATTACAAGAACTAGTCTGTCAGATAATGCAAGGACAATTGAAAATGTTGGAGAAAGATTCAATTACTAGTTTATTAACTGCTAGTTTAGATTGGGAAACATTTGAACAATATTGCTTTTGGCAATTAATATTTGCTCATGATTTCCCAATTAAATATGTACTGCCTGTATTACCGAAATTACAATTTAAAGATCATGCTGAAGCTCTTACGTCTATACTATTTATGCTCAAACAAGAAAAGTAAGTTTATTATTTAATTTATTTAAAATATTTTTAACTTCCTATTCAAAAATTATTTGTTTTAATTAAATTATTTTATTATTTTTTAGGCCAACATTAGAACTTCTTAAACAATTATTCACAAGAAAAAATACTGATGGTGATTTATTTGTGGTAGCAGCATTACGTTATTGGTGTCGAGATTATGAAGAAAAATTAGCTGAATTGTTAGCCAATTTACTAAATACTCGTTATCCAGCAACAAGTCCGAATAAACGAAAGCGTGCTGGAGCTAAACAAAATCAACAACAATCAGGACCACCAACTGGTGAACAAGTTTTAAGTCATTTAGATCAATTACGACAACTTTGTCGTGCTTCGGCTGATCTTCAATTATACCAAACTGAAGGCATGCAAAGAGCTCTACAACAAGCTCAAGCTGCTAGCACTGATACTGTGAGAAAAAATTATGGTGATTTGTTTGCATTAGCTGAAATTAATGAAGAAAATGAACCACCACCACCACCCACTAGTTCATCGAGAAAACATACTGCTGCTGCTTCGGCTGCTGGTAAAGGTCATAGAAAGGTTGCACCAAGCACCAGAGAACGATCTGCTAGCAAAAGAGCACCTCCTAGAGATAGGGGTACTGAAAGTAGCGACCAAAGTAGTGAAGTAAGTTAATTTGTTGATGATATATTGTTTATTTAACATTTATTTTGATGATGATTTTAATTAGATTTTATGGTTTTAGGATGAAATGATCGCAAAACCAAAGCAAGCAATGAAAAGAAGAAAGGTAGCTCCTGTCGAATCAGATAGTGATTGACCACCAAGTGTCTTCAAACACATAATGGACCATAATAAATGTGTAAATCAACCTAAATTACCGTTAATATTATTAGGTAATAACTTTAAATTTTCAAAAGCACATGTTGATGAGGAAAAATAACGCATTTCAATTAGAAAAAAAGAAACAAGTAATTGGTACTAATTATTGATTGAAAAAGAAAGAAAAAATTTTGATTTTTAAAATAAAATCCGACTACTAAATTAGAGAATCAATGTGTAAAAAAACAAAGTGATTATTGAAATGAAAAAACGGGTTTGATCAAAATTATTGAATTTTTATTTTGTACATTTTTTTGGTTATGTAACAAATAAGTAATAAGTAATTAATGAGTTAATTAATAGTTGATATTAAATAATTGTTTGCTTAAGAAAAAAAAAAACACTTACTTATTGTTATTAAATGGATTTATTGCTTAAAATTAATTAAATAAAATTTAGGACTTAATTTTAATAAAAATTTCAACAAATTTTAATTAAACAAAAACTTTTTTTTTTATATATTAATATGATTATTATTATTTTTTTTTTTTTTAATTACTGTCGAACAATTCATAATGGAAAATTTCTTAAACTAATCATTATTTTATTTTAATGTAAATTGGTGTTATTTTAGTTTTATAAATAAAAGTTCGACATTATTTACTGTATTGTTAATTAAAAAAAAAAAAAAAGAAAAAATAATAACAAAGCATATAAGATCCATGTAAAGTATTTAAAAATGTTAATTTGTTTTTTTTTTATTGTAAATTGTAATAAAAATGATGGAAAGAATTATTATTTTTTTTTTTTTAAATAAAAAATTTATGTAAAAAATTAATTGGGTAAAACAAAAAGAGACAGTAAAAATTTTACATTTTAAATTAATCTAACAAAATTAATTTTGTGAATTATCAACAATTATGTATAAGTAGCAATGTTATGTATTTTTTAGATTGTTGTAAATATAAAAAAAAAATAAGAAATAATTTTTAATAATAATAGCATTAATTAAACAATATAATAATGATAATATAAACAAGAGTTTATGAGTAATTTAATGACATTATTAATTCAAAATAATAATAATAATAATAGTAATAATAAATAATTCTTATTATTATTATAATAATAAAATGTCAATAATATTATTAATGGTAAATAATATAAATAAATGATAGCACTGACAATTATAATAATGAATTGAACAACAAAAAAGAATTTTTTTAAATAAAATATTTTGAACAAATCATTTTAAAAATAATGGATAAATAATAATATGAACTTTAATTTTGATGAATTCATTTTTATTCATATTGTAAATAACACATTATCAATTAGAATTATTAATAATAATAATAATATAAAATAAAAAAATAAATTAAGTAATAATTAATAAGCTATTGATATAAAAAAAGCTAAATTAAATCATTAATGATAATACTGTAAATGATGACTGAAAAGAATGTTCGTAATAATTTTAGTGTACAGGTGATGTGTAAAGAAAAATAGAAAATAAAAGAAGAGCAAATAGTATAAAACATATTATGTTTTAAATACAATCTCTTGTACACACGAACTTCGTGTAAATACATAAATAGTTTAATTATATTATTAATATTATCGTATTAATAATTGTAAACATTTAATGTTTTTAACTATCTTGTACACACTAACACATATTAATGTAAATAGTTACCAAATGAAACAATAAGAAATTAAAAAATATTCTAAGTGTTTTAATTCTTTTTAATATTTATCAAAAATATTTTTTTTTCTCTTTTAATTAATTTAATATCACATACTTCTTTTGCTTTTATAACAATTTAAAATCCTCTTTGGCTGAATATTAAATTTAAATTGAGCATATAATTAATATTTGTAAGAAACATTTGTTTCAATTAAAAAAAATATTGGAGTAAATCCGTAAAATTAAATATAATTATCCTCGTTTTGCTTTAACGAGGAAATCTAAAGCCTGCTGCCTATTAATATCTTCTATCACTGAAGTCTTGTGTGACTTTTCAACCTTATATAAATGATCTCCAGCATCAACTAATTCAGGCCTAAAACAAAAAAAAAAGAAAAATTAAAATATATAAATAATTTTAAATTACTTTAAACAGTAATACTCACCGGAAAGTGATGAGAAATATCTGTCCTCCATCAGTCATTTCTTGAAAGATTTCAAGCAGAGTCTGTCGATTGATGCAGTCAAGAGCTTGATCTATTTCATCACACAACAGGATCGATATTTTATGACAACTTTTAACAGCAAGAAACAAAGCTAATGACAAGACAGTTTTCTGTCCACCTGATAATTTATCCAATTCCTGAATTGGACCATTTTCGAATTCAGCGAACCTGATGCTGACTCCATCAAGATCCTTCAACACCACAGCATTCTGAGCCTCTTCAACAGTGTAGTCTTGATCGTCAGTCATCAACATTAGTTCTGCACTCGCTTGAGGCATGAATTTATTAACATAATACCTAAACCCTTCATTAATTTCTAACAATTGGGAATAAATTTTTCTCTGCATCACAAATTTATATTTTTCTTTCAGTCTATTAACTTGACTTTGATTATCTTCGAATTGTTTTATCTTTCCCTTGACCTTTGTAACCTCTTCCTGCATCCTAAGAAACATTTCCGAAGCAATGTCATTCATGCTGTATGACAATCTTCTCATTTGATCATTGACTTTTTGTTGAAGAGCTACCAATTGCTTCATCGTTGATTTTTCAATTTCCTTCAACTCAGGATCAAGATCTTTATCAACTTCGATAGGAATATCACGTATCTTCTGTTTAGCTTCTTCAATGATTTTCTGCAATTCTTCTGTTTCAGCTGTCAAGTGATCAATCTCCATATTACTGATATCTATCTTCAGCTTCAACGTTTCAGCTCTCTTGCTCATGTTCTCCTTACTCACCACCTTTTCTGCTATATCTTTTTCAAGTTGCTTTATCTTCGGCTGAAGTTTCTGTAGCTTTAGATTCTCTTTCGTCAACATCTTCATCTTTGACTCTAAATCTGCAGCATCACATTTGATCTGATTTGATTCCATTTCATTAGCGAGTATTAATGTCTGTATGTCCTTCTGCAAATCACTTTTTATTTTTAAATAAGTCTCTTGGAATACAGTAAGCTTGTGAGCAATCTTTCTATCCAATTCAGCAGCTTTCTTCTCTTCTTCTCGACACAATGCTAACAAGTGTTCCGTTGAAGTCTTTAACTCTTGATACCTCTGATACTCTTCATCCGTCATTTCTTCATCATAATTAATTGAATTTAATTGTAATTCCTTAATTTTCTTAGCTAACGTCCCTACAGAAGTGACGATTCTATCATGTTTATGATCATCAACTGAGATGGAACACAGTTCAATCTGTACCATATCCAATTCACCTTCAAGCAATGTCCTCTGTTTCTCATTCTCTTCAATCTGCAATTCTAGTAAATTCTTCTGCTCCAGAGCTTGCGAAATGGCGTCTTTAAAATCCAACTCTTGATTATTCAACTTCTTTATCTCAGCCTCCTTATCCTTGATACGTTGATGTTGATTAGCCACCAATCTGTAAATACTCATTTGATTCCGTTCATTCTCATTCCAGGTTCCTGCCTCCGAGATACCGTTTGGAAAAAATACATTACCTGACGTTGTAACACAAGTGATGTCAAATTTCTTACAAAGTTTCAAAGCTATTTTAACGTCTCTGCATATCAAAATTCTGCCAAACATAAACTTCACCAACTTCTCAAAGGTTGGTTCATATTTGATCTGTGTCATAAGTGGAATAGCATCAGAATTTTTCGGTAGACTTTTATCTGAGACTTTTAAAAGATCCAAACACATAGCACCAACATTACAACCATCTTCCAATTTTTTTAGAACTGCATTAGCATCTTTCCCGTGTTCAAACACAAAATGGAATAAATATTGAGCTGCGATAGCTAGAATAACAGATTCAGATTCTGGATTATATTCAAAGCAATCAATAACAAGCCCATGATAAGTCGACACATCAATCTGCTCTGTTGGATTATCATTATTGAATGATTCCAATGCTTTTTCTAAAGCATCTTTATTATACATAACATCAAACTTGATAGCTGACTTTAATTTTTTATAGGTTTGATGATAGATATTTTTAATCGACTCCAATTTTTGTGATTCTTCTTCTACCTTTGCTGCAACAGCTCTCACTAAATTCATTGAGATTTTAATCTTCTTCTGTAATGTTTCTAATTCTTCCGAATACTTTTGCCTTGAGGCTTTCAATAGGTCTATCTTAGCACAAACTGATGATATTTTATTCCTTAATTCAATAATCCTGTCGTTCTTTTCCTTGTATTGCTGCTGATAATTTTTCAGATACTCTTCTTTCTCGCCAATTTCTTCCCGAACACTGCTGATACTCCTTTTAAGTGAGCTTTCCCTCCCCTCTTCTCTCTCTGGTGTGTCACCTGTTGATAGCCTTGCGGCGAAGCGATTCAATTCCAACAGCTCAACTTCATACTTTAATTCTAGTTCTTCAATGTAAGCTTTAACTGAAGATAACTCTGCTTTCAATGACTTCATGCTCTCTTTCTCTGATGCTACATCTTTCTCCACCATCTCCAAAGCCTTCTTCTTCTCTTCCAAAGCCTTCTCTCGGTCTTCCTTATTTTTTTGACCTAAAACTATTGATATCTCCAACTCACTCTTCTGGGTCTCCAACTCCTTGATCCGATTTGCTACTCCCTTTTCCGTGTCTTTGAGTGACTGGAGATGATTATTCGACGTGTCTAGCTGACATTGTAACAAATCAAGCTCACTGTTTAAATTAATATATTTCAGTATTTTACGTCCTCGATACATGGACTCATCCACTGATTTCTGCTCAACATGATGTATCTTATTCGTCGTCTCCATCATCTTCATCTTTTCCATTCGATAGATAATAAATTCCTTTTGCTTGAGGATTTTTTGAAACTCTTGACAAAGGTTGTGCTCTTTTTCTAGCTTTTCATAGCATTTAATAACCTCCACCATCGTATCATTCCTTACTTCAATTAGTTTATTCAACTTTACTGATCCTAGTTCTTCTAGTTCTTCGTAATCAATCATTTGGAATAGTAATTTCAAACGGTTCCGATCAGTTGATGATGCAAATTCATTCACCTCACCCTGCTTTAGCATTCTTAGATTAATATCCAAAGATTGAATTGCTTTTATAAATTTTTCTTTACTTAGTTTTGTTCCATTGACATAATAACAATCCTTCAGAGGAGTTACATATCGTTTGATTGAAAATTGACTTGGATATTTGTCATATTTATTATCAGAATTATCAAAAAATATTTCTACTTTAATAGAATTGTCATTCTTTCTTCTCGTGTCATGGCAATTCAATTCGTCGAATTGTTTTGGCTTCAAGGTTGCACTGTTTTCGTCTAGCACGAATTCAATGGCGTCCAAGATGCTAGTTTTCCCGGAACCGTTTAATCCAACTGTAAAAAAATAATATTGAATAGCGTTGACATTCAGAAAATATATCTTTGTATTTGAAAATTTTTATCTACTGTACCAAAGACGTTGATTCCAGGAAAAAATGACTTGAGGGATGTTGGGTGTCCAAATGTTTTGAAACCTTCGACTTGGATCTGATAAAAAAAAGCCACTGATAAATGAATGAACAATCATCGATAGTGTAATGATGAACTTTATGATGTATTAATGAATAAATATTAAATTCTACCTCGTTGATAAACATGGTTGTCGATAATTTTTATGTTTTATTATAAAATTGTTGTAAAAGAAGCATCACAAACTAAATTATCTGAAAGTTGAAGTCAAATTGAGCTGAGCGCGTCGTTGGAACAATAAAATTGACGTTGGAGGGGGAAATAACAAGTGTAATGGCGAGAGAAGAAAATACTTGGAATGACAACTATCGATCGGTAATAGTTGCCTACAGTTATGCTTCAGCTGATAATAATTACCGACAGTTGACATGAATTATCGGTAAAGTGATATTCTGTTTTGAACCCTTGCTCGTTGCCAAGGTAACCACAAAATACACAACAAACAAATTTCATTTACAAAAATGTGCCAGTTTTTAAGGAATTTGAGTCATTAAATTATTCTTACCTCATTGTGTTTTATTGTAACAATAATTAGTTTTTGAATAATTATGCTAAAGTCTAGATCTCAACCAAATATGTGGTGGGTTTTTAAAATATGAATTAACATTATTTTTTTCCCTTTGCTTAATAATTTGCTATTAATCTTCATAATTAATAGTTGATTATGACTATTTTAATTGCCTATTTCGAGATAATTTTTTTCTCTAACCTAAAAAAAAATATTTGCTTTAAATAAAATTACAATAATGAAAATATTTTCCTGCAACTAGTGAACAAGAAGTTAAATTTGTTCAAGAACGAATCACACAAGTCGAGAAGCATTTCAATAAATTACACAATAGTTTTGCTGCTTATACAAAAGAAGTTGCAGAGTAAGTATGGATTTATTTATTTTTAAAAAATGTCTAACATGAATTAATTGTAAATATTACTTCCTACAGACTGAGAGATAAGAATGATGCACTTTCAAAGACAGTTGAAGAATATGCTAAGTCTGAAACAATTAATAAATCACTAAGCCGTGGTCTCTTTAGCTTTGCTGAAACTCTATCAGTCATTGGAGACTACAGGTAACATATTCGACATCTTTAATTGCTTCTTTGACAATAAAAATTAATTGATATGTTTATTTTTCAAGAGATGCTGAAGTCAAGCGACTTGATTCTAAAATAATATCACCCTTAACCCAGTATTCAATGATTTGCAAACATGCCAAAGACAGTGTCAAAAGTACCTTTGATGCTCACAACAAAGAACGCATACGTCAACGAAATTTTGATAAAGTTCGTGAGAAAAATTCTCATGATCGTCAGATAATTGTATGTATCAAACTTTCTTTTATTTTTGTCAACTTAAAATTACTGTAAAATAAATGTTGACAGTTTCAGGCTGAATCCGAGCTCTTGAAAGCAACAGATGAAGTGACGAGAGTGGTTAAAAATTTAGAAGAAGATATTGATTCATTTGAGAGACGTAAATTGCGTGATTTGAAGACACTTTTGCTTGATTTTATTACCATTGGACTGAGTTTTCACACCAAAGCTGTCGAGAATTTGACCAAAGCTTACCAAGATGTTGCTGAAATAGATGAGATCAAAGATTTACAGGTAATTTCTTATGAGACATGGTATTGAAAATAACTCTACCCTGATGGATTTGAAGCAACTTATCTGTTAACCGTAATGTAACCTTTTTTTTGAACATATGAAGCAACGGTTGCAAAAAAACACCTTTTAACATAGTTGATTTTAGGTAAAATAACCCCAAAATTCAAGACCTCGTGCTTCCTAGGGGCAGTTAAAAAACGGTTAATTACCAATAAACTTAATCATGCTAATGAAAGAGTTACCAAGTTCATAGTAATCTCTTTAATGACTTAAAATAAATGCCAAGTTTACTATTAACCCAATTGCAAGTCTCAGTTAACAGTTGACATGAATCCATCAGGGTAATTTCGACAAATATTATTTTGTAATTAAAATATTGAATATATATGACAGGACTATCGTATCGTTAGAGGAGAATTGAATGGGGTAATTTAACACCTGCATGATAACTTACCTATAAATAGTAGTGTGTGTGTTTAATTAGTGGTTTAGCTTTCTTTAAATCATTTTAGTTGTAACTACTCAACAAACAAAATCATGTTGACTTGGATTAAATTTTTTTTCTTAGGAATTTCGAGAAAGCTTACGCGCTTCTGATACCGTAGCACGTCTTGATACCGTTGGAAGAACATCATTTCGTCGAGGATATTCGTCATCGAATTTAACTAGTCGTTTGTCATCATCGCCATTCAGCTTTCAGAAGGATACACGGAAAGCTGTGTCTCTAGTATGTTGAGATATGTTTTAATTTTATTTCAAGATGTGAGGTGAAGTACTTAATTCTTGGATAGCTTTAGATCCTTCTGATTATTAATTAGATGATTATAATTAATTAAACAAATGGTAATCAATTGATCTAGGGTTAACAAGAGAATAGTCAAGCACTTTTACAATTTGAATACCACAGAATGTAAAGTGTTATGATGTTACCACAATGTCTTTGCTCTCAAGATGAACACAAGTCTTTGATGAACATGATGACTATGTTATGTCCGACATTTTCGCGTCTTTATTCAATATTTTTAAATATATTGAAACATCAAAGACATTGTGTTTAAGATGAAAAATTGTTTATAATTTAATTGTTTAAACTATTACTGTATTACCTTGACTCAATATTTATAATTATTTTTTTTTCTAGGATTCTTTAAAGCATAAATTATCAAATTCCGCTGAATCAATTCAAGTTGAAGAGTATCCGAGTAATTCAGAGGATGATGATGATGATGATGATGATGATGATGATGATGATGATGATGATGATGATGAAAGTGAATCAGGAGAAACTGATTCCACTGAAGAATCAACTGTTAGATCAAAATTTAAATCATTATAAAAAATAAACATTTCTATTTGAAATAAAAATGTTCAAGATTTATTACTGTAAATAATTAATAAATAATCATTTCACGACATAGATATATTTGTAGACTTTATCTGTTGTTGAGTTTAAATAATAATTCAAAACAATGATTGATTTATGTATAGTTAAAAAATATTCGTGACAACCATGCGTATTGATTCTATTTTATTTGTTAGAGCCAATAAAGTATATCGATGGCAGAGAAGGAAACATTTAAATTCAGAATAGATATGATATATTCATATTTTGTTGGATATTGATTGTTCATTTGTCAGCATTCTCTACACCAGCTTGAGTCATCAGATCTGCTATGTTTTTCTCCAAATCATCTATTCTATTTCCCATTTCGTCTAGTAAGCATTATTAAGGAATGTACTTAGCAATAATTGGTTTGAATGTTGATGTTATTCTCAAATAAAAAGTAAATAACAAATGTCTAGATATAGAAATAATGATTCAATGAAATAAAAAGGATATTTCTCCCTATGATTTGGTCTGACATGGACTGAAATTTATCCTGCATGCCTTGAAGAAGAGTTTGGACCTAAAATAAGGTTAATAAATAGTGTAAAAATGGTTTGGAGTTGGAATTAACCTCACTAAAATCAACTCACGAATTGTGTCAACTCCTGCATATTCTTTGGATCAGCATTATTGCCCATGGGATAGTTGTCTCCATCTTCGGATTTAAGTTCTTGTTTGATATCAGCCATGATTTTGGTAAATTGCTGGATTTAATTCACTGTGTTTTAGGTTTGAAAGCTGTTATTTCGTGCTAAACGTCACTAAAATGTGTACACAAACTTGAAACTTTGGAGACTTGAATTTTATGCTTATGAATTAGATAAAGCAGTTTAATGATATTATTTCGAATATTTCACTTCTTAGCGCATGCGAAGGTTTTCAATGTTGTTTTTTATTGTGCCTGATATTCTTGTATATAACAAATTTGATCGAAAATGCTATGACGATGGTGCCAATGTTGATACAAGCTTTATCTATTGATCTAACTTTTTAACCTAACCAAAAAAATATTTTATTGACAAATAAAATATCTAAAGTATAACATTGTCAGCTGATTTAACGATTTTGTATTCAATTTTTTTATTAAAATAAATATTTTTACGTGATTAGTTGATTATTTAATTCAATATTTAGCTACACATTTCTCGAAAGTGATCCGATGTTTTGAATCAAGAATTTTTCAAAAGTAATTAAATAGTTTAAATATTATTAATTCAATGATTATTTAATTAATATTAATTTATTTAGTAAATTTAAAAGTAAATTGACTTATAAGGAATATTTTTTATGTAATTTTGTGCGTAATTAGTGGCGCAACTGTAGTTCAAATGAGGTTAGGAGAGCTGCCGGCAGAGGGACGATGATCGTTCAATGGCATTTGAATTAATAATATTTAATTATAAACATTATGAATGTTGTTATTAGCATTGTTACTTATTAATAATATTTGTTTATTTATTTATTCATATGGAAGACTCTGAGTTAACCTTTATAACCTCAAAAACATTTATAGTAATCCGTTCATGATAAATAATTGATTATAGAAAACAACATAATTAATCTATTGGTGAATTTTCAAACTTATTAGCACTGATAGATGCTAATTTTTAATCTAAAAACATTATAAATTATTTGCAACGTTTTTACATGTGTGTATAAAAACACCTTCAAGGATATGAATCATCTTCAATCATCAATCAATCCTATTTTCATCGATTACCAGGTGATAGAAGCTTCATAGGACCCAGCTGTAAGTACATTTCTCCAAAAAGAATCAAAACATTTCAGTTTTCCAATTTTTTTGATCTTTTTGTCAACTATTTATGCTACTGATCATCATTTACCACCAGAACAAAATGATTCTTAATAAATAAATCATAGGTAATTAATTTAATAACCATAAAAAAAATAACATGAGCATAGAACCCATTTTTATATCTAACAATTAAAGATTTTATTATAAATAAAATTTAATACCAAATAATTACATTTATTATCCATCTTTTTTCTTATTCAATGCTTCTAACCGCGACACTAGAGTAGATGGATGATAATTAAGCATTCGATTCAAGTTATTACCACCTCCAGTTTGCAACGTCTGAACTAACGAAGCTCTAGCTTCATCAATACTCATTTGCCCATACTTCACAAAGTCATTAACATTTAAAAACACTCCATCATAAATTCCAGCTATAAAAAACAGATATTTTTAATTAAATAAACATTTTAAATCAATCCCAACTACTTGGACTTACCAATGAGAATCAATTGTGGTGTTGACTTGAGAACTTTAGTCAACACCTTGACATCACCACCATCAGGACCAAAAATAACCATCCAAGGAGCTTTACAAAGTTTCAAAACTGGTTCGTAAGGAGTATTCTCTAAAGCACGTTCCATCATATCTAATTCATAGTACTTGACGTGCATATTAGCTCGATATAATGGTACTTGAGCATCAAACAAGTCAAGGGCGTTGATGGAGTTTTTATGAACAAAAGCAATCATTCGTGAACTTTTGAACCAATTAAATACCTCACGAGCAATAATATCATGATAAGGATGATGTTCTTTTGTTTTAACCGCCATTTTTTCCTGGATATTACCACAAGCTTCCCAAATAGGTCGTGGTTCTACTTTAGGTTTGTAATAAGTTTGAACAAACTTGCCAAATACTGCTCTAGTATAATGAGGTTTTCTAGGTTTGGTGATGTTTGGTTTACTTTTGAATCGTTTAGGAATTAATAAGAGATTCCACTGGACTGATTGAAGGACTAGAAAATAAAATATTTAATCAATTACTAATTAATATTACTCCAAGATTATCGGAAATGTTTTCTTATAAAAATAAATAACGCTTTAAATGATGCTACAAATTATTTATTAATCTTTAGATACATGGATTAATTAATACATTGATTAATTGATCGAACTTAATCATAAGAGAAGGTAAAAAAAAATATTTACATTAAAATATTCAAATCATAAATTTTCTAGGTCTATCAAACATTGATTGATATTTCATTATTGCATTACTTGTTTTTTTTTTATTTCATCATCAAAGGCACTTTGGAATAATTTTCTGTCATTAATATCGAACGATGTTTTTTCTATCATTTAAAAAAAAAAAACTAATAATTAATTATCATAAACAATAGTTATTGTAATCATCATAATGGTATTAAAGCTAATGATAAAAATAACCTCTAAATTAAATATATATATAAACATTTATCTAGTTCTATACTTCTTTTTTTGTTTCAAAAAATTACATATTATACTCTTCAAATTAATTTTTATTTATTTATTTAATTTAATTACTCATTTATTTATTTTATAGTCCAAAAATAATAAAAAAATATTATGGTCTTTTGCTTTCTAGGTTATTACCATACTCATATTTTTGATATTTATTATTAATTATAAATAATTAATAATCTGTTAAGTATCTTATTAACAATGAGCTGTCAATTTATAAACAATTGTCAATATTTACAAACTTTAATAATAATTATTTAAAGAATTAATTTAATTTTATCAGACAAAAATGATAGGTTATTATTTAAATGCATCTTTTGGAATAGATTAAATGATGATTATTGTTTATAATTAGATAACTCACTGATTATTATTCTTTTTTTTTTTTTTTTAGCAATTTAAATTATTATTATGCAATATAATTAATAGTTCCACTACAGTAGTTACTGCTTTCATGTCGTGCATCAAGATTATCTCCAAAGTTCAATGACTTTCGGTTTTTACCAAGTCTTAGCATTGATTTCAAACCCTTCTTTCGTGATCTTTTATCAAGTGCTGAGTTTAAGGATGCTTGTTTAACATCACCACGACTATGTGAAAAACCTTCAGGTTCATCTTTACATTGATTATTATTACCAACATCAACCGGATTATCATCAACAAGCCAATGTTTTTTAGGTGATATTTTATTATTACAACCTGGTATTGTATAAACATAATCAGAATGTCCTGAATCAGATTTCTTTTCAAATCGTCTTCTAGTAACTTCAAATTGACTTTCACCACATTTTTTCGTTACTTGTTCCTCATCTTTACTAATATTAGACTTTGATTCTTCAGTCTCTGTTTTATTACCATGACTTTTATTTTCTCTACCTTCTCTTAATTTTTTATTCCTCTTATAAGTGTCAGTATTTTTGGCATCCAAAGCTGCATGTCGTTTCTCCGACATACTCTGTCTACCTAAAGCATCACGAGAGAATTGATTACCAGATGAAAATTCTTCTAATGATAATTGAGAATCATAACTTGGATCACCAGAATATTGGCTCTCTTTATCATCAACATTCTTCTTAACATCATGAACATTATCAGGTATTGATTCTTCAAGCAGTACTAAATCATTATCACGATTCATTATTTTTTTAGCATTACTTACTGAATCAATCCAAGTTTTATTGGTAGCCAAACAATAACTTTCATTACGTATACTATTTTTGTTGTATTGCTCAGTAAGTCGTTCAATAACTGGATTCCATGGTGATACTGATGTTGATGATAGCAAACTATCATCAAGGGATTCTTGATTATTTAAATTATTTTTCTCCATCACTCTTGATACACCGGAACCATCAGATTTATTATCAGATATAAAAATACTATTGGCAGATTCTAATTTACATGATGCTATCCCATCATTACGGTTATTTTTATCACTATCATAAGCTGATACTCTTCTGGCAATTGTTAGTGTAATAACACCACTAACTACACTATTTGTATTGAGCATCGCACGTCTTAATGTCTCCATAGCATCTGAATTAGATAATCCAAGCAAGGAAACACCATTAACATTGAGCAGTTGATCATTTGTCTTTAATCTTCCATCTCTAGAAGCAGCTCCACCATGAATAACACTTTTAATAAATATCCCAAGATCCATATTAGTATTCTCATCAGCACTCGTTGTTTTACCTTTCACACTAACTCCTAAACCAGCTTTTTCTGAATCATGAACTGGAATATCAAATGTTAATATAATTCTATTCTTTCTTGGTGATAACATCACATCATCACCAAGTTGTTTATAATTTTTATCATAATTCTTTCCATTATCAAACTCTTCCGATGCTTTTACCGGTGATACACTTGGGCTAGACCATGAATTAGCTTCAGACACATGAGAAGTGTTGGTAGCTGTCACAGGAATACTTGGTGTCTCCAAAGAACTAGTGGATACTTCTTCTTGTCGGGATACAATCATCCTAACTTTACCACCAGGTGGAATAGAACGTAGTAAAGATACCACTTCTGCTTGACTCTTGCCAGTCATTTCGATTTTATTTACTTCTAATAATCGATCTCCAGATTTCAATCTCCCGTCCTCCACTGCAGCACCTTTGGGTAGGATATTTTTTATATAAATCGGACAATGACCACCAGCTGGATTATCTCTAGTTGTAACACTAAAGCCTAGACCATTAGTTCCTTTTGTCAATTCTATTTCAATCATTCGTCCTATTTTTCTAGTGTTAGCATTCTGTAGTAGATTATAATTCGCACATTGAAGCTTCTTTATATTGTCTTCTGGTTGATCTAGTTTGTCATCAGAAGCTTTAGTTGATTTTTTCGATAATTTTTTATGCTTTATTATAGATATCTTTAAGCAAGGTTCATTCATACATGTCCTAAAGATCTCTTGAACTTTAGTGAAAGGAATTTTGAGCAAATTATGGCCATTTATTCGGATAATTTTATCATGAAGATCAATCTGTCCATCTTTAGCAATACGTCCATTAGGTTCTATTCCTTCGACTCTCAAGCCTTGGTCATTACCTAATAAATCATAGCAAGGTACAACATGTAAACCAAGTGGTCCAGGTTCATTCTTGATGATAATATGTTGGATATCATTTTGATCACAAAGATCTGGATGTTTAGATGTTAATTCATACGTTGCTTTAGCATCTTGACCTAGTGGTTCGCGTCTTCTTGACTCTCGAGGCAACGAAAGTGCTGAATATGTCGGTAATGATGGCCCTACGAGTTCGCGTGTTGATAATGCGTGCATAGAAAGTCTCTTAACACTTTCTCTTTTGATATTATTATTGATTTTATTTTGAGTATCAATTCCATATCGATTATCTTTGTCATCTGGTTGGAAATAATCAGGACTATTAGTTCCAACAGAACTAGCACCATCACCACCAATATGTATTACTTCGGAGTTATTTATATGTGCTATTATTTGCTCTCTGTCATCAGCAACATCACACAGTCGATCATCAGGATCCAATAAACCACCTCCAGTTAGTGATGATAAACTGTTGATCACTGGACCTGGTTCTGTTTTTCCAGTTGCTTTTCTATAACGTATTATTGCTTCACGCATCAAATCCCTCACCAGTAGACTCCCATCTCCACAAGGTACTACCACCCTGATGTTGTCAAAGCACACTGTTACCTTCATCCTCTCGATTTCATATCAACAAATCTTGGAATTTATTTTCATACGAGCTTTGTTTTTTTTTCTACCTGCTGATTAAGTTTTCAACATTAATCGTCTTTGTGAATGATAAAAAAAAATTATCTTATGTTATTAAATGTAAAAAAACTTACCTGTATTTAGTTGATTATTTATTTGCACAACTTTATGGTCTGTCTTTTTAATGAATCATTGATTGACATTGCCAGAGCACACCTTCCACACCATTACGAGTACCAATCATACGTTAAATACGAAACAATCAAATAGAACTTGATGAGTTTTTGATTTTATTTGAGGTTAATTTACTCTTTTTCACTTTCAAAATAATAACCTCAATTGTAATATTAATAATTATTTATTAAATAATGTGGAAAATGATTATTAAATAATTTATCGGTTATCAAATACGTAAGAGGGACGCACACACGCAGTTACACAAAATTTATTGTCCGCCATATTGTTCCAATTTTAGTTATTTCTTGATTTTATAAGGTTATGAACGATGGGAATTGTGAAATAGAAATGTAACCCGGTATTTAGTACGCAAAATACTTAAAAATTACTTGACTGATGTATTGTTTAATAATTAATTCTAATTAGTTATTAAGTTATTTGTAGAAAACATATTTAATATAATAATTACCTTTATTTGACAATAATGCCATTGTTTTTCTGATTATTAACTTTCAAAGATAATTTAAATACAGTGTTGGTACATCAATGTGAGAAGAAACTACTTCATTTTGTATAACCACATACAAATGATCCACTTTCCATATTCCTAGCAGCTTACTATTTTTTTGTAATTGATTAAAAATATATAATTACTCAATGAATAATATCATAACCTAATTATTTATAATATAAAATGAGTATTTAATGTCTCATTAATTTTATAATCGTGATAAATTAATTATTTAGTTTTTTACAACGTCTTTTGTTTCAGCTTTGTTCTTTCCTAACCTCTCTGGGGTCCCTAGGGAGGTTAAAATTATCGACCTTCAAAAAATTACCGACTATTTCGAAGACAAAGATGCTTATAACACCCACCAGGTGTCGTTACTGTGATTTTCTATCAAAACGCAATTCAACGAACAAAAAAAATGAATAAACAATGACGCTAAACGTATTTATGTAAACAATAGTATTGTGTTTATTTAATTTATAAAAGAGGTTATTTAGTGAATTAAATATTTATTAGTATTGTTAATTAAACAAATGCATTGTTGAATATGAGTAAAATAAAACTGACCGTTAGAAGTTGATATTTATTGAGAAAAATTAAAAATTTTTCTAAACAAAGTGCCTAACAATCAACAAGTGACAACAAAGGAATTATGTAAATGAAAGAAAATAAATAAAAGTAGATTTTTAGAAGCTTTAAATAAATTAAATTAATCTTATATTAATTTTATGATGTGAAGAAAAATTACAGCGGCTATTTAAACAATGTAAATAGTTAAAAACAACATAACCTATTGTGTAAAAGTATCTAGAGTGTAAATGTCCCAGTTGTGAATTAAATTTTGAATAAAAATCAAATTTTTTATGATTTTCATAACCTAAATAAGACGTTTTCATCCAACAAAACTAGTTATTAAATTAAATTAAATTACTAAACCTAACCTTTTATTTTCAAAATACTTTTTTAACACCATAAAATAATTTGCAACTTCAAAATAAATTTTTTTATAGCCTTAAATAATGTTAATAATTATTTATTAATTTTATTTTACATTGCTAAGACTTCCAGTATATTTTTAAATAATAAAATTCATTTTTTTTTAGTTAGAAATATGAGTTAATTCAGAAATTGTTTCTAAACTGTCACATTTACTTTCCATCTACCATTCACATAGCTATGATTAAAAAATAACAAACTTGTATTTTACAGATAACTCTGTTATATCGATTGATCGACTAAATCATCAATCAATTTTCCATTACACGACATCAATAATCTCCATCATAACTCCAATAACATCCAGTCTTCACATTTTGGAGCACATTCCAATCTTCGGAGCAATTTAATTCATCTAGCCCTACAGAATCGAATAGATATTTAAAAATTACCTTCAAAACATCACTCCCCACTCTTGAGTTGTCGAGTTGATGTCGAGGAGTATGGAGAAAAATAAGTGGTAGGGATGGCTCAAATCGCACGTCTCATGACCGTTGGAAGATGTTTTACGGTGTTGGATCGGTCGTTGGCGGTTGCACGTAGTTTGGAATACATCAGATCCAGCTCCAAGTTAATAAACCCAAAGGGAAATAATTATTTAACCATCAACATTATCAACAATTGTGATTGGTGTGATTGAATAATTACCAGTGTAAATGAGTGGGTATTTTTGAAAGCAGTGGTATCGAGTGTTAAAGATTATTTTAACTAGTTTATGACCTCTGGTTGCAGTTTTTTGATGGAATGTGAGATGGATATGGCGGTAAGACGCGCCAAATAAATGTTAAAATAATAAATAATTGTCATTATGTGGCATTAATAGTGATTAGAAAGCATATTAATGACATACTATTCTTAGAATAGTGATTATCTAACTGATAATAAAAGTGATTTGACTGATAAATTAAAATTAAAGTTGACTAGACTGTATTTTTCTCATCTGTTCCGGTCTGGGATCCGTTGAAACCCAACGGAATGTGGCACGAGGTAAGCATACTTTTAATCTTTCTCTTTCTAGTTTATTTTTTCTGTCTCACTCTTTGCCCTTCCCTTTTCTAGACTATGCTGTTTGGGAACTCAAAACTAAGGGAATATCTTCAAATCCAATCGTAATCAATTGGTAACGCCTTCACTATTGACTTTAACGTGAAAAATATATCATCAAGTACTACCTTTTTTGTTCAACATTTTTACGAAACAACTTTTTGTCTACTGTGATTCACTGAGAATCAATGGTTTTTCAAATAACTCTGGGGACACTGATTTGTTTTCTTTCATTTCCCTTTTTTTCTTTCTATTCAAAAATTATAAGGAATGCTTTTCTTATTGCTTCCTTTTTTTTTGTCGTCAAAGTCTTTTAGGCACAGTGTATATTTTATTGATTAACTAGCTTGTACTTGCGACTTTGCCTATGTAAAACTTTGCAAACTTATTACAATTCTTTGATAAAGATAACAATGTTTTGTTAGAGTACTCCATGTCAATCTTTGTCAAAATATTTAAAAGGAATTTATTTTTCAAAAAATTCTAGATTAATTTAGAATTTTTGATAATATACTTTCTTATATATTTTAATGCTTTAATTACTCTAGAGTATTTAATCAACAACAAAACATTGTTATCATAAATTTGTCTATTGGGAAAGTTAATTGATGAGTTTGACAAAATTATCATGTTGATGGTTGATAAAGGTAAACAATTGTTGACGAATTTGTATCAATTGATAAGGATGGGCATATTACTTCTTCCTCTTTACTTTAACATTTTTTTTTTTAATCCTCTTTTTCTTCAATTTTATTTTATTTTTTGCTATTGAAAACCTGTTTGATCAAAGAAAAAAAAATTCATTCAAAGTCAACGCTGCCACGCGTACTGACACGAGGTCGACTACCACATGCTTTTTCCCGTCTTACATATTTTTATTTCAATTTGATTGTAAAAAGAACAAACAAATCTCCATCTAAACAAAGATGTTATGATTATTAAATATTTAAAGCTATCAGCTTTAAATTTTTTCAATATGAGAATGAGTTGGTAGTAATGAATAGATTAATATTAAATAGTTAAAAATAGAAACAAATATAAAAATAGTAATATGATATGTTAATATTTAAAGTCACATTCTGATAAACAGGTTTATTTTTAAAATTTATTTCCAATACTTGGTAGTTCCTTAGTATATTCTAATTCTTAAAATATCTATTTTAACATAATAAAATGATGAATTAATTGATTTTAAATTATTTTTCAGGAAGCAAAAGGTGATTATGGTGGGAGAGTTTATGGGAATTAGCATTAAATTATTCTTCCGGTTGTTAAAAAGGATTAATCGGAGGAAAAGGAAGTAGAAACGATTAAAAGATGGTATTAACAGTGATTAATAATCATAATTAAAACAGAAGAACATGGAAAATAAGTGGAGATTAGTTGATTGATGATAAAAAATCGATTGGATAATAAATTAAAAATAATTGATGAAAGTAAAAAGAAAAATATGATGTGAACTAAATGGACAAAAGTTATTAATTTGTGCTGATACAGATGCTAAAGCACATTCCGACGGGGCAACCGTCGTCAGCGGGCTCCAGAAATCATCATCATGAATATCCAACTCAAATATCTGGTACTTTACATCATCATTTTGGTTCAGGTTCAACCACAAGTGCTAGAGTACCAAGAATTAACGATTCAACAATATATGATTCAGTTTTATCGTCACAAAAGATTGGATCTGTTCATCGGCATCCATTGAATCATTCACAATTGAGTGTCAATAATTTGGCATCAAAACTCAATCATACACATTCATTGAATTTATCAGCATTATCAGCATCAAAACATTCAATTGATAGTGCTAGTCCAGTAGGAAATGAAATTATTCATCATCATAATAATAATCATCATAATAATTCACTACATCATCATCTATATCATCATCATCACCAAACATCAGCATCACACCAAACTAATACACAGGTGATGAATGAACGTACCATCCAAGCTAATGGAGGTCTGGACATTTCGAGACTATCTCGGTTGCCAAGCCGAACTACTCCATCCCCAGCACCTGTCGCTACAATTCATGCACCTGTTTCACAACCAACCCAACCCACTAGGACGTCTACTAATACTCCCGGTCTTCCGGTACCTACTCAAGATACATCATGGACGTCGTTTTGTTTAAGAAGAAACCCAAAAAATCCGGAAACTGGTGTCAAAGAAATGCTAACATTCCTTGGTCTTCTTTGTTTAGTTTCACTACTTCTAGCAATGTTATCTCATATTTTTTTGCTTAAAATATCTCCAGTCTCTGTATCACCAACGAGTCTCATCAGTCCAGAGGAATATACCATTGTTTATGAAATTACACTAGCACTTTGTGCTTTAGCAATGTCTTTGAATTTGTGCTGTCTACTTGTATGTGCTATTCAATTCCTCTTTGCTATGAAACTCGTCAAGTCGTCATACAATCAAAGCCGGTAATTATTTTTTATACATATCAGGTCAGTCTAGAAGTTCGTGCGTATTGTTCAAGGTTAAGTATGAACATGAGATTTTTACAAGGCATATATGTGTTTATTTATTAAAACAATTACATAGGTCCAACAGCATAAGCCAAACCAGAGCCACATTTTTTTTTTTGTTATTCATGTATACAAAATACGCACGAATGTGCTGGACTGACCTATTAGTTTATTAATAAGGCTTTAAAATATAGGTTAGATTATTAGATAATTTTAATTGTGGTAATTAGATGATGAAAAGTATGAAATTATTATCAAGTTAAATCATTTGAAGTTGAAAAATGTCCATGTGACGTTGCCGACACATGAGTTATTTCACGTTTATATGAGCTACCGCTAGAAATTCCCACGATGCTATTGCTACTGCCCTTCGAGGTACAACGACCTTTCTACCTTAACATCTCCAGTTGTTTCTTAAGCAAGTTTCATTCTTGTGATTTAATTTTTACCCTGTTTTTCATTAGCATTACATTTATTGTTTATTGCATTCTCTATTAAACTAACGGATTTATTTAATTATCACAATCATCGTTACCATTTTGAATTATCTAATTAATTAATTGTTATTTTATGTTATGTTTTGTTTTATTGTTTAGTTTAATTCACATTGTATTGATAAAAAAAATGTGTTATTTTAGAACCAGTATGTACTTACAAAAATCATCGGTAAGCAGAATGTGCGCAATAGGAGGATTCTTCGTCAGCATTCCTGTTTTTCTCACTGGTAAAAATAAATGATTATTTCTAAAAATAAATTTAATATTTAATATATCTAGATGTAATATAATAATAGTTATATGTTGATGATAATTAATTTTTTCTGTTCCAGGTATGATACTTTATACTTTCATTCAGTTTCATTCAACACCAGCGATCATTATATCAGTCTTTATTGGCCTTGGTATCATTTTTTGCGGTTGTGCTATGGTACACAATGTTTTTGTATGGCAAAAAGTATGATTTTTTATTTTATTTTTATATTTTATTTTTTTAAATTTATTTATAACCTCTTTTTGTTGGTTTTTTTTTAGTATTAAAAAAGTTGATTAATTTTATTGAATATAATATGATGGAGAACAAAATTATTTTTATTTGTTTATTTTCAACAGTTGATCAATAATTTAATCATATTTTATCTATGACATTTGACCAATGATTAGACAAATCTAGGATTTCTCTTAGAATTTCATTTTTTAATTAAAATAAGGTTAAAATTTTTTTTGCTCCGAATATTGCAATTTTTATTTATAACCTAACAAAAATATATTGAACTTAATTATTTTTATTTATTAAATTTAATAACAATTGCATTGTTTATATTTAAAATGAGGTTATAATTTTGTTTAATAGATTTATTTATTTTTAAGATTATCTAAAAATTATTTATTTATTAATTAATTTAAAGAAAAAACCGCAACTATTTTTATTTTATACTCTAGGCTTATTAAAAATAAATAAATAAATAATAATTTTTTTTGGTTATCTTTTAGGAAAAAACAAATGCTGTAAAAGAACTGGCAAAAGCACAATGTGAAGCAGCGATACAATTTCAACGTCAACAAATGCAACAACAGCAACAACAATTACAACAAACAAATAGTACAAATCGAATCCCATCAACATTATTACAAAATAATTGTTCAAAAATGGGAAATTCAACACTTCCTCATTCATATAATCATCTACGTGGTCAATATTCACAAAATAAATATCAACCTCATCATCATGAACAAAATAGAATGATGTCACCGGCATTAAGGACACTATCAGCAAGTCCAGCTGTTCATAATCATTCAAGCGATATACACAGGGTACTAACAAGTCCACCTGCAACTCCAGCTGAAGATCATTCACCTACAAGTCCTATTAATAAATCACTTAATCGATCTCATCTTCAACGTGAAGCAAGTGGAAGTTGTAGTCCGGGTTTACCAACAGCTACACTGGATCTCAGTAGTGCTGCTAATACAAATAGTCCACATGAATTATCAACTTTAGTTTAGAATATTAAGTTTTATATTGCGATGGAGAAGCTAAATGTGCTTTTGGACTTTTTTTTCTTGTTCCTAAATTAAGGTGGTCTGATGAAAAGTAGTATTATCTTCATTTTATCGACCTTTTTAAAAGACTAATACTTCTTTTATCTACAAAAAACGTTACAAAATTTCCTTGTGTTTAGTTTATTAAATATACCCTAGTAGCCGGGTCTTAAAAGTCTGCTGAGTCTTGCACAATGATCTGGTACAGAGTGTCTGACTCTACAGCAGTGCCATAGGTGTCTGCTTCCACATTTACATATGGATCTTACGACAGATTATTATTCCATGATCCAACTCCAAATTTTGCAGCAGATTGGCATCAAAGAAACCAGCAGTATTGACTTCTTCCATATGTTGATGAAACGATGTCTTCCTTATTTCTGTTGAAGATCTGCTAATTTTCTCACCAGCTTCTTCATCAAATCTACAGCAAAATTTAGAGTTAGAGACCCTGATGTAACATTCTGTCGCAAGATCCATGTGATCTAAATGACGAAGCAGACACAGTCTGCAGTTCTTTCATAAGATAATCAGAAGAGTTTATGAATGCCTTTTGAAGAATGTTGTCTTGCCAATGGACTGTGCTACTAGGGATCATTTATAGCTTCCATCTTTTATCTCTGAATAATATTTAATTTATTACTATGCAATTTTTTTTTCACCATTTTTAATTGTACTTTAATTCAACTAACTGCCCAATTTCATCTGACTACCTTGAGGTACATAATATTAAAGAAAAAAAAAAGAGTATCAATTATTTAGATACAAAGCCATCGAAAATTGTACATAAAAGTATTTTTATATCAAACAAATTTATTTTTCAGTTTTTATTTTTATTTTTAAAACACACACACAGCTTCATTAAAGAATTCTTGCCATTTGTATAATCTTTATGCCAATTAGAAATTTATATTATAAAATAATTTATATATATATATATATATATATATATATATATATTTTGATAAATTAATAATATTGTACAGTAATGAATATTGTAATTTATTAATTTTGAATAATTAATAATCATTAATTAGATTATTAGGAAAATTGAATGTCACCAAAAAATATATTTTTTTCTTGTTTTATAGTAAAAAGGAAAAAAAACTGTAAAAAAAATAATTTTTAATGAATTTACAAGAAAGAAAAAAAATTTCTATTTAATATCATTATTATTAATGATAAAATTTATTTATTTATTTATTATAAAATATAGAAATATTTACTTACACACTAAAATCATTGATAAAATAATGTAAATTCTATTATCATTATTATTTACACAATTCTTCTAAATAGTTTTACTGTATTCGAAACAAGTTGTTTCATTAATTAACAATCACATAAGAATTTCATAATGTACAAATAATTCATTGACTAATTATGATCTTGCATCATTTATTGTCGCTGGGACATGAACTTCAAGTCCATCGAGTTCTTTTGTCATTGTTATTTGACAACCTAGTCTCGATCTAAAACAAAAACAATTATTTCATTTAAAACAAAAAGAAGTAATAATTAATTTTAATTGAAATAAATCATTTCAAATAATAATCTTACGTTTCTGTGAGATCATAAGCTAGATCTAGCATGTCTAGTTCTTCATCCGTTGGTTTATCAGGCAAAGAATCATAGACTTCTTTTGAAAATATTAAATGACATGTACTACATGTCAGTGTTCCTTCACATGCACCTAGAGAATGAGATAGTAATTTTTTTTAAATTGGTAGTTGCTCTGATAATAAAGGATTATTATCAATAGAACTTTAGACATGAAGCTTGAAGAATTGACATAACCGTCAACTCACCAGTGAATGAACAGTTACTATCAAATGAATGACAGGTCCAGCATATCTATGTATTGCTAATCCATAGATATACTGAGCATAGTCTTCATTTACTAGTGTATTTGATTCTCTTCAAGAATTTTATTATTTTTAGTGCTTTCAAAACAGATTTCAATGACTTCTTTTATATTCCATGTATGTGGCATCATGGAGTACTCCTGTTTCATTGATCAATCAGATAATAAATGAATTCTTAGCAATTAATAAAGCTATCGATACTCTTAATCGTTCATTCACTGGTGAGTTGACTCTAGTATTGAAGAGTCTATGTATTTTCAACTCTATCTACTTTCAACTTTATTCAATCATTTAGTTTAGCAATAATAAATGTATAAAGTTGAGTTAAAAGTTAGGTTAAACACCTAGTTTTTTTTTCAGTGTCAATTATTATTATTTATCTTTAAATTGAATGCTAACAGAAGCTTTTTTTATACTCTACTATTAGTCATCCTTCATTATAATTCAGTTGAAACGTTTTCTAGTTGAAAATACATGAATCAAGCTGTCCCAAGTGCTTGAAAATACATGAATCCTACGGTACATTGAACTGTAAAATTAATGTTCTATTGAAATCATCAATAATTGCAATGTTTTATCAACATACATACCATAACCATCTAAATCAATTTCATTATTTACAACTATATCAAGTAAACTGTCACCAACTTTCCCTTTGGCTTCAATTCGTTCACCACTAGCTCTGATAAAGGTCACTTTAACTCTAGGAACAAATGAAAAAATAACATGAATTGATAGAAACGATGCTAAATGTTGATGATAAATAAATATTCAATCACTTACTCTTTTGGATTACATAGAGGTTGGGTAGATGAAGTGAATCTCTTGGGAACTACGTAATGTTGACAATCTTGATATGTAGACACTTTAAAATTCGTCTTCTTGATATTCATCAGTTGATTGCGAGGTACCGATGCTATTGAACGATAAAAATTCCTCACTAAAGCCATTTTAATAAGTCTTGCTTCTGTATTTATTTCAATGTTTTGTTTAACTAATGCCGTTTTTGGAGTAGCTAACCTGTCAGCTAATGTCAAGGTTTACTCCAAAAACCCGGTAGACTAATGAAAATAACTGTTATTTATGCCGGATATAACCTAAAATATATTTAAAAAGGATTTTATTCAATTCAATTGATTTATAAAAATTAATATTTCAAGTTATCGTTTTTAATAATTAGAGAAACAAAATTTAAACTCACCTGGGACTGTTTCCTGCGTTGCAATGATAAGAATAAATCGTTTGTAAAATGTCAGGTTTATTTGGATAGGAGATAACATGAAGTACTTAATCACAACGTCATGATACTGAATGAACTTGCAATAAGCAGCAAGGAAATAGTTACGAAATCAGAAAAATAACTTGGCTTGTGACATAAGAAAGGATGGAACTGTATTGAAAGACTTATTCTAGAAAGTTCATTGGTCTTCGACACAGTCATGTGCTTGGGTTTCGATTGGTTGTTGGGGTTAAGCACAAGATTTTAAATATTTAAACAACCAAGTATTTGTTATATGTAATATAGACATATACATATGTACATATGCATCTACATGGTATTTGTTTATATAAAATACTTGATTAATTATCACCAAAATGTTTAATAATGTTGATTAGAATGATTTTTCTACTTTGATAAACAATTGTTGTTAAAAAATATTTACAATTGGGTAAAATTGATAAAAAGTTGGATAATTTTTGATTTTTAAATAATTATAACTATTTCAACATTTGATTAGTGTGTTATTAATTAATTGTTATTAATAATATTCAAAAATTTTAGTGTAAAATTAATATTGTCTGTATTGTACATCAGTTTTTATTTTATAATAAATGGTTAAATTGTTTATTAATAAATAACTTATTTATTTTTAACCTTAACAACGAATTCATGTAGAGACTTTGATACTGACATTTTTTTTTTGAGTATTTTTTCATTTATTTATTCTAATAAATAATTAAATGTAATGATTGTTGCTATTTTTTGGTGATAAACAAATAGATGAATAATAAATAAATGGTAATTGATAATGATAATTAGTGTATTAATTGCTAAACAAGCGTTATTTATATTTAAAAAGGTTTTTTTTTAATTTCTACAGTCGCTATTTAGTCATTTTTAGGCTTTGGAAACGGATTTTTGTCGAATTTGAATCAGGAGTACAGAATATGCGTGGAGGTATTCGAGTTTTTCAGTGGGCGGGTACAATTTAAAGAATATGGATGTGATTGGTTGAAATATTTTTGGGCTCCGCCTAGAAGGCGGGCCGGTATTGCGTATGATTGGACTATTATTATTGAGCATACCGATGTGATTGGTTGAAATAGTCCAATCATACGCAATACCGGCCCGCCTTCTAGGCGGAGCCCAAAAATATTTCAACCAATCACATCCATATTCTTCAAATTGTACCCGCCCACTGAAAAACTCGAATACCTCCACGCATATTCTGTACTCCTGATTCAAATTCGACAAAAATCCGTTTCCAAAGCCTAAAAATGACTAAATAGCGACTGTAGAAATTAAAAAAAAAACCTTTTTAAATATAAATAACGCTTGTTTAGCAATTAATACACTAATTATCATTATCAATTACCATTTATTTATTATTCATCTATTTGTTTATCACCAAAAAATAGCAACAATCATTACATTTAATTATTTATTAGAATAAATAAATGAAAAAATACTCAAAAAAAAATGTCAGTATCAAAGTCTCTACATGAATTCGTTGTTAAGGTTAAAAATAAATAAGTTATTTATTAATAAATAAATAAATAAAATTACTCAGTGGTCATTTATTAATTTTTTGTAATGCTTTTATTTAATTTTAATGTACAATATATTAATATTATTTAGTAGATTAATGGTTTAATGATCAGCAACTCATTGAAACCACGCTATCAGCTTATTCAACAAGACAGTACAGGTTTTTTATGTACATGCATTTTCAAAATGGTGTCTAATTAATTTATGAGGTACTCAAAATTGTTTAAAAAGATTAATAATACATTTCAAACGTATGAAACTTTTTTATTATAACAATAAGTACGTACTGATATCAGTGTGATAAAATAAATTACACCTGCAATTTAATTATTAATATTTATCTTATCCGGCTAGAAGTTTGCAAAGAATTATTTATAATTTTATCCTAAGATTAATATTAGTCGTAGGACAAAAAAAAAATTGGTAATTAAATTACGCAGAAACAATTGAATGTAAGAGGTTAATTTAAATATTTATAATATTCTAAATTACAGATTAACATGTCGATCTTAAAAAAGATCTACCCATAAATTTCAAATTACTAACATTTGCTTTAAAAAAAAGTCGTTAAATCATATATAAAGGCTCGATATAGTTTAATTAGGAATAAATTCGTCCAATGGCTTTGAAAATTCACAATAAAATATAATAAATTTAATTCTTGTGAGATTAAATCCATCAATAACAACAATAATGAATTCAATGTTTCATCAAGAGCTCTTCTTCTTCATAACCTCTACAAGTAAAGCGTATACAACGCCATCTGCGTCAAGTGCCGATGGATAATTTTTTTTGAAACGTCAACAGGAATAAAGTGGAAACAGATGTTTTCTAAACAGCTGATTTGTTTTTGTTTATAAATATCAATTTATTCTGTTGAATAATCATTAAAAACGTGTGTGCCACTAGATAATTATCTTATGTATAATAATTGTTGATAATTAAGTGCTTTAAATACTTGTTTAAATCATAACTCTACTCCAAAATATGGAGGTTAGTTTCAGTGCATACTAATATTTTTAATTAATAAACAAAAAATGAAATAAATAAGAATGATTATAAAATTTGAGGTTATAACATCAAACATTATTTTCAGGATCAAAACATCCCCATAGATATTAATTCAGGAAAATTATTAGACTGGTTGATAAATCGTCGACATTGTTCAACAGGATGGCAAGTTCACGTGAAAACAATCAGAGAAAAAATAAATAATGCATTACAAGATATGCCTGTTCATGAGGAAATAGCTAGACTGTTAACTGGAACTTGTAAGTTTTAACCTTCACCATAATTCATAAAATTTATTGAGATGTTTAATCTCTAAAAAATTATCTCCAGACATCAATTACTTCCATTGCAAAAGGATAGTTGAGATTCTAAAGGAGACTGAAGCAGATTCGAAGAATTTATTTGGCCGTTATGGATCTCAAAGGATGAAAGATTGGCAAGAAATCATCAGAATGTATGAAAAAGATAATTTATATCTAGCAGAAGTTGCTCAGATGTTAATCAGAAACATTACTTATGAGATTCCTAACCTGAAAAAGCAGATTCAGAAGTTGGAGCAGTCAAAAAATGTAATTAACCTCAAATTATTTAAATATTTATTTTATTTAATCAGCAAGAAAATGAGAAACAATAAATTTTTTTGATCAATCATTCTAGGACTTGCAAAAGAAAGCAGCAGACTACAAAAAGTCAGAGACCCAAGCAAGATCAGAGTTCCAGAGCATGTGTAAAAATCTAAGAATCGAGGGGAAGAATATAAAGAAAGAATTAGTAGACCTCATAGTGGAGTTACCTCAAATATACACAGAAGTTGTAAAAAAGTGTCAGAGTCTTCGAGAAGCTGTGGAGTTTTATTCAGCATTTATTCACTTCGTTCTTGGACGTTACCATGATGGTGGCTGTGTGCCAATTGTGCAATATGTCATAGGTAAGTTCTAAGGTCTTTGAATCCAATAATCCTAGTTAACAATTCATTCCTCTTTACAATCAATGTCTGCCTCTATTGGCAAAGTCATCACTTTTTAGCTAGAATGTATCATACAGAATTGATATTCAATGACTGATAAAAATTCTAGATAAAGGAAATACAACGACCTATCAGTGGATTTATGGTGAAGAGCCTTTGTCAATAGTTGAGCCTTCAGTTGATATTGAGATCGAAGACCAATCTGCTATTGATCTGGTAAGTTTAACTCATGTCTTGGTTGATGATGAATGCTTTCGACTTAGCAGACAGCAAGACTCTGTGTCTAACCCCAAGTGTTCCATTCAAGACACCATCATCATCCTGAAGCATCTGATTTTGCTAGAGCTTATTGCTGTCTTCCAAGCTTTGATTAAATAAAAATGAATAAGCAATGAACAGTTTCTAATAACAGACTTTGATAATTTTAGATTGATGATCAAAATGCCATTGATTTCAATGAAGAAGTTGATTTGGATGAAGGTGGTGAGATAGACTGGGGTGACATCAATGTTGTGGAAGAAAACAATGAAGCTTTGGATATTGATTTAAATATCTCCCTAGAGGAATCTGGAATTGTTGTGGAATCAGCTGGTCATGAAGGTGGAGTTGCTACTGGAGATGAAGCTTTGACGATTCTAGATAATCCTAAAATACGAAATGATTTTATTGATCAACTTCTAGAGGTAAAATAATAAATAATAAAGACATTAATCAATTAACTGTAATTAATTAAACTTTTTTCTTTTGATGATCATTACAGCTGGAGGCCTTTTTTAAATTACGTCTGTATGAGTTGAAGAGTGAAAGTAAGACTAATTTATTAAGTCTCAGTCAAATGCAACTTGCTTCACCTATCCTACAACTCTCGACAATGGATAGCACACAAAATATGCTGGATAATGTGCAAGTTGTCTTGTCAACTATTTTAGACAGTCGAGTACAGCATTTACATTCTATCAAACATTCCCCCAAGTAATAGACTTTTCATGTCTGATATTTTACTCTTCACTATTCATATTGGGTTGATAAGAAAACAGTGAAACATCTCGACTAACTCTTAATTCTATTCTTTAATTTAATACTCTGCCAAAAATAATCCAAAAGACATGTGTTGATAGCAAGTCTATCCATAAGCTTATCATCAGCAGCTCATCATCAAAAGCAAATGTGGAAAGCTTATCACAGCTCATAAGAAGCTAATTTTATTGAAGAAAGGCCCTTGCTACTGATAAATATTTGCTGTTGATGGATTAACCATCAATGAGTATCTTGTAGACCCTATGTTTATCAATGACTAAATAGTGTTGCATTGTTTTCTTACCGACCTAATAATTCAAGTACTTGAAGATTTTCTGATTAGTTCTGATTGGCAATCATCTTTACAAGTATCTAGAATTTTATTTATTTAAAAAAAATAATACTCAATATTTATAAAGTGTCTTTCTTTTTGTCTAGATATATCGACATCCTTACTGAAACGTTAAAACAAAAACGAGAAGTGATAGAAAAAATGGGATCTATTCAGAAAAATATTGTTGCTAAAAAAAAAGACATCACTGAACAAATAGAGGCTGTACATGTAACATTGAAACTTGTTGTACAAAGAACTAAAGAACTTCAATTTGATGTAAGTGTATTTTATTGACTTCTTGGAAGATAAATTCTGTTGTTGGTAATGTTAAAATGATTTTCTTTCAGATTGAACAGGAATTATCGAAAAAATACAACAATCGAGCCGTGCGTTTGACAGGTGGAATAAACAATATGTGAATAAAATGCTGTAAGATAATAATTGAACAACAGATATTTTTTTAAAGGTGTAAAAAAAATTAATAAAAACAAAATTTCGGTAGAAATATTTTTATTATGAGTTCAAAGTTGGTATCTTTTTTATTTAATTCTAATGTAATGTTAATTAGATTTTAATCGACAGGAAATATTGGTCAAGAAATAAGACATCCAATGTTACCAATTATTTGAAATTGTGAATAGAAGTTACATCTAATTTATTGTAATTCTGTGTGGAGAATAATAAATGAAACTTTAAAATTATAACGATGAAATGAGCGATTCAATTAAAAATTGACCGATTACACAATATTACGGCCGATGGGTGTGTTAAAATAGAAGAGGAGAAAATTCGATAAAATTCCAATCTATAAAATTATTTATCTCTGTGCGAAGGAAGATATTGTGTAGCTGCAGGTCAACCTGGATGTAAACAAATCTATTACTTCCATAGAGTGATTGTATGATGATAATGATAAAATAATTGTCGCATAAAATCGTTTCACGTAAATACACAATACTGATATGGATTAAATAATCTCACTCAGTGCAGAATAATTTTATTAAAAACGTTTTCTCGGTAGAAAAATATATTATTCCCATAAACGATGCACAATAATGAACTGAATTAAATCGCAGTCGATTCAGGAGCAGTTGACAGTCACGGACGTGCTGAGAAATAATAAAAAATTTTCAACAATGATGAAGCAGTCTATTTTTCTACTGTTTTTACTTTTAAGCGTATTTAGTGCTATTTGTTTAATATCACCACGACACTCCAACAACAGTTTGACTGCAACTGAGAAAATGTTGGTAAGTGTTTGCTGTTATGTTGTACTTCTTCACATTTAATTCAACGACTGACATATTTCAAGATTCACATACTCCAAGAATGTAACCTTGGGCTGAATGACACCATATTCTATACTGGAAATAATCCAGATCTTGCTCAAGCTCTGCTGGCAACTCAACCTCCTGAAGATTTAGGATCCTGGAGTCTTATCTCCCACAAGATGGATAACAGATGTCGTAATCTTATGGCTAAAAGTGGAATTGTAGTGGTACTCAATTCACTCATCGAATTCAAGATTATAGATCATATTATGAATTATTGGAAATGTACGGAGGATTGCAAAGTGATTTTTTTATCTAAAATGTTTAAATCTTGTGACTATGGCCCTGACACTCTGATAAATTTAGCATCCTCATACTTTAAAAACTCCTACTATATATGTAATGACAACAGATACGGCCCATCAGTTTTCACACGAGATAAATATTACAGTTATCGACAACGTTATTGGCGCCAGTTTACGTTGGACGTTGAATCTTTGTACGATGGGAGCTTCTACTTTCGCCAATATAATAAAGGTATTTCTTTTTAGATTTTTTGATAGCGATTGATAGTCATTTTTACAGAAAATTTTTGTCTATAATTGACAGGTCTATGTCGTAACTTTGATTTTGAACGAAAAAAGCCCAAAGACATGCGAGTATATCTGGGAATTTTACGGAAAGTGAAAAAAAAGGCAGACGTGAAAGAAATGGTCTTTGATAATGGTATAAAGAAAATAGGACTCAATAGCGTCGATCATTCTATACTGATTCTTGAAGAAATCTTGAAAATTAAATTTGTTGCTTATGTGAAAACATACGTACCCAAGAAAATCGGTGATGGACAAGATTTTACAGAATTTTTCTGGTCGTCAACGTCTGTTGATGTAATGGGAAACACCGCGGCATTATTTCTGGACGTTAAGGTTGCGTACTCGCACCCCGTATACTACGACACTTTTGTCATTCTTTCTCATAAGCAAGCGGAAGCAACACCTCTTCAGAAAATAGCCAAGTTCTATGGGATTTTGACTTTGATATCACTAATCACACTTTTAATCATAGTTTTTGTTGTGATATACCTGAAAACTAACGGAAATGCTACGTTGGCGGCCTTTGATGTTCTTAGACTTGTCATTAACTCAGGAGTAGAGATTCCGATCAATACTTTATCACTGAAAATATTCTTCTGTATGATATTTCTGTATTTCATAGTGATTCATTCAACTTTCAGTGGAAATTTGCCGAGATTTCTAACAATATCTGAATACCACGACTCCATAGATTCCCTGGAAGATCTATCAAATCCCTGGATTACAACAATTTATGATAAGGGCTTTCTTACTGACGCTAATAAATTAAAAGATAAAAAAATTGAGAGAAAAGTAAAATATGTTGCTCATTATTCCGATCTTTTTGAACATTTCATGATGGACAACAATTCAGTCTGTATAGTAAATAAAATTCATGCTGAATTGTACATGTCTAGAATGGGGAAATCAATGAATGAAATTCACATAAGTAACGAAAATCTTGGTAATCTCATGTTTGCTATCAGAGTTCGACCCCGATTCTACTGGCGAGAAAAATTCCAAATGGCTACAGCTAAAATGCTTGATTTTTGTTTAAACTACTGGCAGAAATCAGTTGTCAACACAGCTCAAAGGACTATTACAAAACAACTTACTACCTCTGAAATAAAATTTCGAAAAATAACAGTCAACGATTTAATGTTTGCATTTATTTTCCTCACCATTGGAAATACTGTAGGTCTCGTGTGTTTTCTTATTGAACTTGTGATGGGTAAAAAGTATCATCAAAGAATCAGTTTTGAGTTACTTAAAGGATGTTTAAAATTTAAGGGAAAGAAAATGCGCATCAACATTCGAAGAATTGTAGTCAAACCTAAACCAGATATTGCAGACATGAATTAAATTTTACTTCAATAAGATGAATCTAAAAAGCTTGAATTATTCTAGACGTGAGGTTTTTTGAAGCATTTATGCGTGTTGTTTTTCTTATTTCCACACTACTTTTTATCAGAAAAAAATGCACTTCCAAGTATTTCGTAGAATTTGGTTTCATTCGGTTTTCAGAAAGAATCATCGAATTCGATAAAATTATTTATCTCTGTGTGAAGGAAGATATTGTGTAGTTGCAGGTCAACCTGGATGTAAACAAATCTATTACTTCCATAGAGTGATTGTATGATGATAATGATAAAATAATTGTCGCATAAAATCGTTTCACGTAAATACACAATACTGATATGGATTAAATAATCTCACTCAGTGCAGAATAATTTTATTAAAAACGTTTTCTCGGTAGAAAAATATATTATTCCCATAAACGATGCACAATAATGAACTAAATTAAATCGCAGTCGATTCAGGAGCAGTTGACAGTCACGGACGTGCTGAGAAATAATAAAAAATTTTCAACAATGATGAAGCAGTCTATTTTACTACTGTTCTTACTTTTAAGCATATTTGGTGCTATTTCTTTAATATCATCACGACACTCTAACATCGGTTTGACTGCAACTGAGAAAATGTTGGTAAGTGTTTGCTGTTATGTTGTACTTCTTCACATTTAATTCAACGACTGACATGTTTCAAGATTCACATACTCCAAGAATGTAACCTTGGGCTGAATGACACCATATTCTATACTGGAAATAATCCAGATCTTGTTCAAGTTCTACTGGCAACTCAACCTCCTGAAGATTTAGGATCCTGGAGTCTTATCTCCCACACGAGGGATAACAGATTTGGTGATCTCATGGCTAAAAGTGGAATTGTAGTGGTACTCAATTCACTCATCGAATTCAAGATTATAGATCATATTATGAATTATTGGAAATGTACGGAGGATTGCAAAGTGATTTTTTTATCTAAAATGTTTGAATCTTGTAACTATGCCCCGGACACTCTGATAAATCTAGGATCCTCGTACTTTGATAACTCCTACTATATATGTAATGACAACAGATACGGCCCAACAGTTTTCACACAAGATAAATATTACAGCCATCGACAACGTTATTGGCGCCAGTTTACGTTGAACGTTGAATCTTTGTACAATGGGAGCTTCTACTTTCGCCGATATGATAAAGGTATTTTTTTTTAGATTTTTTGATAGCGATTGATAGTCATTCTTACAGCAGATTTTTGTCTATAATTGACAGGTCTATGTCGTAACTTTGATTTTGAACGAAAAAAGCCTGAAGACATACGAATATATCTGGGAGTTCCAGTGGAAGTGGCAAAAAAGGAAGATATGAGAAATGATATGATCTTTGATAGAGGTATAAGAAAATTAAATTCCAATCGCATCGATTATTCTATACTGATTCTTGAAGATATCTTAAAAATGAAATTCGTTGCTTATATAAAGACATATATATCTGACAGAAGCGGTGACGAACAAAATCTTACACCATTTTTCTGGTCATCAACATCTGTTGATGTGATGGGAAATACCGTAGCATTAATTCTGGACGTTAAGGTTGCGTACTCGCACCCCGTATACTACGACACTTTTGTCATTCTTTCTCATAAACAAGCGGAAGCAACACCTCTCCAGAAAATAGCCAAGTTCTATGGGATTTTGACTTTGATATCACTAATCACACTTTTAACCATAGTTTTTGTTGTGATATACCTGAAAACTAACGGAAATGCTACGTTGGCGACTTTTGATGTTCTTAGACTTCTCATTAACTCAGGAGTAGAGATTCCGATCAATACTTTATCACTGAAAATATTCTTCTGCATGATATTTCTGTATTTCATAGTGATTCATTCAACTTTCAGTGGAAATTTGCCGAGATTTCTAACAATATCTGAATACCACGACTCCATAGATTCCCTGGAAGATCTATCAAATCCCTGGATTACAACAATTTATGATAAGGGCTTTCTTACTGACGCTAATAAATTAAAAGATAAAAGAATTGAGAGAAAAGTAAAATATGTTGCTCATTATTCCGATCTTTTTGAACATTTCATGATGGACAACAATTCAGTCTGTATAGTAAATAAAATTCATGCTGAATTGTACATGTCTAGAATGGGGAAATCAATGAATGAAATTCACATGAGTAAGGAAAATCTTGGGTAATCTCATGTCTTGCTATCAGAGTTCGACCCCGATTTCTACTTGCGAGAAAAATTCCAAACGGCTACAGCTACAAATGCTTGATTTTTGGTTTAAACTACTGGCAGAAATCAGTTGTCAACACAGCTCAAAGGACTATTACAAAACAACTTACTACCTCTTACATAAACTTTCGAAAAATTACAGTCAACGATTTAATGTTTGCATTTATTTTCCTCACCATTGGAAATACTGTAGGTCTCGTGTGTTTTCTTATTGAACTTGTGATGGGTAAAAAGTATCATCAAAGAATCAGTTTTGAGTTACTTAAAGGATGTTTAAAATTTAAGGGAAAGAAAACGCGCATCAACATTCGAAGAATTGTAGTCAAACCTAAACCAGATATTGCAGACATGAATTAAATTTTACTTCAATAAGATGAATCTAAAAAGCTTGAATTATTCTAGACGTGAGGTTTTTTGAAGCATTTATGCGTGTTGTTTTTCTTATTTCCACACTACTTTTTATCAGAAAAAAATGCACTTCCAAGTATTTCGTAGAATTTGGTTTCATTCGGTTTTCAGAAAGAATCATCGAATTCGATAAAATTATTTATCTCTGTGTGAAGGAAGATATTGTGTAGTTGCAGGTCAACCTGGATGTAAACAAATCTATTACTTCCATAGAGTGATTGTATGATGATAATGATAAAATAATTGTCGCATAAAATCGTTTCACGTAAATACACAATACTGATATGGATTAAATAATCTCACTCAGTGCAGAATAATTTTATTAAAAACGTTTTCTCGGTAGAAAAATATATTATTCCCATAAACGATGCACAATAATGAACTGAATTAAATCGCAGTCGATTCAGGAGCAGTTGACAGTCACGGACGTGCTGAGAAATAATAAAAAATTTTCAACAATGATGAAGCAGTCTATTTTACTACTGTTCTTACTTTTAAGCATATTTAGTGCTATTTGTTTAATATCACCACGACACTCCAACAACAGTTTGACTGCAACTGAGAAAATGTTGGTAAGTGTTTGCTGTTATGTTGTACTTCTTCACATTTAATTCAACGACTGACATGTTTCAAGATTCATATACTCCAAGAATGTAACCTTGGGCTGAATGTCACCATATTCTATACTGGAAATCACCCTGATCTAACTCAAGCTCTACTAAGAAGCCAATCATCTATGAGTTTAGGATCCTGGAGTCTTATGTCCTTCGCGATGGATAGAAGTTCTAGTGATCTAATCTCTACAAATGGAATCATTTTGGTACTCAACTCACGCATTGAATATAGTGATATATATAATGTCATGAATAATTGGAACTGTATAGATAATTGCAAAGTGATTATTTTATCTAAATTGTTTAATTCTTGTAAACTTGTTGTGGACATTTTGAAGTTCCAAGGATTCTTTTACTATGATAATTCCTATTATATATGCAATGACAAGAAAAACGCCCCAATAGTTTTTACACAAGATAGATATAATAATATTCGACAACGTCATTGGAACCGAGTCACTGTAAAAGTTGATTCTATGTACGATGGACGCATCTACTTTCGTCCGTACAATGAAGGTATTTCTATTTTAACTATCTGTTATCGATTGATAACCAATTTTACCTGATACTCCTTTTTGTGTTGAACAGATATATGTCGTAACTTTGATTTCGAACGAGTAAGACCTGTAAAAAATGCAAACATATTACTAGGAGTTGTCAGAAGGGTGAGAAACAAGGATGACATGGAAAAGGATTTTATCTTGGATGTAGATATACATAAATTTCCACCCATTTTAGTAGATTCGTCAATACAAATTGTTGAAAAAATATCAGAGGTTAAATTCTCTGCTTATATAAAGACATTTTTACTTCAAAAAGGTGCCACGAAATACAATTTCATCCCTTTTTTTTGGGCGTCAACGTATGTTGATGTAATGGGAATCACTGCGGGATTACTTCTGGACGTTAAGGTTGCGTACTCACACCCTGTATTCTACGACACTTTTGTCATTCTTTCTCATAAGCAAGCTGAAGCAACACCTCTTCAGAAAATAGCCAAGTTCTATGGGATTTTGACTTTGATGTCATTAATCACACTTTTAGTCATAGTTTTTTTTGTGATATACCTGAAATCTAACGGAAATGCTACGTTGGCGGCCTTTGATGTTCTTAGACTTGTCATTAACTCAGGAGTAGAGATTCCGATCAATACTTTATCACTGAAAATATTCTTCTGCATGATATTTCTGTATTTCATAGTGATTCATTCAACTTTCAGTGGAAATTTGCCGAGATTTCTAACAATACCTGAATACCACGACTCCATAGATTCCCTGGAAGATCTATCAAATCCCTGGATTACAACAATTTATGATAAGGGTTTCTATACTGAACATTATGAATTCAAAGATAAAGAAATTAAGAGAAAAGTAAAATATCTCTTTGATCATTCCGATCTTTTTGAACATTTCATGATGGACAAAAATTCAGTCTGTATAATAAATAAAATTCATGCTAATTTGCTTACATTCAACTTAGGAAAATCAATGAATGAAATTCACATAAGTAAGAACGATATTGGAGATGCAATTTTTGGTATTGTCTCACGACCCCGATTTTACTTGCGAGAAAAGTTTCAACGGGCTACATCTTACATGTTTGATGTTAGTCTAAACAAACAGCTAAAATCGGTTGTCAACAAAGCTCAAAGGACTATTATAAAACAACGTAGTACCTCTGACATAAAATTTCGAAAAATAACAGTCAACGATTTAATGTTTGCATTTATTTTCCTCACCATTGGAAATACTGTAGGTCTCGTGTGTTTTCTTATTGAACTTGTGATGGGTAAAAAGTATCATCAAAGAATCAATTTTGAGTTACTTAAAGGATGTTTAAAATTTAAGGGAAAGAAAACGCGCATCAACATTCGAAGAATTGTAGTCAAACCTAAACCAGATATTGCAGACATGAATTAAATTATACTTCAATAAGATGAATCTAAAAAGCTTGAATTAATCTAGACGTGAGGTTTTTTGAAGCATTGAGGCGTGTTGTTTTCTTATTTTCACACTACTATTCGTAAGGTGCTCGGTGCTTCATAATTTATTTAAAATGTTAAATCTTGGGTGCCGTCGAACCTATTACTTTTATTATGTGTTTATGACTGTTATAATGTAGAAATAAAAAAAAAAATAAAACATGCACGCAAGTGTATTGAATATAATTCCAAACAATTTTCAATGATCGACGCGTAATACACATTTTATTTTCTAATAGTTTATTTTCTCCCATCATTAATTCGTTGTTGCACGAAACTTATTCTATCTTCGCATCATATTGTCCCTCTAAACTTAATCAACTTGTAACCAGGAAAACAACACATGTGTAAAAAAATTTGGTCTATTAAACTGTTAATGATGAAAAATTAACATTAACTGTTAATTACCAATTATTTAATTATCGAAAGAATATCAAGGTAAGCTTATCTTACTATCACTGAAATAAGTTGAAATATAACCTTATTTTAGTTTCTACTATCCTGAGGCTATAAAAAAGTATTCCAAATCATTAACATAAAGTACAAATCAACCATTACTAGTCAAGAGTATCACTGTTTTATATTTTTATTTATTAGTCTGATATTTTCATCAACCAGTTGAATATTTAGGTTATTTTTTCTTTGACATATTGTTTGTCTTTGACATAAAATTGTTTAGTGAAATTGACTTCCAAAGCAATCAGAAGATGTCATATAGATTCAAATGGAATTCATTCTTGTGCTTTAGTTTATCACAAGCATGTTTGATTTTCAATCTTCTAGATTTGGTGAGAAATTACGGAATATTTATGAAGAACTTGCTGTTAATTGTAGGATTTGATTTATTAATTTTTTCTTTTGTAGGTCGCAAATACGTTTATCATTACCAGGTATTCAGTGCTCTTCTATGAAATCCAAGCCCCCGAAAACCTTTCTTTTGTTGTTATTGCTGCTATCTCAGTTTGCACATGCTCATTTATGATAGTTGGATCCATGATGGTAATCACTTATTTATTGGAAAGCTATGGAAGCTTTGAAATTAGCATTGATTAATCAATATTTTACTCAATTAAATTGTGACTTATAATATCATAGGAAAATCATTGGATGTTGATTCCTCACATTTTATGGAAAACAGTTCTTATCGGATGCCTCGCCGTATTAGTGGTGATGTTAAATTTAATGCTAATAGAAAATAGGAATGAAAAAGGATTGTTACCGGTTATTATAATTTTCAGCATCATTTTTGGTAAGCATTGAAATCCAAGTAATAGAATATTTTTAATCTTTCAATGACAATTTTTTTTTTCAGTTATTTCTATTCCATATTGGAATGTGATGATGAATCATTACCTAGAGATCAAGAATAAGCCGGCTGCTCATCTGATGTACAATTGGTCCACAAATACATCATGATCAGTAACAATTTTTATAAAATATCGTTCTATGAAAATAAATTATTTATTTATTTGAAACAATTACAGAGACTCAATAGTATGAGACAAACTAAGACCACTGATATATGAAAAAAAAGATAGTAAAAAAAGCAGCACTCTATTGTACATGAGTTTAGGCAATTGTTAGGATCCTGCTATCGAGATTTAAATGTAAACATTACCTAACTAAAAGAAAGATTTAAATGCCTAGAAAAAAATTTAAATGTCTGTCAATATTTACTACCGTAGTGACATCATGTTCCTATGACGTCATCAAAATAGATTGTTAGAAGTAGAAGTTGATAGACAATTCAACAAATTTACCAATGATGTGGATGATTTTTTGTTTTACTGGATATTTATTTGCCTCCATTATCCTAACCTTGTCAACATTTTGAAATTTATTTCTCAAGTTTTATTCATCACACGTCCATGGACCTTATCATTACCATGTCCTGACTGGAGTTCGATTACTTAAAAAAGCATCAGTGTACCGGTCTCTACACATCTATGGGTCCAGTTTATTTATTTATCTGTCTTCACTTATTTTATTGATAATAATTAGTGCCAAATATGTGAGTTGTTTGACATCTGCTCCGCAAGATAATATTTTGATAACCCAAAAACATGATGGCCTTCGTATAAATATAAAAACTGTACCAAAATTTTTGCAATAACTTCTAGTTTTATACAACAATGAATCTTTTGATACAATTTTCTAATTGTAAGTTATTAAGAAATCATGAAATCATTATTGATGATTTTTGGGTGCGAAATGGAGTAATAATCGATCCGGAGAAGATATTTTATGATGAACAGATTCAAGCTAATGTACGTATTGATTGTGAAGGTGCTTTGATTGTTCCTGGATACATTGAATTACAAATAAACGGTATTTACTATTTTATAACCTCACTTTTGTTTTTATTATTAATAAATCTAGCTATAATTAATGACTTTTTGATGCTCAAAAGGTGGCTATGGTGTTGATTTTTCTTACAACGTTGATAATGTTGAAGAAGGAGTGAACAAAGTTGCCAAAGAATTGCTATCTCATGGTGTTACATCCTTTTGTCCAACTCTAGTGACTTCACCAGTTAATTCCTATCATAAAATTTTGCCTAGAATAAAAAAGCAGAAAGGTGGTATCCATGGTGCTAGTGTTTTGGGTGTTCATGTTGAAGGACCTTTTATCAATCCTGTTAAAAAAGGAGCACATCAGGAACTGCACATTAGAAAGCTTGACAATGTTAGTAAACTCAATAAACCTAACCAACTATTATGCTTGATTAATTAGACTTAATAACAAAAGGTTCTTTCGCCAGGGATTCCAAACACTTCTTGATGTCTATGGAGATCTAAGCAATGTCTGCTATGTCACATTAGCACCAGAACTTGACAATGCTTGTGAAGTCGTCAGAGAATTATGCAAAAGGAACATAAAAGTTTCTGTTGGTTTGTATAAATCATTCTATTCTTACATTTCTAATTATTCCAATTCTTTGATAAAAATAATAATTCAATTATTCAGGACACTCTGCAGCTGATTTAAAGCAAGGAGAAGATGCTGTTAAATCAGGAGCATCTTTCATCACTCATCTATTCAATGCTATGCTGCCGGTAAGGTCAACTATCAAGATAATTATGACATGACAGACTCAATAAAATAATAATCATTGTTCTCCATGAACAGTTTCATCACAGAGATCCAGGTCTAGTAGGTCTTTTAGCTTCTGATCAAATCCCCTCTTCAACAACCGTCCACTTTGGTATCATTGCTGATGGCATTCACACTCATCCTGCCGCTCTTCGTATAGCTCATCGAACTCATCCTGAAGGTAATAGAAAATAACTACTCTACTCACAATCATTTAAACAGTACATCATTATTTTGCTGATCAATAGGTCTTGTCCTGGTGACTGATGCTATCTCTGCTCTTGGTCTGACTGAAGGAATACACAGACTAGGTCAAGCTGACATAGAAATAAAATCAGGACGTGCTTATATTGCTAATACAAACACCCTATGTGGCAGCACAGCAAAAATGTCTGAATGTGTAAAGTTTTTTAAGAAAGCTGCTGGTATTTATAATTATTTATTCTTTCATCAAATAATTGTTGTTAATTTTAAATATTCTATGATGAACTGAATATATAATAATAACTGAATATATTTATAGACTGTTCAATAGTAGAAGCACTTGAAGCTGCCACTTTACATCCAGCACGTGCACTTGGAATAGAATCAAAAAAAGGTACACTTGACTTTGGCGCCGATGCTGATTTTTTGATACTCAATGATCATTTAGATATCATTTCTACATGGATTGCTGGTGAATGTGTTTATAATGTTAAAAATTAATTAATTAACATATAAAAGTAGCATTTATATTTCTATTGGAATATATATTTTTTTACAATACTATAATTATTGTTAATAAAACAAAATGCTTTATCTATCATTAATATAGTTGAAGTTGAAGTTTAATTATTAGTCGATGATAATAAGCAATCAATTTTATAAACATTTGATATAAAATAATAATAATAATAATAATAATAATAATAATAATGACAATTTAAATTAACAGACGGCATCTTTAGGATTGCAGATATAGGGAGAGTGTTTTATACCGAATGTGTGGGCTGGCGGAATGTCTAGAAGAACCTGCAACCGTTGATCAATGTTTAATATTATTGTTCAAAATACTAGGTTCTCGAAATATGAATCTGCCACTTTATGGCCAGCCAGACTACCATTTTATTGTTATAATTATTATTGTTTAGACTTGGTCTATTGATAAATGATAAGAATTAAAAATATTGATCGTTAATTGTTCATCAAAATAGCAGATTCATGATTGGATAGTATGATATGATAATTTATAAATGTACTTTTTCTGGTGAATAAGCTCCAGGCGCTGGAATTTTTTCTTGATCAGTTGGCAGTTGATAGCGACCACTCATCGTATAAGCAGCACTCTTAACTCTAACGATATCTGTTTTAATAGCTTCATATGCACCAGGTCCAGGAACCAGAACACGATCATCTGTAAATTCTTTTTGTCTGCTAGATATTGAGTAAGCTGGAGCTGTTTTTTTGTTTCCTTCTTTCGTTGCGCCTAAAGCTGATGGAATTGTGTAGACGTTGGGTGCTAAATAACAATACCAAATAGTAATATTAAATAATAAATACTAGATAGTAATTGTAAATTACTTAGTCATTGAATTAATTCCACAATCCCAAAGGTTATTGAAGGGTTGGTTTATTTTTTAAGGAATATTAGATGAAGTTACTAGTAATTATCAATACCTGGAACATCAGTAGCTTGATTGATGGGTGGTTTCAAGCCAAATGTGAATTGTAATGCTTTTTTCCAAATAAGCATTGCATTTTCTGGACTGTATTGGCCAGGTCCTAGTGATGATAACAATAGTGTTGGATAAAAAAATATTAAGCAACAATTGATTGTAGGTAGAAAGTCAGAATTACCTGGAGTAGCTGATGGTTTCTCTAGAGGTGTTTTTAAACCGAAACTATACTCTGGTGTTTTGTCTAGGTTCACCTTTTCTGGAGCGTAGGTACCAGGTGCTGAAAAAGCAGGAGAAAAGAACTACTTTCAAACTATCCTATCACTATTTTAGAACTGCTAATAATGATTTTGAATACATTATTATGCTAACTCATTAATAGAAGCTTTATTTCTTTTTTATTGAATTTAATTTGAAGACTTTTCTTACCAGGAGTTTCAGCAGATTTGTAAGGTGAATGTTTGATACCAAAACTATATTGAGGTGATTGTTGAAGATTGTGTTTTTCTGGAGAATATGTGCCTGGTGCTAATGAAGCCCAATAAATAAATTTAAATAAAAATTTTAAATAATAAAAATTAATCAAATAAAATCTTACATGATTATATAGAATATTTTTTATCAGGAATTTAAGGGATATGGTCTATTGTTTTGTATTGAAAATAAAATAGATGAATAGATACAGACCTGGATTGGTATCAGGTTTTTCTGGAAGACCTTTCCCAGTTAGACTGTATTGAGGGCCTTTGTTTAGGTTTACTTTTTCAGGAGAATAAGTTCCAGGTGCTGAATGAAGAGATCATTAATGTTATAATATAGCAATGAAACCCCTTAGGTTTTGAATAATAAGAAGATCTGTAATGCAACATACCTGGAGTATCTGAGGGTTTATCTAGGGATGGTCGGTGCCCAAAAGTATAATGTGGTGCATGATCTAAGTTTACTTTCTCCGGAGAATATGTGCCAGGAGCTGAATTAATTAAATTAATTGATTAAAAATAGAAACAAGAAGCGAAATAATAAAGAAAAATGTACCTGGAGTATCACTGAGCTTCTCTGAAGGTCCTTTGCCTGTTAAACTGTACTGAGGACCTTTGTCCAGGTTTACTTTTTCCGGAGAATAAGTTCCTGGAGCTGTGTTAAATAACATAGCTATCAATCTATGCATAAAAAATTTTTTTTGCAATAATAAATATATTATCTAAGTACCTGGATTGTCTGATGGTTTATCTGAAGGTCTTCTATGACCGAAAGTATAATGAGGAGAGTGATCTAAGTTCACTTTTTCAGGAGAATAAGTTCCAGGTGCTATTAATTGATAAAACAAACATATACATTCCAAAAGAACTTAATTTATTACTAACAATAGGTGAATGAATTTTTAAAAAAATATACCTGGTGTATCACTAAGCTTCTCTGAAGGTCCTTTGCCTGTTAAACTGTACTGAGGACCTTTATCCAGGTTCACTTTCTCTGGAGCATACGTTCCAGGAGCTATACAAAAGAGTTAACCTACCAATTAGCATATAATTTTGCTAAATACCATGTCTGAATAGCATAAATAAGTATATAAGTACCTGGAGTGTCTGAAGGTTTGTCCAAAGGTGTACGATGACCGAATGTGTAATGAGGAGAATGATCTAAGTTTACTTTTTCAGGAGAATACGTCCCAGGTGCTAATCAACGAAAGTAAATATAATAAAAACTATCATTGGCAAATGAAAGAATTTTTAAAAAACATACCTGGAGTATCACTGAGCTTCTCTGAAGGTCCTTTGCCTGTTAAACTATACTGAGGACCCTTGTCCAGGTTTACTTTTTCCGGGGAATAAGTTCCTGGAGCTGTATTAAATAACATAGCTATCAATCTATGCATAAAAAATTTTTTTTGCAATAATAAATATATTATCTAAGTACCTGGATTGTCTGATGGTTTATCTGAAGGTCTTCTATGACCGAAAGTATAATGAGGAGAGTGATCTAGGTTTACTTTCTCAGGTGAATAAGTGCCAGGTGCTATTAATTAACAATAAAATAAATAAATAAATAAACTAAAATTAAAAATAGTAAAATACTGTTAGAAAAGTCAATACTACCTGGAGTTTCTGCTGGCTTTTCCAACTGTGGCCTGAACCCAAATGAATACCTTGGTGTATTATCAAGATTAACTTTTTCTGGACAATAAGTACCAGGTGCTGAGCAAATAAAATAAGCCAATACAATACCACTAACGAAAACGGCATTAATTATAATATACAAAAGAATAATTTAACATTTTATTACCTGGAGTATCATTAGCTTGTTTCAATGGAGGTTTCAGACCGAAACTAAATTCAGGAGCTTTATCTAGATTTACCTTCTCCGGACAATATGTTCCGGGAGCTTAAAAACAGTATCAATAGCTAAATAAATCGATTTGAAGTATTGTTTAACATAAAAAAAAATTAATTAGTATCAACGTTTAGTTGTATATTAGTTCAACATTAATGAGATAATTAATTATAGTGCAATTTTTAGATGATTAATAAAATATATTTATACCGAATTGTTATATTTATGATGTTATATCTTCCATGATTAAGCAGCATCACAAAATTCTGTTAATAAAAACCAAAACCTTGATTAATGTTTTAATTATGAATTAATCACATATAGATACTGTGCTATTTACCAGGAACATCATTTGGTTTTTCTACTAAAGGTTTTAATCCAAATGAAAATTGCGGCGACTTGTTGAGATTCACTGTTTCAACTGCATATTCACCAGGAGCTACGGATGTATTTAATTATTCCAATATGAACACATTAAATATTTATCAACAAAATATCAGATAAATTTTTTTTTTTTTTATTGGGATTGTGGAAATTAATCATGATAAACATGATCTCTAGTACCTGGAGTAGTACTTTTCTTTTCAACTTGAGTCTTGATGCCAAATGAATATTTCGGTGAACTGTCTTGAATAATTTTCTCAGCTTTCTGTGGATCATAATCCCCGGGAGCTGGAGTTGGATCGACTTTCTCTATTTTATTCCGACCATGAAGTGATGAAGCTGGTGTTGTATCTTTTCCTTTAATTAAAGATACAATTAATTATTTTCTATCATGGCACGTTAAATAATAAATTTATCATCAATTCAAGCATTTTATTTTTTTTTTTAATCTTATTATTATCTTTATTGCCTCTTAGCAATGTGTGACCCTGTAGCTTGTTTTCTATTGGATCTATTCTATTTTAAATAAATAAATAAATTATTATTATTGAAATAATAATAAGTGTAGGAAGTTAAAGAATGTAATAATTCCTTTCTCATAATTCCCAAACAAATATTGATATCACTGTCGTTAGCTTCCGTTTGATCGATAAATACTTCCAGTCTCAAGTTATCAAGTAGAACTACTACTGTATGTGAAAGCATTTCACTAAAGCAAATATTTAAATCCTCTTCGATGACAATTCATATACCTTTTGCACTCAATCCAGAAACATTGTATTGACCAGGTCCTGGACCAGGGCTATCATTCTTCAAGGAATGTCTAATAAAAAAAATAATAAATAACAGCAGCTATTAATAAATATAAAATAAATTTCAATCATACTTTAATTCATATTTTACTACAAACCTGCTTCCAAAAGAAAATGCTGGAGCTCTTTCGCGTTTAGAATCAGGAACAGTTTTACCTAACAATAATAAATGACGATAAATTAATTTTTTAATGATTAAACTAGGGTAGATTCATCAATAAATGAACAGTCAAGTCCAAAAGATGGACAAAGTATCAATGCAATGACCTTGGAATGCTTAATTAAGTAACAATAAATTATGAAACATAGTGTAAATTAACATCCTGTGCTAATGTATGTAAAAAAATCCATCAATACTTTGCATGAGTATATGAATAATGAGGTCGTCCTTAGACCAAACTGTCCGTCTGTAAGCACGAGATCTAACAGTCAACTAAGACTTCTATATTTGTGACAATCAACTAATCATTTCTTTTCAATATATTCCACTTGTTTTCTGTTACGTGTTTATTCTTTATTTATTCTGTACCTCTTCACACTAGTTCTCCACAATAAATTTAACATCCTGAATCATTCCAAGGGATCAATCATTAATGCTATTTTATTGCTTTATAACTCCTAGTCTTTTATAGCTTAAGTAATTTGTCAATCTTCGGGGCAGAGTTCATTAAATTACTTTAATACAAATAATTATAATTAATCACCAATAAGAGGTGGTAGGGTAACACAAGCAGGACCAGGGCTAGCAAATTCAGCAGCAATAGGACCTCTCCTTTTCGTTGGTGTCCATGATCTCTGAGTCATTCCACCCATGGTTATCTACAAAGAATAAAAAAATCATTAATACAAACTTGTTCTAAAGTTTTCAAAATAATTTTCACAAAACCTATCATTTTATATAAATCAGGAATTATAATCGGCGATTGTGCAAGACTTTTAACCTCGAGATGATGGGTAACGAATGCTCGACATCGAGTCACAGGTATCCATATAAGAACATGCCCATGAAGGTTTTATTTTATTTTTCTTTTTTTTATTCTTTACTTGCTTTGATCGCCCACGTTCTGATACTTCTTTAGATAGCATAAATGTGATCATTTATTTGTATAAAGGTAACTGGTGGAATAAATTATTAATTTACTTCATAAAAGGTAGAAAAATTATTTCAATATTCCTTCTTACAAAGAATTACTCTTTTTTTTTTTGCTTTCTATCTAAATAAATATAAATAATATTGATGGATATTTAGAATTGATAGTTGGATACAGAATTAATTTTATACTATAAATAGAGAATGAAAGTAGCCAGGGAGTAAATAAAGTAAGAATTAAAAAGCCATTAAAAGCTAAGTAGTACAAATGCAGTCTATATGTAATGATTGGGTGATCATTTCGTAAGATATATTTGAAATTGGTCAGCATCATCTTTTTTTTTTTAAATCGTCATCATGATTAATTAATGTAATTAAACAAGAGAATATTATTCTAGAATTTGACAGTCTTAAATTAAAATTGATGACTTTAGAATTAGATATAAAATTTTAAATTATGATGAAGAAACTTTCTGCATTAAATCATGACTGGTTGTTGAAGATAAATGACTTATTATTAGATAGAAAGTTAAAAAAAAATAATTGGAATAATTAGAAAATATTTCTTGATAATTTTTTAGCTCGCTTTTTGCTCAATAATAATAAATAACTTGTGTCATGTGTGTAAGTAGATCCATAGATAATATTTTTGAAGTTTTAAATAATTAAAGTATTGTCAGAATAAAATCTCTTGCTTAAGGAAATGCATTTCCTAAAAATGAATAATAAATTAGAATTGTTATGAACAATATGCAATTGTTATAAATCACATGGAGTAATTAATAACAAGCTAATTGCCTTTTACTTCATTCATTTCACAGTTTTTTTGTTATAAAAGAGAAACGGCTATACCGAATTTACTCATTCTTCTTTGAGATTTTCTTCATTGCATTATCTTTCGAATGAAATTAGTCTGGGATCGATAGCTCTAGTGGTTCTTAAGATATCAAAAAAAAACCTGACATACGTACGTACGTTTGTACGTACGTACATTCATTTTTAAACCTTTTAATATAAAAATCAACTCCATTACAATAACTTCCTAATAAAAAATTAATGAAATGATAATTAAAATAACAATAAATATTAGTAATGAATAAATAATAATAAAAATAAAATAAATACTTACAATTATTTAATCGATGATTATTTTTGCAGTCAGCTACCACAGTCTTCTTCGTTCGAATTTATTTTAACTTTACAACTGATTTATTTTACTCAAAAAGTCAATGGTAATTTAAAAAAAAAAAAAACAATTAGATAACCTAACTTTATTATTGTTATTATTATTTTTTATTAGTTGCTTTTATTTATAGGCAATAATAAATCACTGATAATTAATAACCTGTTGGTTAATAGTAAAACAAAACAGTATTGTTGATAATTATTAAATGATTGAATAAATTTTATTTTGTGACTTGATTGTCTTGTTGTAAGATAGTGATCGAGTTACGTTTTATGTTAGTCTGTTATCGAAAAAGATCAACACAATCACTAAAACAGTGATTTTCCAGTTAAACACTACGCAAAAGTAAGACTGATTATCAGACCAAACGCTCTTGAATCTTCACCGAGGACTTCAACTCCCACCATTTTCACTTGGAATGCGCAGATGATTTTTTTGAGACTTGTGCGCAGGTAGATTAAAATAAACATTCCAAAAACCGCCAAAAAATTGTTTAAACATCTTATAAGAAGGATGAAACACGCCAATTGATGGACAACAAATTAAAATTATCATAAATAAATAAAATAACCTAGAAAAATTATTAATTATAACCTACAATAATTAACAATAATAACCTATAATAATAACAACAATAACCTATTTGTTTTAAATAAAAGGACTTTAGCAAAAATTGCAATGCAATTATTAATTATAACCTTAAATGTATAACCTATTGTTATCTTAATTTATTTATAATTGCTTGTAATAATGTGTTTAAATTAAAAAAACAATCCTATGAGGTAAGAATTATATTTACACTAAAAATAAAATATTAACAACCATCAATAAATCTCTATACAATTTTTTCCAGGTCATAATATTAATTATCTGATTACAAATGAGATTCAAAGATTGGGAATATTTTTAAAAGAATAAAAATAATCAATTAATAAAAATAAATTAATTTAATCTAATTTTTTAGGTCTATATAGCTAGCTTTTGTAATAAAGCCCCTTCTATTCCTACAATAATGATGTAGTGACACTTGTTGAAGAGAGAGAGTGGGGTACAGATGACCGTATAATTATTATACATCAGTATCGGTCAGCGACTGATTCCTGAAGACTGTTTTTAAACCATTTTTTTATCCAATCTTATCAAGATACGTTGATTAAAAATTAATTTATCAAATAATTCAGGTGTTATTGTCAAACATTTCCATCATCAGTGTCACGTAAGTATCATAAAAACATCAGCACTATTATTTTTTTTTTTCTAGTATCACAAAAAAGCTAGTTAAATCATCACTAAGAATATCAAAAAATATTTAACAACAGTCATAAAATAATTTCTTTACAGTTATTTGAAGTTGAATGTTTCCCAAGCATAAATAATATTTGAGTGTGTAATAAAAAAGTAGAAGCTGTTTGATTGATAAATAAACCACAAGGAACTGTTATGTTAAATATAATTCAAGGTTATAAAGCCGAATTTAAAAATGATCTGACAGTAAAATGAAAATACTACCTAACATGGCAACTCGCTTGACCATGATAGAGTTATCCAGATGACATCATTGTCATGGCTGTACACTTGTGTTGAATTTGCTGCCCACGCACAAGTCACGATCATGTTCCAGACTTTTATAAAAGAGTTATTTTTCTGTTGAATTGGCATTGAATTATTTTTCCAAGAAACCTTGATCGTAAAGAGACAGCCAAAGGTTTTAAAATTATTCTTCCATTTTAATACTATCAATTATATTAGCATTACTAAATAATCAACATAATAATTAGATTTCTTAATATTTGTGAACAAGTAATATTAAAAAATCGCAAATATTTTTTTTTGGAATTGACAGGGTAACATTTGTATAAATTCAGTTCTGATAGTTACATAGAATAATAAAAAAATAATTTTTCAATTTATTCTAATGTTGCATTTAATTGATAATTTTTTTTAAGATCCATGGTATCTCATGAAGTAAGAATTTAATTGCGAATATTTTAAATTCTCTTTATTGATTAAATTAACATCCTTTTGTATAATAAAAAATTTTTCTCTACGTACATATGAATTGTTAGACCAACAACTTCAATTTCTAATCATATTTGAAAATAGATCAGATGATATTTAACACTGATATAGCTGTCGAGTCATTAGCATACTGAAAACAATGAATAATTCATTTAGTTTAAAAATAAAACAAAGTCTACTTAATGCTAAATAACACAAATCTCTAGGAAATATAATTTATTTTATTTTTATTCTCAATTTAAATTAATCATTTGTTCATTTAGATGATAAAAATGGATCCAGAAGAGGAACATTTGCAGCTGACAATGATTCAAGAGCCAAACATAAATATCTACAAGTTATTACTAAACAGTCTTCAGCATAATCACTATGCTATATTCAAGAGTTTGTTGAAGAGAGAGCTAGAAAAGCGACCATCATCTATTGAAATCGATTACATCTATCCTCATCCACTCAACAAAACTCTTCTAGATATTTCATGTCTAGAAGGATTACCAGAATTTACTGAATTACTTTTAGAACTTGGTGCTGATCCGAATAAAATAAATTTCTCATACAATCGAGGACCACTTCATTTCGCGACTGAATCAGGTCATGTTAATGTACTGAAGGTTTTGCTGGAAGACCCGAGGTCCAATCCTAATTTGGAAGTGGCTCGAGAAACCGCCCTTCACTTGGCAGTACGAAAAAATAATCCAGACTGTGCCAAGGTTCTTTTAGACAACAACGCAAGTCCAAATATCCCAAATTCCAAAGGTATGACGCCAATTCATGTAGCTGCTTCTGAAAGTAATCGTGAAATGGTTTTAGCAATTTTAAATCACTCAAGACTACCACCAGATTTGGATAATTTTTATGACTTTAGAAAGAAAACAGCTCGAGATTTAATAATACAAAAGTTTCCAGACATTCATTTACCTCCAAAAATGCCAAAGAGAGTGGATTATAATATTCTAAGGTTCTATCTTGATGCTAATGATGAGAAGAATTTTTTAAATCATCTAGACATGGTTGAAGATGATGCTGATATTGATCAAGAGAGATTAATCACATTAGCAGCAGAAAAAAATCTAATCACAAGCGTTCAAGCATTGATCAAAGATATTGATCCAATAAAAACTCCAATCGTTGATGAAGCTGTTGAAGTAGCTGTGAGGAAAGGTCATGTTGAGATCCTAGCAGAACTCTTGAACTTGGGAGTAAAAATCAAAGATAATTTAATCCTAGTTGCTGCTAGGGAACTAGGTGTTTCCCTACGAGCTAATTTAAATCAAAATAATCGACTTAAATGTCTGAAGATGATCCTAGAGCTACCGAATATCAATGTCCGATGTAGAGATGAAAAAGGTAACACTCCTCTTCATTATGCAGCAAGAGCTGAATGTGAAGAAGCAGTGGTGTTGCTTCTACAACATGGCAGTTATCTAGGTGCTGAGAATTGTCTTGGAGTCTCACCTCTAGCACACATTGCACCAGGATTGCTTCAAGATTACTTCAATGATTGTCTTCGTAGCAACAACGACCGAACTGATGACTATGAAATCGAGTTCAATTACGAGTGCTTCATTCCTCATACTGACTTTCAAACCAGCGAAAATTCAGAAAGTTCTTTGCTTCAGAATAATTATCAAACATCTAGGAACTCGAAGCAGTTATTCACCGAGCTGGAACCCTTCAACTACATCGCTCATAATCGAAGCTTGAAGAACCTGTTGAAACATCCACTGCTTTCATCATTTCTCTACCTTAAATGGCATCGGATTCGATATGTCTTTTACATTAATTTTATTTTCTTCACCTGTTTTTACATCTTCTTGAATTCATATATTTTATTGACCTTCAAACCACCACCAATCAATCAGACAAGTTCTGAAAACACATCAGCACAGTTCGTAGCAGAAAAAATAGTCCTGACTGATTTTTCAAGAGACTTTAATAGTCTCTGGGGAATAACAACTGTTTTGTTAATTCTCCTAGCTATTCGGGAATGTTTCCAACTCTTCTCAGCACCAATTCATTACATAAAAAATGCTGAAAATTGGTGGGAATTGTTATTAATAATTCTAACTTCAATTATTCTAATTCATCCTCATTCAGGAATTGGAGCAGTGTTGATTTTATTATCAGCATGGGAATTAATTATTTTAATTGGTCAGCATCCAAAAATGTCTACAGGAATAGAGATTTTTAAAACTGTTACTGTTAATTTATTATTCTTCTTACTGCCATATGCATTTTTAATTCTAGCATTTGCTCTATCATTTTTTACTTTATTTAATGATTCAGATGATGACAATTTCCCGAATGCTGGAAGATCAGTTTTTAAAACAATAATTATGTTGACTGGTGAATTTGATGCTAATGATATTCCTTTCTTAAAGTATCCAATAATAAGTCGGTTTATTTTTATATTATTTATATTTCTTATTGCTATTGTTTTGTTTAATTTACTTATTGGTCTTGCTGTCAGCGATACCAGTGATATTTTAAATAAATCAGAATTAGTTGTTTTAATTTCACGAACTAAATTGATTAATTACAGTGAAAAAATTGTCATTGGTTCAAAAATAATTAAATCAATATTCCATTGTCGTTATTTTAATGCTGATCAATTTAAAAATTATTCCATTGGATTTTTAGCAAGCAAGATATTCTTTTTTCCTAGCTTTATGCCGACTGGTAAAATATATGTGCAGCCTTATAAAAATAATTTGATTCGGATTGTTGGAAATAATTTACATGAAAAGAGTTGTGATAAAATATTGATGGATAAGAAGATTGTTGTGAAGGCAAAAGAAATTTTGGCGGAAAAGGGGAAAATAAGTGAGTATCAGAAGATTATTGATGACTTGAGGGAGATAAAAATGAAGATGGAAAAGATAGAGAATATTGTAAATCATATTCAAGCTGATAGTTTGAAGAATAATACTACTAATGTAGAAGACTGATGTTTTTTATTTTTAATTAAGGAAGATTACTATCCCAATTGTTGTTCATGAAGGTATTTTTGCTCAGTAAATTTTATTATGTTATTAAAAAATATTATTTAATCAATAGGGAATATAAAAATCCTTACTTTATAATTATGTTGTTGATGGATATGAGTTGAAGATGAAATAATGTGGACTGGAAAATGGCGAGGTTACAAAGAGAAGAATATTTAGAATTTATTAAGACAGACTTATAATATAAATATAAATAGAACTATTTCCTTAGAGAGACTTATTTAGACTGTCCATCAAGCGAATGCTAGGCAAAAAATAGGTTCATGATCTACAGTTGGGATATTGACCTTTTCTAGACTTGTCCAATAAATATACAAAATATTTTTGTGAAAAAAATAATCACTATTTTTTAATAAATTTCTTTTTATAATACTCACAATATTTAATACCTTCTTTTAAACAAATAATTATTGAGTGTGTTTATCTATATTTTTCTTCACCATAATATCAGTGTAGAAATGATTGAAATCCAATCTAAAAAGAGAATTTAATTAATAATAAACATTTACAAGTATTTAGTAGAGTTAATTGTTTATTTAAAATATTTTTAATTACCTGGAAAAGACGTTTAATAATTTTTCATAATTATTCATGTATCGCAAGGCACATATTCGGTTCAATAATCGCAATAATGCATCAGTAAATTTTTCACTTAAATTTTTTATCGTGTCTTCAAAGCTTCCATTTATATCTGACTTCGTACCACTTTCCTAAAATTATTTATTAACATCAAATTATCAAATAAAAAATTCTTTCTTATTTAATTGATTAACAGAATAATAAATAATAAATGAAACATTCTGACAATATGGTTGCGAAAAAAATAAAATGGATTGAATTTCAGTACTACATCTACTTGAAAGACTACTCTAAACTAATCTCTTCTAGAAAAAAAAAATCATTCATGCGAATAAATTGATTTAAATGCAGATGGACGATAGTGCATTGCAGCTAGTTGATAACACAATGATACAACTCTTCAATGAATTGTTAATAAACAATACCTCCTGGTGGTATGATTCTGGTTGAAATTCATCAATCATTGAAGTCAGTTCAGCGTCAATGTAGTAACGGCTCATACTCTTAAGATTTATTATTAATTAATTATTTAAATAACCAATTAAAATTATTATATTTCAGTTTAATTATCTTATTTATTATGTCAGAATATTTCTCATTCAATTAAAACTCTTTACCTTTCATCAGCTAATAACATACCTGAATGAAATTGCAAAATTTTATACACGTATGACAAATTCCTGTTATACTTGATAATAATTCTGAATCAGTTAGCATGCATTCTTTCAAATAACTATCTTGAAGATCTTGATGAACACTCAATACATCATCAATATTTGTCACCTAAATAAATGATTAATTTTTTAATTAAAATCGTCATAAATTCCTTTTTTCTCATATCCTCACTCAAAGTTAAAATTGGCTCCTTGTTTTCCGGTTGCAAAACGACGTATTCTTTAATAATTTACGAATTCTTACCTTACCCATCTTATTGATGAATGTTCGCCAGTTAGGTTCAATAACTTCAACCATCATATAATACTCTAGATGCTGGATACAATCTAACATTCGTTGCCTCAATGAAAAAGCTTGACGATAAGCCATGGCAACTTCATGAGTAAAAGTCTTGGCTATTTTATTACTAACCCATACTCTAGAATAATAAAGTCATATTATTTATCTTTAAACAATTAATTACTTATAATTCACTAGTAATTTACCTGCATAAAAGCCTTTCGATATGTTTACAGTAAAATAAATGCCTAAAGATCATCTGATAGCAGGTGATGGCTTTTCTATTTAAAACCAAAGATACAGGCCATTTAACATCATAGTTAAATACGAAAGCTTCAATTCCAGTTAATGTTTTATCAGTATGAATAGCAAAATCTGCAATCAAAGTATTTATTTATTTATTGATCATTGAACAGCTCCAACAAAAATAAATAAATACCTTTTTCATCATTAGTTTGAATGGACAAGATCCTAAACATTTGATACTGCAAATCATAAGGAAGAAGTTCTGGTTTTAGATCATCTTTGTAAGGATCTAGATCAGCAGTTGATGTTCTCAAAGCAACTTCTAATAGTGAAGCTAATCTATTGATAACAACATCATACATATTTTTACTCAATTCATTTTCACATAAATTCAAAAATTGAACAACAAAATCTCCTTGGGCCAGCAAGAAATAATTCTTAACACTTCTCAGTCTTCCCATCAGATCATTCTCATGAATCAAAACCTCAAGTAGCGTCCTAGCAGCTTCGGAGTAAGCTTGATCAATAGCAAAGAATAATTCTTGATCACGATATCTATAAACTAGTGGCTCTTGTTTCAACCAATTCATCTTTTTCCCACACTGACGAATGACATTGAAATATTTCCCAGTACGTAGGATCGTGTGAGCACATTCATTCAGAAAGTTAGGGATTCTTTCTGACTTCATGGTGTACCTTTTCTCCCAATAATCAGCAGAATAGTCCATAGGTAATTCATCACACTGAATTAGTTCATTATCTTCAACGAAGAACTGGAATAAAAGCATAATTAAAAGTTATCTAACATATTTCTTTGGTAAAACAAAAACCTACCTCTCGATAAGGATCATAAATAATTCCTTTATAGACCCATTTCTCTAGGATCTGCATGTATGGTACACTAGCAGCTTCAATGAGGAATGAACATAGTTCTTTTCTGTTTGTATCAGCACTTATATCACTGACTTGTTCATAAAGTAAGCTCAACACTTTGCCACCTTTTGCTTCACCCTAGAATAAATAATTAAATTAATCATCAAAATAAGTTACCATACAAATAAAAAGTCCTTACCTTTAGAATAGATGATGTGATCTGAGACAGAACAGACATGGTAGCGATGGAAGGATGAATATAAAACCACAGTTTTGGTAAGTCAATCTTCCCACGTTTATGATCAGTCTCTAGCTGGACGACGAACAAGAAATAGTCTTTTAGTAAACACTCTATAGCTCCTCTTAGAGCATGATTGACCTGTCCATCTTCAGGTTGGATCTTTTCTTCAACGAAACGCGTGACCATGGAGTAGGAAGAGGCAAGAGGTAGGATTCGTTGGGCTAGCTGTTTATAAGAAATATCAACATCATGTGCTATTAAAAAGGTCCGCATCTCGTAGGGTCCTGTTAGAGGCTCTGCTACGATGTAGTTGCCATTGATGCCTTTCATGCAGTTGAATAAGTCTGAGATTAGAATAGACTCTTGGGAGACGGATGGTACCACTTTTTCACAAGGTATTAATTGCGGGTTGGTACGAAAGTCCCAGGTGAGGTTTGGACGTTTGTCATGTAGATTATATCTCAAGTTTTCATTAGCCTTTGTATCGCTGCTAAAAGAGTCATTAAGCTTCTTCTCACCCTCTACAGCTGCTTTAATGATATTTTTACATATTTTTGGTAAGTCATCATTCGTTACTGCAGCTAGTGCTGATAAGTTTGGTAAATCACCCTTTGGAACACACTGAGATAAATATTCTTTCAGTTCTTCATTTGATGATATGTGGGAAAGCACCCTGACAAATGAACCTAACCCATCAATATTCTTTGATCTTAGTTCGTCATATTTTCGAGTAAACAATTCACTATTTGGTGCCAATTTAGCGAGCTGTTGTAAAAGTGTTGCTGGTGCAGCATTTTCTAATGGTTCAGAACTTTTTTCTATTTGATTAATAAATGTCTCTGGTGGATCTGAAGAATCCAATACACGAATCAACTCTACTATCAATGCATGTAATTTAAATTCACTCATTTTTGTAAATTGTTCATCAATATTTACTAATAACAACTGTTGTTTACTTTATAGTTTTGATTACATTCAGACTTACTCTAAGGTTATGTTTTATAGGTTAATTAATGTACACACATACATTCCAACACCTTGATGGGATTGTCGGATGGTAACTTTTGCAAAATAATCACAGATCATGCGCAAAAAAAAAAAATGGAATAAAATTAAAATAATAAATAAACAAATGAACAAACAATATTATAACAACATAACCTACAGAAATTTATATAATTTAATAATTAATTAATTGCAATTATAAATTACATGGTTGTTAAAATCAACCATTAATTAATAAATTAATCTACTTATTGTTTATTATTTATTACAATTACTTAACTTAAATAAAATTAATAAATATTTATTAACATTTTACCAAACATATAAGGATTTATTATTCAGTATTGCTCTTTTATTGAATTGATTGTTATGTTGACTTTATGTTTGACTCCCGTGATTCTGAAAAGCTATATAAATAATTTATTTAAAAATATTAATTAAACAATAAATGAAAAAAAATATTAATATAACCAAAAAAAAAATATTATTTATTAATAAAAAAAATCATGCATAAAAAAATCAATTGTGATTTAATAATGATTTGAGGTATATATGCAGCCTAATAAATATTAAAATAATTTATTTATTTTTTATTTTGTTTATAAAAAACGTCATTTTTATTTATTAACTTTTCATAAATGTTTTTATAATTGATTTATACCTCACTTGATGAATTATTTAATTATTTCATAACTATTGATTTATATTGTACATAGTTTCAAGCATCAATAAATTGTTTCAATGTTTCTTTTCAAGTATAAAACAATTTACTTACAAGGCTTAATGATCTAAAAAATTCTCAATATTTAATACCAAAATGTTTACCCCTATTTTATATAAATCAAATGCACAAAATAGTACAGTATCCTGACTAGTAATGAATTAAATTTCACAAAAAAATTTCATTCGTCATTGTTCGATTAATTTTCCTTGATTAATTAAATGATCATTATGCATAGGAATGCTAGAGGTCGAGAAACAAGTCTTTACTCTCAATAATAAGAATGAAAGAAAACCTCTATTAATAAACATTCATCCATTAGAAAGAATTTGTTTGATTTTAATTAAATATTAAATAAATTTTTACACATAAATATATGATATTTAAAATCATTGATAGAACAAAATTTAATCACTCATACCAATAATGAAATAATGATGTGTATATAAATATTTTTTTAATAATATTCATAATAGCGAAACAATTTTTTCTCGAACGAAATAATTAATCAGTTCTTAACTTAATTCTCTTGTATTATTTGTGTTCAATTTACTTACTCAAGACCAAACATCCAATTGATACCTTGAACTAAGAATAAAATTAAAGGCTGCCAAGCAACGAGCCATCCAATCCAGTCCAATAATTGACCATAGAGTACATGAGGTCGTTCCCATCTTTATTAATCAATTTTTTTTGTTAAGATAAATATTTAAAAATAATTTGAATATTTCTTATTTAACCATTATTCATCATCATTTTGCAGCACCACGGAAACCATAGTTATTCCCAATAAATGTTTAAATAAAAAATAATTTTACTTCAATTTTTCATCAACACCACAGCTGGACAAGCTTTGATTTTGTTTGGAGTAAATAAAGAAAGGCTTGTAAAAATTCAACACAAGCTTAATATTGTGCTTACTCATGCTTATAATCATCATAACTCCTTTGAAAGTATTAAGAGCAAGCATTGGCCAGCACTGTTGTTGATGTAATAAGAAGTGGTAAGATTATAAAAAGGATACGGGTTGCAAAACATCTTCTTCAAGTCAACCTTTTCCTTACAATAAGGACAGGTTTGTTTCTTTCCAACAATACACCAACCACGTATGCAGAATTCATGGAAAACATGCTCACAGCTTAGTTTATAAGTATTCTCAATAACTCCTTCCTCGTGTTCAGAAACTAAAATTTTATTTCCACAAACTGCACAGACTCCTGGGTCTAGTGTCCTTGTGGGCATGCTTCCAGGTGCATAATACTAATAAACAAAATATATATATAGATAAAATGATATTACTTTGAATAAAGTATTGATTAAATTAGATGTGAATGATTGATCAAAATTACTCCAATATGTGAAGCCATTTTATCAGCACAAATTTCAGCAATATCTCGGCCTAGTACTCCAAAATAGAGTCCATAGAATAAAAATAATAATCCACAGTCCATCCATGCTGATGCTTTAGCATTAAAGACTAGATTTAATCCAAAAAATGTCGCTAAAACTACGACATATCCAATTATTCCTAGGACATAGCTTAACCGGTAAATGAAGTAAAACCATTTATAGACTAATCTGAAAAATAAGAACATTATTTTTTTAACATAAAAAAATTTTTGTTTTAATAAATATTATATGTTAATTTACCTTGGAGTGGTGCCTTGGATAGGCTTTTGTAGAGCTTTTCTAACAACCAATGCTGTAACACATGAAAAAAGTAACCAAGAAAAGATAAACCTCCACCAATAATTCCGCAAACTCATTCCCAACGGTATAATCCATATTGCTATTAATGTAACGAGCTAAAATAAACAGTAAATTAAAAAAATTATATCGTTATAATTAAAATAAATAAATAATTTACCTGATACGATCTGAAATGCCTTTTTTTCCATGCTACTAGTGATATTTGGAAAATAATTAAAGTCACTAATAATATAAAAAGCATCTCTGCATGCATCTTTTCATGGCCTTGATGTAATTTATGTGCCATGATATGTTCAGCTCTATAAAAAAACAATAAATTCATTAACATTTTAATTTAATTGAAAATTAATAGAAAAAAATAACCTAATATACTATATATTAATTAATATGATTAAAAGTCAAATTATTTTATTTGTAATAATAATTAATTAATTGAAATTACCTACTTCGTTCCTCCGGCGTCATCTCCTCTTCACTCTAAGACAATTTTTAACCGTTATTAAACATTAATATTAATTTTTTATTATTTTTTAATTTTGATCTACTTATTTGATAGTTCATTTTTAAAATTTTATTCAAGGTTATGTTATTATAGTTGATTGAAAGGTATATAAATGGTGATATCATCAAGATATTTTCAAGATAATACAAAATATAAAATATTAAAAATTTATTACATACTTTATTTGGCATTATATGTAAATCCATTTTGTGTTTTTATTATTATATATATATATTTATATATAATATTTTATATTTCAATAATTAAATTGTTTATTTTTTAATAATACTCCCTCTATTTATTGTATCACTTTTAAAAGCACCCATGATGTGTGTGCAACGTGTTAAAACCAGGTAGGGTGATTTTTTTCTACCCACACCATTAATTTATAAACACAGATTACGAAGTTTTGAATGTGTTAGAAATACATTGAATTCCCAATAGAGGTCGTTATCAAATTTTTCAATGGCGGGAATATTTGTTCAACATTTAAAAATGAAGAGGTTAATTTTTTTTTTTTTTTAAATTGACACTGAATTATTGATTGAATTATTTTTCTTATTAATAATAAAAGTAAACAAATAACAGTTATTTAATATAAGATTATTATGACATCAATCATTCTGGTCTGTAATAAAATATCTCAAGACTCTTATGCAGATAGGTTGCATAGCTTTCAAACATTCTAACATTGGCAGTAAAACATTTTAACTCAGTCTCTTATGAAACAATGAATATAAAAATTAGAAAAGACAATAGTTTTTTTTTTTATATTTTAAAATAAATACTAGTTTAAAATACCATAACCTCAACTCTCATTAGTTCAACACAAAAACTGTTAATAGAACATCAAAAATAAACTAGAGGAATCAAGAATTGACATAAAACTTCTGATTGACATTAATATTGATGATGATGTGATTATCTAGAAGGTGATGGTTGACATAAATTCATTAGGAAATGTTTTTCCTAACCTATACCCTGGTAACCAAATGAACGTAAGTCTAACGGCAGACTTGTTTTATTCCTAAAGTTTGATGTTTAATGTTCTATTGTGGCAGTCTCTTATCAATTAAGTATCTCATGCCAATGTTGTGCAAATGACACGTGATGATTTTACTTTAAAAAATCATTTAAAAAATTATTCTGCTTTATCAAAACTAAAAAATACCGTCACATTAAACGTGAATTCTTAATGGAATACTGTTCGATTTGTTCTCAGCTTCAAGTTGATGTTTGATGTCATCTAGGGTCTGATAGATTGTCCGAAATGATGGTCGATCTGATGGTTTCTTATTCCAGCAAATCTTCATGAGTCCATAGATAGCAGGAGGTGTGTTGTCAGGACAGCTCAGGACATTACCTTCTTTGATGTACTTTACCACCTCTTCATGGGTCATACCATAATAAGGTTGAAGTGCGAAGCTGAATATCTCCCATAGACAGACAGCAAAAGCCCAAACATCCGATTCAATAGTGTATTTATTGTAGAGAATACTTTCCAGTGGCATCCACCGAACTGGAATAGCATCTTGGTCATCACCTTTATAGTAATCTTGGAGATAAATTTTCTGTGAGAGACCAAAGTCAGCTATTTTTACAACCATCTCATCATTGATTAAACAATTTCGCGTTGCTAAATCTCGATGGACAAACTTTCGATCTGATAGATACACCATACCAGAGGCAACTTGTCTTGCAATGTTGATCAAATCCATGTGTGATAGTTTGGAATTATCAGTACCATTTTGCCAATTTTTTTGATTCAGATTAGAATGTGTGACATCACCGTTGGTGAATTTATAATTATCAGGGCAACATGACCGTAGGAATTCATTTAAATCACCACGACCCATGTATTCAAAAAGAAGACACATAGGACGACCTAGAGCACAGACTCCAAGAAGCTTGACAATGTTTGGGTGATCAAACTCAGCTAGAAGACAAGCTTCTCTTTCAAAGTCCACCAGTAGATCATCAGAAGCTTCTTCCTTAAGCATTTTCACTGCAACATTTGTAAATTCCTCTCCGGGAATCAATCCTGGGGCTTTTGCTTGAAATACACGACCGAATGCTCCTTGACCAAGGTCTCGAACATAAATGATGTTGTTGCGGGGGAACTCTAGTTTTTCTAGCTTGGGGTTTAGCTGGGCTCCAGTCTTGTGATAGGCATCATTGCTCGGAAGTTTATCCAGATCAATATTAATATCCTACGAAAAAATAATTACATTTTTTTATTTAATTAATTAGCAACTAATATTTCTTTGAACTTAGGTTAGATAAAATTCCAACGCTTCTATTACCCGAGCCTCTGGAGAAACATAGCCATCATGTTTTTTAAATCTCTGGCTAAGAAAAATAGCCATCAGGGAACCAACAATGATAATAAAACCCAATGCTGATAGAATCATGGTAAATGTTGATGTAAAAACAATCTCTGTTGCTACATTTTTGTGTTCAGTATCCCAAATAAAGTTTGTTGAATTATCTAGAATGTTTCAAATATGATTTTAAATCAATTCTAAAAATTAGAATAATGAAGGTATAATTTAATTACCACAAATTGGAATGTCACAATGCTGCCAACGAATCTTAGGGTCCATTGTAAAACACCAAGGCATTGGTTCATCACCACCGGCATTTCGACAAAAATTTTCTCCAAATTTGATTTGAGGAAAAACATTTGGCGGTTCGTTATGGCTATGAGGTTCTTGGCTATTCCATGGCTGACAGTCAAGACCTGTTTTAGTTTTGTTCATTTTGCCCATGTAATAACGGCCATTGTCTAATACACAATCATCTGAAAATATTCATGTTTATGAATACATTAACCAGATAAATTCACAATACAGATCTGATTTTTAAATAATAATAATTAATTTATAATAAAAAAAAAGGTTAAGATGAATGTAATTACATGTCACTAAATTTTGATTGACATCTGTTAAATGAACATGAGAGCATGTAACTTTATCTTCCTCTAATTTTGGCAGTTCATCACAATCAGGAAGCCGAAAGTGGCCACGAGATCTAATAAAAATTTTTCTCTGTTTATTGTCTTCAATAAGCGCCCAGTCATTAAAGCAAAATTCATGGCGAATAGCCATACAATCTTCATAACATAATGGTAATCGTTCTGATTTGTGGCACAATGGAAATGCATATACACATAGCATTTTCTGTAATTTATAGTTGTAAATTATTTATTTGAATTAAATTAAAAATTATTAATTTTAATGAATAATTACCTCAGCTGCTGAACGACATGGTTCTTTTAATGTAGAAATTAATTCTTCCCATAAATCAGAGGTTATTTTTTCATTCAACCAACTCCCAGGGTTATCCTGGGAATTATTAAACCAAACTTTACCAACACCATTAAGGTATTTTTTACATATTTTACCATTATAAATTGCACAATACCCTTGTGATTCTATAAATATAGATAAAGTATGATTAAATAATGAGTAAAATAAATTATTGTTGATATGATAAATAATAGGTTATACCTGTTTGAGAACTTTTAACAATTAAGAAGCTCACTGTATAATACACGATCCAAAGAATCATGATAAAATATACTTTATTTTATCTTATTTCTTTATTATATATTCAAATACATACACTCATTACAACTTTATTGTTTTATTCATAAAAAATATTATTGAAAATATGTAAATCATTGAGGTAACAGAAAACTTAATTTGCAGTTGTTTACAATAACTATCAAATTTTATGGTTATGTTTCAATCACTGGCGCTGTATGTCAATGCCTCGGAGAAATTCAATATGGCCGCATTTGTTTCCAAATAAACAAAGATGTCGTCCAAATGATTGAAAGTCCTTATTGTTTACGAAAAAATACAACAAAGCGTCGTGGCCATAAAATGATAATTCTTGTGACCAATTCCAGAGTTTTATCCTTAACATTTTTCATGAAAGAAATGACACTTAACATTGATTTTTTTGTCATAAAAACCTCAACACAGAAGCTAATTGTCGCACTTATCAATCCAATTGCTAGAATTGACCAACTGAACATCAAATTTTGTAACGTAATTGGATGAAAATCTTCATCTGATCTAACTTTAGTTACAGTTAAATTATGAATTAAAGCATTCGTTAAGTGGTCATTTGACCATAACCGGCGAAAACCAAAGTCTTCTAATGACATGAAAAATGAATTAACACGATTGACAAGTGGCCAATTTCGTCTAATGAAATATGAATAATATTCATCCTTGAATGATTTTTTAGACACATACAGTTTTTCTTCTCTTCTTGAGTACCAGAGAAGAGTTGCATGATCAAAAATACAAGCATAAGAGTCATTCCACAATATGTTATATAAACATTTTCGGATACTTCTGGGGTTGTTTTGCCTCTCTGTGAGAGTTTCTTCTGAATTTACACTGCCATTTATTGGAAAATGCATTTTATCAGCAGTATAGCCGAATTCCTCCAAGTCTGTGAGAGTTTCCACTTGCTTCTTTAACTCAGGATGAGTCAGAAACTTGGCTAAATGACCATTAAAAGTAGCGTGGATTATCAGAAAATAAATCAAAACTGTAATGAAGAAAATCCGAAGAGGCAAAGTGTTCATACGAGTATGCAGATTGTGGCTTATTAGTAAACGAATGACTTCAAATACTGCGAATGCTGTTCTTTCACTTTTAAAGAACCAAATGACTGCAAATGTGATCATAAGTACCATTATCGTAAATAGAATCGTCCAGATACCATAAAAGTCCCAGATTTTTTCACCAATTGTCTTGTAACCATGATGGTACGTTGCAATTCCTATCGCTTCCCATGCTAAGGGATACGTTCCTATGTATAGATTTTTATCTTCTGAAAATTTTAAGCCAACATTGCACAATATTAAATCTCTTCTGTAATTTTTCGTCTTCATCTGTTGCTTTAATTTTTTTTTTCAGTTTTATTTTATTTATTGGAATGAGCGTTGTTGTCACGTTCAATCTTGTACGAAAGGCATTGAGTATTTCATGATGACGCTTCATAAAACATCCAACCTCTTGTGTGGTTTTAGTATACTTCGAATATTTAGAATGACAGGCTTTATGATCTATTTCGATTGAGAGGGCGATTTTTACATCGTATCCGTCAAGTTTCTGACTTCGGTCGAAATTGAATCCTTTGCAGATGGTTGCTGAAAAATGAAATTGACTTGAATAAAGTAATGTTACACTATTGATAGTTAATTTCCGGAATGTAGAGAAAATTACTTACTTGGATCATACTTTCGTCTGTAATATGTTACATGTTGCCGTAAGCGGCTTTTTATCCACTCACTGGATGCTCGTCTAGCAAATCGATTGTAAGTATAGATCTGAATATCATTTTTCTGATCGATGCATGGCAAATATGACGTCAGTAAATTTTTGTCCAGTAAAGCTAGAGTGTTAATAGCAAACTTACAATCGCTATCTTTTACATTCAAAATATATACTGGTATCAACACGGTCCACCACATTGTCTTCTTTATTTCTTTGAAAGCTGCAGACACACTTGATAGTGATAATACCGTCATGAAAATAGCATCCACCCTTTTCATATGTGTAATACTTTTGCTATGATTATATTCCATGTTGTAACACGTAACAGAGTGGAACTTATCATGCAGTTTTTGAAAAAAAATTGGACTACATTCGTTGAGCTCATTATAAAGAATTACATTTTCGTAATTATTCTCACAGTTTTCGAAAATCTGTAACTTAATTTAGGCTGTACATAACACCCTTAAGACTACATATATTTAATTAATCAAATACAAATATTTACCACAGCTTCTTGAATCCGAATGTGACGACGAGTTTCCATGAGATTGAATTCAGATGCAACAATTCCAATAAACAGACAGTGTAGTAATAAATCACGAATTACCATTATGTATTCGTGAAGACAAAAAAGACAATCACTACCAATCAATCTGTGCTCACAATTAAATAGAATGATGTATGTTAAACTAATTTACTTTCTCTAAAGGTGATTATGCGCATGTATTTATTTGTATTTATTCTGATGTTTGCTAATCAATTAATATTAACAACCACATAATTACATTAATGAAAAATTCATTGGGGACAATGCAGTGTATTCAATATCCACAAAGTGTGTTGAATGACAAAGTGTATTTATTATATCTCGAAAGCTTATGATTCATTGTATTTGTAGCACGTGAGAGTCCATCTTATATGCTCTTTGACAAACAAACGTATCTATATTTTATTTTTATATATATAAAATCGATTTGATTCAATTTATATTACATATCGATTTGTATCCAAAAAATTATTTTTCACTTTTTTTGTTTAAAATTTTTTTAAGGTAAATATTTTTATGCAGTTGTTTTTTGGGATTGTTTGTCCACAGATTAAAAAGTACAGCACTCTTCTGTGCTCAATGAAAAATGTTCAATTGTTTTCAAACATCATGGGTAATTAGTATTTATCAGTGTTATGCTTAGTACATGAGACATTACTAAGTAAACGTGTCTTTTAATCTCCTTAACAAGTGTCAAATTTAAAAAAAAATGAATGTGAAAAGAAATAATTTGGATTCTATCGTAAGACTCAATTTCGACTCCTTTCCAACAAATTCAATTGTAGGAGTAGGTTCGCATACATTTTTTTAGTGAAAGAAAAAATTCATATTTTCTTCAATAAAGATTATTATTGATATTTTAAATTATATAAATTATTAGAAAGAAAAAAACTCATTATTTTTTGTGTTTAATTTGTTTTTTTCTCATTGATTTATGTTTACTTATTGAAAAACAGTAAGAAAAAAAAATGTCAACAACACGTGGTGTTCCCAAGCGGTCACCCATCCAAGTACTAACCACGCTCAATGCTGCTTGACTTCAGTGATCAGACGAGAACTGGTATTTTCAGCATGATATGGTCGTTGACAATAAGGGTCAAAAAAAATTTTTTTGATATGATGGAATTCATTTTTTCAAATGAATTAATATTAAAATTATCTATGTACAAGAAAAAGTAGTAATTTAACATATCTTAAATATTAATTTTCTAATGAAGGAATGAAGTATGTAGTAAAACATTTCCTAGAACATAATTTTGAAAATGCAATTAAGTGCATACATTTATAGGTTTAAAGTAATTTACACTATTTTTTATTTTTATCTCATAGACATTAAAATAAATTTCTTTTTCTGACTGCGAATTTATTTCACGTGTTTAACTTTAATAGCACATTAAAATCATGAATTTAACTGTACTTTCATCATTGCAATTTTAGAAAATTATTTATTATTTGCTCAATTTGTTCATCATAATTATTATGAGCTGATAAATATCAGTGTTAAATAAATATTTTGTTTTTCTGTAGCAAATAAAACTTGCAAAGATTAATTAGATATTTTTATTGGTAAATTTCTTAAGTATTACTATATTATTAATATTTTTAGGATGATAATAAAGTGCCATATTATTTGTTTATGTAAGATTGGCATGTGTTTTACTTTTCTTTATTTACATAACAAGTAATTTTCTCTGTGATCTCATAAACAATGGCGCTGCAGTCAATGATTGAACGTCATAAACTCCAAAACGTAGTAAACAACAAACCTTCATATTGTATGTCATAAGTGTGTGTAAATTTTATAAAAAAGCATATTTAATAACAACCATTGTTATTTCTAATAAAAAATTATGAATTCTATTGTGAAAACGTTTCCTAACCTAGTGAGTAAATAATCATTTCTTCATCTCTGAACATTTCAATATTAATTAAATAAAACTATATTGACTATTTATTTAGGTTAGGCCAAATTTAATTGCAAAAATAACTGCAATAAGTAGTTTCAAAAATTATTCGAATGATTTTCATCATCCTGAAGGTAATGAACCACCAATTCCAGTCTATTCAGCACGTGAAGGCGAAAGTACTCAACTAAAAAAAGCCAGGTAAATTTTAATAACTCATAAAAATTTTCATTTTAATCATACCAATACTTACATTTACCTTTCTTTTTTATATCATAATCATACAAAGACTTTTAGATCTATTTTAAACAACAAACATTAATTATCAAATCTTAACATTAATTTCTCTCATAAAGTTTAATAATCTACCAACATAAAAATAGATTTTTCTTTTTGAATATCAAACTATTCATAATATCATTCTCGATTAAAAAAATAATAAACTTCAATACTTTATAGAACTCTGAGAACATCATTTAACAATAAAATATAAATTTTTTCAGACTAATCTATCAATCTCGCAAACGTGGAATGTTAGAAAATGGTCTAGTTCTCAGTACATTTGCTAAAAAATATCTAGACACATTCAATGAACAACAATTAATTCTCTACGATCGTCTAATTAATCTTCCATCCAATGATTGGGACTTATTTTATTGGGCAGTAGGAGTCAAACCAACACCAGCTGAATTTGATAATGAAGTGATGAATTTACTAAAAAAACATGTGCGAAATGATGACAGACAGTCCCGTATAGTCCAACCGGATTTGTATTAAGCTAAAAAAAAAAGTAGTTAAATAATTTTATTATAAAAAAATATTTATTTAAGGTACAAAAGTATGACTCTTGAAGAGTCGTCAATAACTAGAGATATTGTTAAATATATTTCAATAAACTAATATTTAATTATTGATAATTATTATTTAAATATAATATTTTTGATCTAAAATTATTTTTAACAATTTATTACAATCCTAAATTAGCAAATCGATGAGGATCCGAAAGAAATTGTTTTTTTTGAGTAAATTCAACCATCCCAAGTGATGACGGCCCTCCATTAGTCTTAGCCTGCCTAGAATTCTTTGAGCTCCAAGTTTTGCCTTTAGATCCAGAACTCGAGGCAGTTGTTCTAGGACGTTTTGTACTACCTGTAGTTTTACGATTATTACGATAACGTTTCTTACCCCTTTTATATGAAGTCTGTGGTGCTTCTTCAGTATCAATCCAAGCTTCAGCTGGTTCTAAAGCTTCATTTTCTTTCTGTTGCTGTTCTATCATCAAAACCTGTTTCTCAGCCGCATATCGTGTTGTAACTTCTAGACAAGTCTTGCCGTATTTCTCAAAAATAGCTTCTGTTACGTGAGGAATTTTTAACATTTCTTCTTTAGTGTTCGGCATTTGTTGGCTCATTGCTCGTACAGCTATTGGATTGATCATCGAAGATAATTGGAGATTTAAAGTTTCAGCTAAACTAGTCAAGTCTTGCATAAGAGCAGCATAACATTGATCTTCCAGCTCTTTAAGAACTTTATTATGGGGCTTGGTAGATGCTGTAACTGTTGTAACAGTGATCTGGCTAGTTGTCTTAGCTTTAGCAGCAAACATCACCTGGAAAAGAAATATTTTTATTTAATAAAAATTCAAGATAATTAAAAAAATTAAATTGTTGAACATTAAGCTCATTACCTTAATATCTTTAGTCATTAAATCCTTGGCTTTGTCACCAAGTCTAATATGAGCAATCATTATTTCATTGCTTGCCTGTTCAAGTTCTTCTTTTAAATAGTTTTCTACAACAAGCTGATGTAGGAATCTATCAATCTCATTGATCTGCCAAGAACTGCCTCTACCATACAATGGATGTGTGTTTATACCTGGAATAAAATGTTAAATAAATTAATTTATTATTCTATCAACTGATAATATTATAAAAATTGCTACTAATTACCTGTATCTCGAATTTTTGCAATATTAGCTCCTTTAAATATTTTTCCCAATAGAATTATTGTAAGATTAACTCCTCTGGAGTGTGTCAGATCTCTAACCGCTGAGACAACAGCTTTAGCATCATCAGTAACATCAGTTATAGTGAATGATTCCTTATTTCTACAGTTATCACATGTCGTAGACTTATTAGCTAAACATTCACTTCTATCAAAAATTTCTCCAAAATGTTGAAGTTGAAGCATTCGTCGACAATCAACTCTATTTTCACAAAACGTCACCATCTTGGCTAAATTATCAAGATGTTTTTGTACAGTATTTGAATTTTCACTCACAATCATTTTCTTCAACCTGGCAGTGTCTGAATAATTATAAAATAGAATACAGTCTGCATTATCACCGTCTCGACCAGCGCGACCACTTTCTTGATAATAACCTTCAATAGATTTAGGAATAGCAGCATGGATAACAAATCTAACATTTGGTTTATCGATTCCCATACCAAAAGCTATGGTTGCACAAACTACTTTAACTTTTTCTGCACTCCATTTTAATTGAACCTCATTTCTCTGTTTATCCGTCAAACCTGCATGATAACTTGCAGCTTTAATGCCATTGAGTATTAAGTTATGAGCATAATCATCGCAATCTTTTCTTGAAAAACAGTAAACAATACCACAGCAATTGTGATACTTTTGTTGAATCAATGCCGTAACTTCAGCACAACATTTTAATCCTTTTTTATCAACAACCTGGTATTTAAGATTAGGTCTATTAAAGCTTCCTAAGAACCACTTTGGATCTTTCAATCCAAGTCCAAGTTTAACATCTTGTCGGATCAATGGAGATGCTGTAGCAGTCAAGGCAGTAATTCCAACCTTGGGGAAATGAGTCTTTAAACATCCAAGTTTCTTATAATCAGGCCTAAAATCATGACCCCATTGAGAAACACAATGTGCTTCATCGACCACAAATCTTGCTATGAGATTCTTCTGATAAAGTCTTTGTAGAAGATTAAAAAATTTCACTGATGATGAAATTTTCTCTGGAGTGACATACAGAAGTTTAATAGTTGGAGTTTCTCTAAATAAATCTGTATAAATAGCATTGGCTTGTGTATCAGTAACATCTCCAAGAAGATGACAGGATTTGATGTCTAGAGAGTTAAGCTTTTGAACTTGGTCCATGACTAAACTTTTTAACGGAGATATCACGATGGTGATACCTTTCGAGAGCAATGCTGGAAGCTGATAACACAATGATTTGCCTCCACCAGTCGGCATCAGTACGAAACAGTCATGACCAGTGAGAACTGCATTGATGGCTTGCAGCTGATTTGGTCGAAATTTATACAGACCGAATTTAGTTCTAAATATTTTCCTAAGTTCGTCAGAGAATGGATAGTTAAATCCATCAAACTCTCCAGTAAGACCAGAATTAACAATATCTCCAACAAACTTTCCCGTTGGTTTAGGTGGAGCTTCGAACATGGACTTAACTTTGCTCTGGACATCACTTTGAGGTTGATATAAATTATTACTTAAAGAGGGCATCGCCATTATTTCATCAGTTGATGATCTTTGACTTAATTTCTCTGTATCTTGAAAACTCGTATCAAAATCAGATAGATCACAAAAACTCTCTTCGTTCGATTTTTTTGGAGAATTGACTTTTTTCTTGGGGCTTGGTGATTTAACTTTGAATGTATTCGATTGCACTGGTGGTGATTGAGCACTCATAGGTCTTTGATTCACTTTCCTCACATCTAGGAAACTATCATCAAAATCATCAAGATCACAAAAACTGTCGTCTCTAGATTTTTTTGGAGAGCTGGTCTTTTGCTTGAAAGATGAAATTTTTGTTATAGATGTCTTAGGCTGCACTGGTGGTGATTTCGCAATTATTGCATCAATCTTCTTGGAAACTTCTTCAGAAATCACTGCTTTTACCGGTCTTTTAAGCTGAAAAGTACCCTTACTCACAGTGCTTTTTTGAGGAACTGAAGGCGTTGATTTAGATGAAGGTTGATGATTAGTTGCTGTTGATGGCTTTGACGCCGGTGGAGATGAAACTATTTTATTTTCTCGTTGCCCCGGGCTTTGAACCTGACGTATTGGTGATGATGATGAAGCTTCCTGAACTCCTCGTTGCTCTGGACTTTCAGCCCAATGTAGTGGTGGTGAAGATGAAGACTCAATACTTCCTTGATGCTCTGGACTTTGAATCTGTCGTATTTTTTTCTCTGCTATTATTCTTTTAGCTCGGACATGTTGCTTAAAAGTTTTGAGATTGCTAAAAACGGCAGAATCGAATTCAGGAAACTTTTCTAGTACTTCTAGAGGAATTTTTTCTAAAATTGAATAAAACTTTTCATGAATATTTATGTAGAGATTATTTAATTGTTGACTATGTATATGGAGATCAAATTCAAGAGTAGGATTAGCTGACATGATTTCTGACTTTTGTTCAGTCTTGATCCAAGAGTTAAGATGCTTATTAACACCCAACGGTAATAAATTTAATTTAAAATCAGGTCCTTTCCATTCTTGATGATTTTTCTTAGGACTAGGAGTCTTAGGCACATTTTTGATTACATTTGAAGGCTTCTTAACAGCAAATTGTGGCTTCGAATCAGCTTTTGTTTCTGTTTCAACACTTTTGCTTGAGTCAGGCATTTTTAAATTATTTTTTAAAGAAGAAGACGTCTTAGCTAGTTTCACTGGTGTGTGCGATTGAGAGTTCTGAGAACTTTTATTAGTGGTGTGATTATTTGTAGTTTGAAAATCATCTTCACTGTCTGAATCAAGGCTAATTATTCCCACTGCTTTTCTTTTTCGCGTAACTACTGGAGTATCTTGGTTTTCCACATTCGAATCATCACTACTCTGTAATAAAAATATTTATTGATTTATTTCTGAAGTCCAATAATGAGTTGGTTGAAAAAAAAAATAAAAGACAAATGAAAGTTTTTTTACTTACTATCGACAAAATAGATGATGACTTGGTAATTGGTTCTGATACGTTATTTGTTCCCTTCTGGTTTGGTGAAGAATCTTCGAAATCCGAATCAAACTCATCCAAATCAAAAGACTTCCTTATTTGGCTATCCATTTCAGTCCTAACATTCAAAGATCAACCAAACTTAATCATCTTCATTTATTTATTAAATAAAACGAAGCAGTGTATTGATAAAAAAACAATATTCAATAACTTACTTCATTTAATTTTCATTGTTTTTTAATAATTCAAAATTGTTTTCAAGACAGGTTAGTAGTTAACTTCTTCAAGAACTCTCGATAAAAGCAACACACGTTTATTGAAACTTTCAAGGATTCATTCAAAACTTATAAGAATAAAATTGCTATTATTTGTTTACTAAAAATGTTATAAATAATATTTCTTATGTACCTCCGTTGTTTTGGCGGTTAAATTACTGTAAATGATGTTCTTTGTTGTGTATCGCCAGGCTAGAATCGCCATTTTGATGCAAATGACGTCACAAGATGGCGGATGTGTGCAAAGTTGATGTTTATTACCGACGCAAGGTCGTTTATCCGTCTATAAACAGTGAATACTACATTATCGATTTATGATTGGTAGACATCTTGGGTATCGCGGCTTTTATAAATATATAACCTTTGTAATTCAAATAAATCTCAAAATGAATTTTAATATCATTGAAAATAAATATAAAGATGCAACAATTGGTAAGTCTACTGTGTCTTGTATAAAATAAAAAATATAAAAACTAATACTTTGACCAACAATCACTGTATGAATTTATTTCAAGTTATTTAACTAGTTTTAAAAATTAAAAACTAAATAATAATTCACCACTGCTTAACAGGATTCGAGTGATACAGGACACCAATAATTGTTCTTTAAACTCACTAATTTTTGTAGTAATCACTTAATGCACAATGCTATTCAATAATTTCCACACTTATGATACTTCCGGCAAGACATACACATACGAAGCAACAAGAATGACTGATTGATGAGCTAAAACTCAGCGTGTGCTGAAGAAAAGGTCCAGCTTGTTTTTTATGGAAGGGAGGAATTACTGATTGGTGATGAAATTGAAGGTGAGAGTACTGAAGAATCCGCCCAAAAAAATCTGGGAAGGATTAAAGAAAAAAAAACGAGGAATTTTAGGGTGGTTTTTCCCACATGTGATGAAAAGATAACAAAAGTGTTGGTAATTTTTTATAACTTCATGGCTTGTGAAGGATTAAGGTACAAAAATAAATATGAAATGAGAAAAAGCAAAATAACAAATAGAATAATCTGATAAATGTTTTAATGCATTTTTTGATGATATATACAGTACCGGTCATAAATGTTGTTTAATTTGTAATAGGTTATATATGCGATTTCCCTATACCCTCTTACAGAAAATCACACAGCATTTATGTCCGTTACTGTATTTTAATGTAAAAAATAAAATTATTGTTATGATTTGAAATGACAATAGAAAATATAAAAAAATTATGTCCACAGCCTGGATTCGAACCAGGATCTTTAGAAACCCATTACCACAATAAGTGCTAGAGACTAGTCTCCCTACTCTCTACACCCTCTACCTCCTAGATCCTGCACAACTCATATCACACAATGGTGTCACAGGATAAAATCACAATGGGTTGAACAGACTCATGAACAAGTAAATTTAATTTTATATCTATCCTACCTCATTCATCAACATTACGTCATAGCACAGAACTGCAAGGTTACCAAAACAAATAAAAGAAGAGTAAGAGAGATTGAATGAAAACATCATATTGAATGCATTTTTAAATAAAATATCTACTTTCAATCACATTATACCTAAGGACAGATTTAATTATTTTATTATAAAATAATTAAACAAATGAATTACATTATTGATATATAAAAATTAATCTATCAATTCATTTAACTACATATTGCAATTATGCTTCTGTTGTATCTGTACCATCCTGATTATCTCTTTTGGATGCTTTCGATGCTTCCATCACTAAAAATTAAACACCATGTTACTTAATTACATTAAATAATTAATTATTAGAGTAAGAAAAAAATGAACTGTTCAACCTGGTCGAAGGAATATCCTTTCAAGACCTAGAATAGGTCCTTCAAAAAACGTAGAAAGTATCACAGCTCCACCAAATGTCATGACCAAATGTCCCATGACTTTGGAAAACTGAAATAAATTATTTAATTAACCTAAAATATATTTAAAGCTAAATTAAAAAATCTATTTTTACTTACAAGATTAATATTATCTAAGTACTGAGGAGTTCTGGTGGTAGAAATACTGTAAAGCTCCACAATTCCATTCACCAAATAAGCACAATAAGTCAATCTACTTAAAGGAATAAATGGTTTCCATTTAAGGAAATTTCTCACTGGACCTAGAATTAATAACATTATTATTTCATTCCAGGATTAATATCATCATCAAGAGGAAGCTTTGTTCACCAGAGTTATCAGTGATGCATGCTATGATCACCCATCCAGTTCCTAGACTCCAAAATACTCGATGTAGAGCTGAATAAGTAGCAGCCTCAAGTGATGTGAAGTTTTTTCGAGTCGTGTAAAATGTGGTGATGGAGAACATTGATGATACCAGTGATAGTGAAGCAAGGATCCAATAGATTCTCACAGATAACTAAGTCAAAAGAACATGATTTAATTAATCTGATGCTGATGATAGCTTTGAAGTCTTTTAAATATTCCAATAATGACAGTGAAAAATAAATTACTCGTGAAAATTTGTAGTTGCTGGTTTGAATTCGGTAGAGAATGTAACCGAATATCAGTCCAAAGCAATAAGCACTAGCTCTCATGTGTGTTTTGATGTAAAAGTTTTTGAAGTAATAATTGCTTGAGATGTCTTGAATTTCCCTAGAAAATTAAACAATGAATTAATTTGTCTTTGATTTATATTTAAATCAATGCTGAAGAGAGAATTAAAATTAAATTACTTGATATAAATCATGAGAGTTGGATCCAAACTGTTGACCAATGTCACAGTGAATGGTACCACCACCGTAAGAGCAGTTGCACTTGATAGAATCAACTCACCAACCTTCCTCCATCTCCACAGTGGATAAATGATAGCAGGAGCGAGGATAAATAATTGAGTATCAACAGAAAGATACCAAGATTGGAACATACACTGGAAAAATAAATATTCATCACATTTGATTATTTAATAACATCTAGTAATAATAATTAATGAACTCATTTTTTTGTTACTTACCAAGTTATCAGTGTTAACATAATTATTAATGTAAAGAAGATTAGTCCACCAGGAATCTAGACATCTTCTTTTTTCTTCAGTCATCCGTGACCAAAGTGGTCCAGAGTCCAGTTTCGGTAGCCAGGTGGTATAAAGTCCGATCATGACAAGATATGCTGGAGTCAATCTTCAAAAACAATGTCAAGTTTTTTTTTTTAAATAATTAGAAAACTATTAAATAAATGATGGAATAGTTCCAAAAAAATTACCTTATGTATCTAAAGACATAGAGGAAGAAGAAATTGATATATTTCCGCTTATCAAGCTCCTGAAGGACGATTCTAGCGAATAAAAATCCACTGAGGAAGAGAAAGGTATCAACAAGAAGTGGATTATTAAGAAAAATTGCATTTTCAACTCTTCCTGAAGCCTAGAAGTCCCAAAAAAAGATTGAGTTATTAGATTTAAATAATTTTATTAAATGGATTGGAGAGAAAGATAGCTAGAATACCTGTCTCCAAAAGTCTTTGTTCAATATTGGACCTCCAAGGACAAACATAAGGCAATGACCGGCCACAATAAATCCCATGGCAGCGAATTTTATTCCTGATATACAACTCAAGTTCAAGCCATCTTCGTGTGCGTGAGAGCATAATTTTTTGATGTTGGAAATGAGTGAAAAGGCTCGTAGGATGTTGAATAAAAGTCCTTGGGGTTGATTTGGTCGTGATAATGTTGATATGTGGAATACTGTTCCAAGGAATACCAAGAATATGATTATTAAAATGCAAGCACTGCAAAAAAAAGAGCAAGTTATGATAATATTGATGATTGATGAATCAATTATTTCAATAATAATTTACAAAATTAATTGATGATGAATAAATTATACTCACAGATAAGCAATGTCATAAGTATCAATGTTAATTGTCTGATTCTTATAACACTTTTCTTTATCCACTAGTGATCGACTTTTCAAGTCAACTCCATAAACATTAAGAGTATGATTAATTATTTTATCAAGAACTCTTTCTACATCTCCAACATCACAAGAAACAGGAACACAAACACCGTAAAATAATTTTTCTATTAAATCACTATCTCTATGACTCTTTTCTCTATCATTACCAGGTCTAGAATTAAATTCATCCCACACTGATACCCCACTACCATCACTGTGATTACCTCTTTTCTCTAGAGTCACTTCTGACAGGCAATATTTCCTAGAGAATCCAATAACTGATTCATCCTCAACTTTCACACATTCATCAAAGTTACCCAATTGGTAGATAGACCCACTTAAGATCCCATCAGGAATCTTTGCAGAAGCATCATAGAACTCAAAAGCCCACTTTGTAAAATTTTTTAAACCAAAAATCACCAATTTCACCTGGTCACGACATTCCTGATCTTCAATACCTTCTAAAAGAAATTCAAAATGCACTTTTGAATTGTTTTGGATGAAGGATAGGTCAGGTTTGTCACTGCTCACTTCTCTAGTGTTAATTAATTGACTAATTTCACTGGAATTAACGTGAAAAACATTAAAAGTATCACAGAAACTCTTTTCTAAACTCAAAATCACCAGGATAATAACTGAAATTAGCATTTTATCTTTGGAATAATTTGTTTATTTTTCAATTAAACTGACTCTGATGTTTACTCCAGTGATTGAGGGAATAAAATATATCCTGTTGAGTAGGAAATGGACTTTTTAAAAGCCAAAATTCTAGCTGACCTTTATGAAGACCGGTCTAACGGAAATGTACTTGATTGACATCGAGTTTTATTTTTATTGTATCACATACTTAAGATCTTCATGATAATCTTGATGAATAAGGTTGGAAAAAAACTAGTTAATTCTGATAGTGGGATAAAAAAGATCATTCACCTAAACACTTTCACGATCGTTCAAAGACTAGTGGTTTTATGATCATGGAATAATAAAATACTGGTTGGGATGATGAAGAGGAGAGGGAATAAATGATTGGAGATCGCTTAGAATTGTTTTTTTAATTCTATTTTGCTACTTTGTTAATTAACTTATTTTTTTTTGTCATTGTCTAGGTAAGATTACCATAAAACAGACTTGGAATATAGTTCAATTTGTTGATAGAAAAAATTCATTTGAATAATCATTTTAATGATAATCATAGAAGTAATAGTTTGCATTTTAATTTCTTGCTTATTTTAAAGAATGCAGTGCTGGAATAAAAAAAAATAAATGCTAACGGTAAGTTAACCTTTTGTTGCTAGTGTAATAGAAGTATCTCATATTCATGAATGCATAGATTTGACTGAACATTTGAGTGTTTGATATCTAGCGTAAAGTGAAAGCCAGTTAGTAGTGATATTACGAAATTGGTAGCATAAATGAGTTGCATTCTAGGCGAATGCCAGTGTCTAGTTGGGAATGATGTTCATGTAAAGTGATTATAAAGCCTAATAAAGCACATGAGGTAAACATGTTGGATGATAATTGATATGAAATTAAGAATGATAAAGGAAGACATTTTTTTTTCCTATTTCTATTAATTATTATTAATGATCAAAATGTGATTGTCATTATGATTGGTGGGTTATATAAAGTGGTAATCAAACAATAATTACAGTAATTTTTTTAGTTTGGTGATGATATAAAATTTTTTGTACTCATAACAGAGTATTAAAATGATCATCGATATTTAATTAAGTGATTGGAAGTCGATGATGGACTAGAGTCCATTAAAGTCAATAAAATAATGAGTTTTATTAGTAATAAAAATTAATTTAAATGTCTCAGATGGACACTGAGGACCCAAATGTTGATAGCATCATTGAAGATGTTGATGAAAATGGTAACACTGTGGTCCAGAGCTTCAAGTTGAGTGATGTATGGGATTTTATTCGTAATAAATTCAACAAAGAGCAAGCTAGCAAAGAAGAGGAATATAATTATTACTCTGATCAATCCATTATAACTAATAATTTCCATTTTAACCAAACAGTATCTGAATGTAATTATAAAATCAATTATATAGCATTTAAAAGAGTTCGATATTATTTTGATGAACATTTAAATAATTTCCTAGCATATCTAAGAGCTTATGAACCAAATATTGATCTTGAAGCTTCATTTATTTTGGGAACATTCCTACGAACACTCTTCAAGCTAATAATACTAGTCACACATTATGATAATTCAGCTATGATTAAGATTGATGGACTTGATGAATTAAATAATGTAACTATTTGCCATAGCATGATGTATGATGCATGTCGAGAACTCTTTGGAATATCAGAGAAACTGGAAAAAATAAAACTTGAACGAAATGATTGGAGTCTTGATAAATGGGGTAGGGCATATTGGAACTTCCTACATTCTTTATCAATTCTGGTTCAATATACCAATCAAAAGTATCCAGAAAGATTAGTTATGGAATATTATGCTGCTCTTATGCTGAACTTTGATGTTATTTTACCTTGTGCTGTTTGTGCTGATAATTATCAAAAGAAAAATCCATTAATGTCGGTATCATTACCAATTATTTATAGCAAAGATGCTATCAAGGTTACTTATGATCTGCATAATTCAGTACGAATCAATAATGGTAATGATATTTATGACTTTCGAGATTTTCTTAATGATTGGCATTTGGAAGCTGATGAAGTTAAAGTCAAAGACATTCGTTCGATTTATAAATTTGAAGTGGAGAAATGAGAAGCTCATTTTTGGCTGGACTTTTGAGAGTAATTTGATGATGTTGATGTAAAAAAAAATAATTTATCAATAATCAAGACTTGTTTAAGAACATACATATTTGTGTGAATAATGACGAATTAATGATTTGTTTAAAACAAGATTCACTGTAGCATTCGAAATTATGTGTTTCAACATAAGGTTTACAGACATTATACATCAACTGTATCACATCATTAGGACTGATGTCCATTTTCCTTTCATGTCGACTATTAATACTATCCAAGCATGCTCTGATGTTGAATGTAACTCTCTGCTGTATTGGCATGTTCATACCAAGGATAAATGGCCACAAGTTGAAGTCAGGCCATGAGTCTCGAATGAAATTTTCAAAATCACGATTATTAGCCATAAATACTGGAATCTTATCTATATCCTGGACACTGGCAAGTGCTGGATATTTTCGACCAATCTGTTGGATGATTCCTGAGGCAAATGAATTTCCTCCTCGAAGGTAAACGTAGGTTGTAAGTCGATCTGATATGAGATCAATTAAGATAGCAGTGACTTCGTGGATTAGAATGCTCTCATGATTGGTAAAGGATATGTCAAAGTGGGAGAATAGCAAGAGGAAGATTCTCAAGACGTAGGAAAGCATCTGCATAGGGTATGTAAGACTTAGACGTTCAACCATCTTAGGGTCATAGGTGAGCAACTGGTAAAGATATTTTGCTGAGTGTTGAAGCATTTCAGATATTGATGTACAAGCAATGACAAGTTTTGATAAGTCACTGTATTGGTAAATAATTTTAATTTGTTCTGGTGTTATTTCAGATATCAATTGGTCCAAAAGGTTCAGGAATACATTAAACATTGATTGGAGATCCTGATCTGAAGCCATCTGATCCATTTGTGACTTCAATTCAGCTGTGATCATCTTCAAAGCATCACGAACTGATGGCAGGCGTTTTACTCCAAGGTAATCCAATGAATGCTCATGAATTGTTGCCATCCATGTCAGAAATTTGTGAGCTGATGATACACTTATTACAGCAAATGTTGGTATTGCTTTGTCATCGTACTCAAATGTCGAATGGTGCTGACGTAGGGATAAGATATTTTCAAAGATGATATATTGAATATCTTTATGAGTAAAACTACCATCGTGGGAGATTTCTATTTGATCAACTTCTTGGGTCTCACTGTTCTCAACAGCCACATGAGTTATCCTACCCTCATTTTGGATTAATTTAAAGTTAATCATTATTTCAATAATTTCGCTTAATTTTTGATTCTATTCTATGGTAAATGATATTTGTATCTGATTTATTTATTAATGTTCTGATCTTTTTACAGCTTGAGACATTAAACTTTGAAGAACAAAAAATAAATCTGCATTTATTCTTAGATAAAGAGAGTTAAGTCTATCTATATGTTGATAATAAATTAATCAAGAAAAAATAATGATTATGTAGTACGCACTCGAATGTAACGATTTAAAGAGTTTAAAAGTGAAAAAAAAAATTTTAGAATGAAACCAGATACTGCTTCACGTCTGTTGTATCAAGAAGCTGCTCTTAGATCTTTCTTACGTTCTGATAGTATTGCTCAGAGTTTTATACAGAATACTCCGAATTATAATATGGAAGATCTTCAACAATTATACTTTGCATCGGCATCAATAAAGTCAAAAAAAATGTTGATTGAGTTTGTTAAAATATCAACAAAGCAACTCTGTATATCTTTACGAGATAAATTGCCTATATTTAGGTATCTTAATCCTGATAATATTTCTACTGATTTAACAGACGATGAGCTGATGCTTTTGATTCATGAAGCTTCACACTCGATGAGTTTAGACCAGCAAATAGGTGGCCATGGTAATATTGCCTTTTTAGTAGCAAAGAATATCATTTTTAATTTAGTTGGAGTCAATGCAACAGCGACATTGAATTCTTTCCTTAAAACACCTGATCTTGGAGCATTTACAGCTAGGAATAAAACATTTGATTCAAGTACACCATCGTTTGGATCAACCGATTACTCATCAACCTCATCACCGCCGTTCCCAATGCCACCACCACCAGCCACATCATCACCACAATATTCAATGCAACAAACAGCTACCTCATTATCACCAGCATCAACTCCATCACCCTATATGCCATCATACGGCTCATCACCGACAATTATTTCCACGTCAATAGCTAATCTATCTTTTATGTCAATGAATTCATCAATGCCACATACTTCAAACTCTTTTATAACGGTATCAACATCTACACCTCACACAACGACTCATTCAGTGACACAGAGTAGTCCTACTCCAGCAGTCACTGAAAAACCTCATAGTACTCCTGAATCTGATGTTGAACCTGACTTTGATGCGAGAAGTAATGCTTCAGAATCATCAGATACGAGGTTTGAAGTCATTGGTGATAGTGGAGATAGTGATGATGATAATACTAGAAATGTTCCCGATCAAAATCAAATAGCAAATTATCCTGATAACAGAGTTGATGCTACTCATAGTGCGTATGATCGAGATGATGATAATATGAGCATTGAAAGCAATTATGATGATGATGAATCTGATAGATCAGAGAGTAATGAAGTTGAGCAGTCTGATGATGATGATGAACCCAAGAAACTTGATAATAATGATGATGATAATGATGATGAACCCGAGAAACTTGATGACAATGATGATGATGATGATAGGAATAATGTTAATAATTATCAGATGATGAAAACTTATGAAACAAAATACGACGACTTGTACGAGCAAGATCACAAAAGCTTTGAACAAGAAATGCTTGAAAATGATGAGATCAAACGAGTCTTTTCAATCTCTAAGCTTGATGATAGCTCTAAAAATGTCCCTATCACTGAAGAAGATAATGATCCTCATTTAAATACCCCACCATCAACACCACCACCTATTCCTTTCCTGGATACCCCTGAATCTCCTAGGAAATTTCCCTTACGCAAAAGACCCAGGAAGCGTAAGGCATCCAGGTATGCTGATGACAATGATGAGCTTGTGAATAAAAATACAGAGGTCCAAAATAAATCATGGCTGGAATCTGATGTTGATTTTGAATCAAATGAACTAGTAAATAAATCTGTTGATGCCACTGATGGTAGAATGATCACAAATATAAACCAAGTCATAGAACGATCACAGCCTCAAGAGAAAAAACTATTCACTGACGAAAGTGTGTTCGATCTTATGAATGATTTGAAACGGAAAGGTGTATTGAGTATACCATCAAGTCCAAGAAACATCACATTTTCTAATATTGATACTTAAAGGCTACCAAATCGTACACTTGAACGTGATAAAATCGAATTAATTGATTGAATAATTAATATTAAGATACAATTTGCTGTAATAATTGATAAGTATTTTAAGTTTTATTTTTTTTCAGCTTTTCATACACATCTGAATAATAGTAATTAATTTATTCATTATTTAGAATATTTATTAAACCATTCTTGGTAATTGGAAAATAAAAAAATAGATCAAGACTTTTATTATATTGTTTAAACATTTTGTCAAAAGAGACATTTTAAATAATGAATAAGTCTATAAATAAAATGGATCTTTTTTTATTTTGTCATATATTTTTTTTCAAATATGTCTAGACAAATTATCTGAACATCAGTGTAAACAGTGAATTGAAATAGATTTAACAGAGATAAATATTTATAAAAAGAAAGAAAGAAAGCCAGCAAATAAGTTCGATTCATTATTGAACGAACGATAAATAAAAGTAAATATAAAAAATGCAAGATGAATTAGTATTAGATTATGAAGCAGAGCAAGCAACAGCAATCTCTGTTGATGAAGAAGAGGACGATAATGTGACAGTGACAATAAATAATTCAGCACAAATAAATTATCCAACAGTGGCTTATGTTTATAACAAGGAAGATAACACATACAATGTTACCAACAGTGAACTTGAGCTTAAAAGTCGTATAGACATGAGTCGTCTGAACAAACAATTGGAAAGTTGTCACACAGACTCACATCTAAGACAATATTATGAAATAAAACAACATTATTTCTTTTTGCAAAATGTCCCTCTAACACAACGCATCAATGTTCCAATCTTTACTGATAGGGTTACCGACACTGTCACCAGAGTCCTGGTTATTCCTTACATTGTACAGAAGCCATCAATTCACGAAGTGATCTACAACCTGGTCAATGGACCCTGGCTGGCCAAACCAAAGCAGAATGTCTTCAAAATATCTGCTGACTATATCAACAAATATATGGACCAAGTGAATACTAATGAGCTTTGGAAGACATCAAAGCACCTGAAGCTGGATAGCAAACATATAGGAATTTTAGCAACATCTTATTTCAAAGTGGGTAAAGCTAAATGTCTAGCAAGCATCACCGTAGGATTCTTTCAGATTGAAAATCAAATAAAGTTATTGGATTTTGTGACGGTGAATCATTCAAATGTGAAGAACTTTCAGCACAATGAGGACCAATTAAGAGAGATGATCAAGAAGTATGATGTAGAGAAAATTTTCTGCTGGTTACCGAATTATGGTACCATCTACAATGCACTTTTTGGTAATGTCTATTGGTTCAACAAAGTTCTGGTTAATTCTGATGGCAGAAATCGTTTGTATAATTTATTTGGCAAGATGTCGATGGAGAAGAACCTGGACACCAAAAGTATTTGTGTTAACTCCATTGAACACAGTGAATTCTGCAGCTTTTGCAACATGATAAGACTAGGAATTAAATTATTTAATGTTAATGAACATCAAATACCATTGAATTTAACTGATAATCAAGACACAGATCATGAGATAGGTTTTAGAAATAAAAGAAATAATGTAATCAACTCTTCTAATACTTTGGGAAAACAATCAACTCATTTCAACCATGGATGTCATAAGTTGAATTCTAGAGGCATGCGTACTTCCAAGATGCTGAATGCTAATAATTCCTGTCATATTAATTCGCTTGGTGGATTTAGAACCAAGCAGAACCGGTGTAATCATAAAGAATGTCTTCTTCAAGGCCAGAATAAGTTGGCTGATAAGAAAGATGATTTTTTTGGGCCTCTTTTTTCACATAATCATCATTATAGACATCATGCTCAACGAAATCGACATCACTGTCATTGAAACCATCAGCGATGTCTCAACAAAGAAGAATAAAATGTACAAATGATAGAATAAATTAGTTTAATGAGGAAAAAATATTTCATTCTTTCTTTGTAAAATACTTCACCTCCTAGATTATTCTTTGATCTATTTAATTCTTAAGTTAGCAAAGAATTGATTCGTTGGACTAGAGGTTTAGGTCTTTGCAATTGGAATCAATGTGTTTAATTTAATTTGTAATAAATTTAATATTGTTAGCATCAAAAGAGCTCTTTCCTTTATCTTCAATCAATCCTGTCAATTAATTGATATTTATATTTTATTCTAATTATAATTATACTTAACGCAACATTATTAAAATTATATTGTTTAAATAATATTATCTGTGAATAGGACAGCAGTTTCATGTAGAGAATCAACAAATTAATCAACGAATCATCCTTGCTAAATGAATCCATCAGCAGCATTGGTATTATGATCAATTAAATTCAAGTTAATTGATCAATTTATGTTTATCATTTATATAGAGAGAGTTGATACAATGCAGACCGAGTCACAGATACTAGACAAAAGTGATTTGTCAGAAGAAACAATTGAATTGTTAAATCAACATGATGACAATCGTAAACGAGCTCATGATGATAATCCACCACTTGATTTATCAGCTCCTAAACAGCAATGTGTAGAGTCTGAAGAAAAAGTGACAGAAATTCCTGAATTTGATAATAACTTTATGTACAAAGCAGTACCAGTTGATTCAGAACGACAACTATCAGTTAGCTATGATATTAAAAATTGTCAAGGTATAATAACTCAAATAAATAGTTTTCTGAAAAAGTTCAGTCCTTATCGAATTAACAATTTAAAGAGTTGCTATGGTGAACGAATAGTCATATACAATGCACTCAACAATGTTAAATTATATTTCTCTCCAGATGTTCCAATGACTTTTGATACAATTAATGAACTTTTTTCTATCAGTGGACACTCTTTGTACCTAGACCTCAATCACAATTACGTGACGACATTGGTATTAAATCTAGAGTGTAAGAAATGCAAGAATAATACATGTACTCAGAAGCCATCAAGTAAAGAACATACTCTTCATTTGGAACAAATAACTGCAGACATTTGGAAAGAGTTGGAGATGTTTCTAGACCTATCACTCTTGAATTATCGTAAAAATATTTTTGTCTTTGTCAAGAATAACAGTTGTAGTCTTTATATTTATTTTAATATATCAGTTTCGATTAATGTGTATGCTTATATCATCAATGCTTTGATCAAATCGCAATCTGACGCAATGAAACAAGTCTTAGAGCAGTACCAGTTGAATCACTTCACTTATCTTCCTCTTCCATACTTAGCTAATCGATGTGATAACAATGTTTATGACTTGCGACCTTTATGGGACAATCATAAACGATCTTTTGATGTCATTCCATCACTAACCAGCTACATTGATTTTAAAATGCAGCTTTCGAATGATCTAAACATGTCCAAGGATATTGTTTTAGCAAAGATCATTTATAATTACACCACAGAACCAGCTCAAAGCTTGATGTATCACGATGATGTAACCAAAGAGTGGGATATTACTGATAGAGTAGAAATAGAAACTGTGTATGTCATGATTATTTTAAATCAAACTCTAGAAGCTAATGAAGCCTTTGGACAACAGTATCCTGTTTGCGAGAATGACATCAATGGAATCCCACCATTCATTCGCAGTCGTAGGAAATTTATCATGGAAAGTGTCAATAAACATTTCAAACAATTCTCTCATAATTTGCTTAAAGAGAGCCAGGTTAACATCAGCACTGATATCACCAATTACCCCCAGAAGTTTGTCTTCACTCACACTAGCAGCAATGAAGTAAACCACAAGATTCTAGCTACGTTGGATAGCATTGGTAGAAATATTGCTAGACATGTGTATCAGATAGAGGTTTCATTACCTGAGGTATCCAAGTCAACTTCAGATCTTGCAAGTATCCAACCTTCATCCAATGAAACTTCAAGCCAACGAGATTTATCAAATGTTATTAAAGTTAGTTATACTTATCGACATATTGGATATCTTATTCAATTCTGCTACGAACCAGACAATTCAATAGGATATGCTTTTTACGTCTTGATCCTATCAATAATGTACACAATGCAGAAGCTATCCATGAGCTCCAATGATCGAGTGCTTGTTATATCAATGCTGAAACAGGTCTTGGTCGTTCAGCAAACTATTGACAACAAACAGCTTCTTTGGATCCTAGACTCACTTCAATCAGTCAACTGTATGTCAGAGCTAGAACGAATCTTCCCTGAACCTTTGCGGATTCTCAAGCAACTAGCAACCTCAGTCTTCCTCAGACGTAGGGTAGAGTCACGGTTGGTGAATGATGCTTTGTCCACTGCGAATAACAATCGAACTAGCATCTCAAGTTCATCATCTAGAAGCTTGGTGTCCACTACACCTATTAGCTATGATGTGCTGCTATTTGATGAGCTATGTCGCTTATACCTGCATGAAGAACTGTCGTTGTATACCCACTTATCTGATCTGATGTTGGAAGAAATCGTCACGACGATATTCCGACAGTACTTGGTGCTATTCTATCGAAATATTATGAGCAATAATGTCATGTATATGTATAAAGACCCGTTGTATATAGAGCACCGAATGACCAACTTTGTCAGTGACACTACAGCTAATAGCAAGCTTCGATTCATGTATGATAAATTATTGACATTTATCATTCCAATTCTAGTCAGTAAATGTCCTAAGTCCAATGAAACCAGATGCCGCAATCAGGCATTTAAAATCATCAAGAATGCATGGTATAATTATGTCAATGAACATATTCCTGTTAAAAATGTTCACTTTGGAAAATATAGATACTTTGTCTGCACCTTGCGTGGGATATTCAATAACATCACTGGACTCTACATGTGTGGAATCCCTCAACTCTACTTCGAAAATGCTAGCAGTTTCTGTATCCTTCCACCTCTTGGGATTGGTGATATCAGTTCCAATCTCAATAATAATGACAAAAATTTCGGCCTCTTTGATGTCAGAAGTCATAGCAACACTGTGAGCATCGTAGCAGCTGGAGATGATGTCAGTGGACATAATTATCACACTCATCTGCGTGAGATCAATGATGAACTCATTGGTAGAATAGACAAATGGAAGAAACATGTGCATATTTATATCACGTCACAAGATAAGTTGTTTTATTTGTCAGTGATGGTACCAGGGTTATTGAAAATTGGAGAATCAGTGTTCAACAAGCAAACACGTTCGTTGATTATCAATACGATCACTGACAGATTATGTAATGATAATAATCAAACAAATCATGAAGAATTGTTCTACCTTTTGCCGGTAATTCAATACCATTCATTTGACTCCAATGTCATCATGGCTCTTGCACGTTGTGTTGATAAGTTGATGAATGATAAACATACTGTAGTGACATCTCAGACTATCCTTAATTTATTTAACGGTTTATACAAGAGTGATGTTAACAATATTTACAAAGAAATTGGTAGGAATGATGATACAAAGATCTCTTATGAGAGTTATGTAAATGCAGTTCAGTTGTATGATGACATTGTCAAGCACTATTCCTATCGTCCGAATCGAAGGATATTTGCCTTGGGATTCATCTGGACTCTTATCGAGTGGGACAATCGTGATGATGACACCATAGCTGCTAATTTCAATATCCAACATCTATCATACAATTATCGAACTTTGAAGGAAGCAATTAGTTCAGCAGAACCAGAAGATATGTCAGCAACATTACGTGGTGATCCATTTGGTATGACTCACAGGCCTTTTAATCTACGTCAATTCACCTGTGAGACTAATGAAAACTTTCGTCGAGCTTTTGACATAACATTCCAATCAACCGCGCTCAAGCCATCAACGACATCAATGGAACCAGAGAAAGATTCAGTTTATCGTCTTGACATTTGTATGTATAATGCATTCTTGAGTCTTTCAATTATCTTTCGGTTTGATACAAAAACTATTGAAGACTATTTGAAACATAGTACACTAATATTTCAGCCTTTTAATAACTGTAGAAGGTTCACCTTGTATTATGGAGAGCCACGTTGTGGCAAGTCCTTTCTAGCAAATTTAATCATTCGTGCTGCTGAACCAAGTGTTTTTAATGTGCTTTCTGATCTCACCACTGCTGCATCAGCAGCATCACCATCTCCAGATCTGATCAAAGCTTTCCAATCGTATGTGGTGTGTATCAAAGAAGTACGTAAATTAGCAGAATCATTGCTCAAAACTATCACTGGTGAAGATCACATGGATCAACGTGATTTGTACAAAGGGTATCAGAAACTCACACCGATTTGTTTCATTTTCGGCTGCACCAATCAAATACCACAAATTGATGCTGATGAGGCTGTTAAAGATCGGCTATCAATCTTTCATTTTACTAATCGAATTGAACCTTGCTATAATTTCCGTGATAGCATTGATGACAATCAGCTGCTGTTGTACATCAATGAACGTACAATTCAGCCACAGATAGAAGAATTCGTCACTTCTATTGGACTCTACAATGTTTTCTATGGCATGTTTTGCTTAGCTAGGAATCAGTTTGGCCTGGTGATACCAACAATTAATAATCAGAGCTCTAAACAAATCATGGCTAAATTCCTGATTCATAACAGCACCATGTATTGTATTATGAATGATTGCAAGATTGAAGTCTGTGTTGGATACTCAATTAAAATGGAAGACTTATTGAAACGTGCTGGACGTGCTATAGAGAAATCTAAAAGAGCAATGCGTACTAATTATCAGCTACATGATTTTATCCAAGATTTCTCACAGCATTTCCGTCAATTTCGTGTTCGTAATAAGGCTACAAATAATGATGAATTCATTGGAGTTGGATTACCACCAACTGATGTCAATCAAGTGAATGTTATTGATATGATATTTAGCCAAGTATGTCGTCATTTATACAATGTACCACAGTCGAATACATTTGTACATATTTCTGATATACGAAAATTGATTATGTCAAAATTAAAGGCTATTTTTAAAACAAAAATTGAACGTGAAACTGAATACATTACTAGAATTTTACTCAAAGTTAAAAGTGTTTATCATGAATTTTATAACATCGAACAACAATGTTTTCACAATATAAAAATTATTGATAAAATTGAATGATTAGTTTTACATAAAATATTTTTTTTTTCAGTTAATTCTGATAACTCTACTCCATTTCTATGACTTCCGGTTGAACAGTTCGCTTTTTCTTTTTGATCTCCATGAAACGACTTAATATAACATCCCAGTACAAGATGGAAACAGCTGGAAAAAATAATTTTCATTGTTTTTAGAGGGTAAAAAAATTACATAAAGTTTTCATTACTTGAATTTTGATTCTTACATAAAATAACGGTCCAGATAACGGTAGTTACTATTACATTTAAAATATCTTTTGCTACCAACTGAGAAATAATAGCCATCAATGCTATTACAGCAATGGCTCCGGTGATAAGCAATTCCCACATAAGATGGGGAATTAAAAGCAAACGTTTGTTCTGTAATGTTATATTTTAAAGTCAAGATAAATCAAAATTTATTTCAAAGTTCTTCTAGGTTTTGATGAATTGATAATTACCTTCATGGATCCAATGATCATCAACGAACATGAGATAATTCCCATGATGCTGAGAACAAGAATAAATATATCTTCACCTTGATGTTTTTCATGATAACTTATTGAAGACATTACAACAACAATGAAACCCAATATCTAAAAAGAAAATATATTTTATTTCAAAGTAGATAATAACAGAAAATGATTGATCAATATTTTGACATTACTTACCAGATCTAAAATCCCAAAGAGAATACATGCTGTTGATAAACTTAAGCAGCAAAGATTATCTATCGTGAATCTTCTAGCCATCTTTAAGTTTTGTTTTAAAAAGTGAATAAATTGAACAAATTTATTTTAGAAGTACACTGAAAGTTAGAACTTTTGGAAATGAGTTACCAAAAAGAATCAACTCAATATGTAACCTGTTGATGAAAATATCAGACTGATGGAAAGAATATTAAAAAAAAATGATGCACTTTAACAATAACAGTTAAATTCCACTTTAGGATTAATGATAAGTAATTAAAAAAATATCGTATAATGATTCAAAACAGTTTTTTATAGCCTCAGGTAGTTTAAACAATAAAACAATATATTATTTTGACTTATTTTAGTGCTAATGAGATAAGCTTACCTAAATATTCTTTTGATAATTAACTAACTCAATGGCTTAAGTAATATAATCAATTGAAAAAATAGGTTTGAGCACACTTTGTCTGTGCTAACATGACGAACTTCCCATTATTAATTATTTATAACAAATTTAAAGTGTTATAAATAATTCTTAAAAGTCATATTTGGTTGTGAATAATAATGTTTTTTCAATAACGACTTCATTATTAAATAAAATTGTTATTGTTTAGCTTAAAAGTATTTTAAGTAGCTAATCTTTTCATTTATTCATTAGCTATTTTGTTATAAGCACTTGTAAAAATAAATATTACTTTAAGTGTTGATTTATATCAAGTGTTTTATTGGTATTAGATTTAAAAACCATTCTTGTTTACTTACTGATATAAAGCAATATGAATACAATAGATACAATTAATTGAAATAATTAACATGTCATTTTATTAGATAATTTTTGTAGACTTCTTAGTCCATCTCTACAAGAACTGGTAGGATAGAATGATTATATTTAATTTCTACAAATCGATTGAACATAATATTCCAGTATACAAATGAACAGACTGAAAAGAAATAATTGTCATTGCAGGAACAAAGGATAAATAAATAATTTGGATTTTAATTCATACCCAAGCCAAGGCTGAAAAGAACCACAGATATTATTGATGCTATCACTGCTTGACTTGATATTGCAACGCCAGCAGTCAACATTCCTATCAAGCCAACACGAAGAATAGCCCATGCAAGATGAGGAAATATTAGCCAACGTTTTTCCTAAATTATAAGTTACAATTTAATTAAAGGAGACATTGATAACTAGTAATTACTTCTTGGTGGATTGATTATTACCCATTTGGATCCAGCAATCATAAGCAAACATGTGAAGATTCCAATAGCAACAGTAATGAGCAAGACTATATCATCAACAACATGATATTTATAGAAATTCAGGGCACATACTATGATCATAATAGCACTCAATACCTACAAAAAATATTATTCATCCAAAATAAATAGCAACAAAAATTCAGGAAAAAATGATTAGATCTTGAAGTTGGTCTGATCTAGTTAGATTCAGAATCAGATATGATCAAATTGAATCTGTTCAGATCATTCTGACTATTAGATCTAATTGGATCATGACAATATAGACACTGCAAATGATAGTGTTTTATTTCAATGCACTTGAAGTGTTCTGATATGATATTACCTATTTAATTAGCATTATGACACTTTTTAAACATATTCGAGTGCATTAAAAGTGACTACAATGATTATCAAATAGGGATCATAAGAAGATCTAAATAAATCTGTCATCAATCAAGGTAGATTCAACTAATAAGATCTGATCATTTTTTCCTAGCAAGTTATTTATTGATACTTTGCATCATTGCTCACCAAATCTAAAATCCCAAAAAGAAAACAGGCTTTTGATAAGCCCATGTTACAAATCTTGATCGATGTGAATGTTGATTCCATTTTTTAATAATTGTTTGCTACTTTTATTACACTGAACTATTTCAAATAATGACTCACAGTGAAGATATTCAGAATGAAATTAATGAAAAAAGGAATTTAATTTTCAACTTGTTGATGAAAGTATCAGACTGATGGAACAAATATTCATCAAAATGATACACTCAAAGAATAACTGTTAATTTTTACTTTTGATTAATGATTTGGGATACTTTTTTATAGCCTCAGGAATTTAAATAATACTAGGAGATACTATTCTTACTTACATTAGTGATAATTACAAGTAAGCTTACCTAGATGTTCATGTGATAATTAAATAGCTCAATAGTTTGAATTACTATTAATTAAACAACGTTATTAATTTACTTATTGAAACAAGTAATCAATTAGCAGTAAATTGAAAGAGTTTCTTTTCAGTTACTAATAATATAAAGTAATATAAAAATCATTGATAAAATTGAATAACTTATGTTATATGAAATTAATTGTTTAAGAATAGTTGGAGATTGTGATGAGTTTTCAGGCTCTTGGGACACAATCTGATGGTGAGCACTGCTTTTCTTTGATTTGTAAATACCGACTATATATAACACTCCAGTACAAGAACGAAAGAACTGGAAATAAAAATATTCATTGTTTTAAAGAAGCAAAAGATGATAAATAAATTTTTTATCACTTGGATTTGATACTTACTTGGAGCACAGCTGAGAATAATAATGATTTTTTCTAAATCTATTATGTGATCACCCTGTAAGTAATGGCCAAATAGAATTACACCTACTACAGCATAGACTACGATGAGAAACAATTGCCACGCAAGATGAGGAACCATCGCCAATCGAGTTTCCTGTAATATCATAAATAGTAATTTAATTTAATGAAATATTAATCGGTTCAAATAAATTAATAATTACCAGTATAGATCCAGACATCATGAGCAAACATGTGCAAATTCCAATAGCAGCAAGAATAAATAAAATTTTAGGACCAATGCTAGATGATTTGTGTAAAAGTTGTATCATCACTGCAATAATGTAAGTATTTATGATCTGAAAAAAATAATTTGTTGAAGAATGAGATAATTAGGAAATTTTAATTATTATTTTTTCGTTACTCACCAAATCTACAAGTCCAAGAAGAAAGCATGATTTTGTTAAACTTAAGCAACCAATCTTTTTGAACTTAATTGTAAATGCCATCTTTTAATTTATTTTTATGTCAATGTCACTTCAAAGATAGGTCGAGTAAATTTAAAAAAAAATCGATTTAAAATATTTAACTGATAATCGTTTAATACTCTAGATCATAATCGACTGAACAGAGTGTTTGTTGAAGCATTTACCATATTAGATACCTTTAATTTCAATTGTTCCGTTATCTATTTGACTTTTCAAAATAAAGTTTATTTTGAGTGGCGTCGAGCGTCTGGCGTCTTTAAGCAAAGGGGGGCAAGGGTTTGGTTAGTTAGGGAAGCTCAGCGCCCCTGTGGGCAATACAGATGTTGAAGTGGTGGTGTTACTTCATTAGACGCTGGTCAAAGTTAACAACTACAACACAAACGAGTTTGCAACTTACAATGTCATAACTAACCAATTATAATCTTCAGGTAGTCTATAACAACCTAGAGGTCTAGGTGAAGGCAATGGTCCTTTTAACATAAAGGAATTTTAGTTAAATTTGAATTGTTGCCCATGGATTGGAATAGCATCAGCTAGTCATCAGAAAGCAAAGAAAGCTTCGATAACTGCAGAAGAAATGGAGATGCTGATTGTAAAGAATGGAGTTGTCTAGATTTCATGGTCTAACTTGTGGAAACTTGAAGTGGTATGTTTGAATTATATAAAGGATTGATTGAAAACTAATTATTTGTTTTCATGCAATTCTATTCTTGATCTTTCTTTTCTATGCATCATATCTGTAGCATAGAGTAAATGTATTGTTTGAATCAATTAAAATTATTATTTATTCCAACAATACATTTAAGTAACTTCAGTTACTCAGTCAATGTAATTTTGAAATTACCTGTTGGGGTTAGGACTCTTCCTAACGAGCCACGTTCATCAGAACGTATGGAAAAACAAAAGACTTTTACAGTACCAAGCAAAGCATAATTTCAACAATGATTTCCTCAAAAAGAGGATAATTTTAAAGAGTTGAAAATTTTTGTACTGTTTTGTGACAAAATATCAAGTGTATTACATTGAGAAAAATTCGGAAGTAACCATTATTCCATAATTTGATTTTTACGTCTAAAGAATAATTTTATAATTGAAATTAATTTGGAACAAACAACTCCAAAAAAAGAAAAGCTTCGATCTGTTTTAAAGACGTAATTAATTTCTACTTTACCGGCATTTTGCTTCATACTCATATGATACTAATTTTGTTTGTGAAAACTGCATTATCAACAGTAATTATTTACAACGGTCGGCAATGCAAAAATCACTGTCGATAAACAATTTTTTCGGGACATTACGAATTTTGAGATTTTGCTCATTTTTTGCAATTAATATTTCGAAACACTACGAGTTCAGAATGTTAACTTTTAAAAAATTAAATTCATATTTTATTCAAGACTAAATTTCAAGCCTTTTGCAAACATCCCTATTCTTCCGACTCGTGGCGCCCCCATGACAAAACATTTTAAAAATCGGTTTAATTTAATTCAGGCTTTTTCTTTAAAAGAATAATTTTTTTTTACAATAATATTTATGAATATAGAACGAAGTAAATTCATTTTTTTAATAATATTATATAAATGGTTGGATTGTTTACCATTGAGATGACTTATTTTGTAAAAAATTGGATTATTTTTTTATGATAATTCTAAATAAGATATAAATAATCTCTACAAGATAAAAATCACTCACTTCATTCCCCTTATCATCTTTGAAATTCGATGAAAAATATTTTCTGATAAGACAAAGAAGTTTCCAAGCATATCGTCAGCTTCAGGTATCAAATAAATATTTATTGGGTCCAATCAATGATGATTATCCTTTTTTATCCTTTCTCTAGTGACTGGATCTTATCTGAAAGATATTGTTGAGTTTAAATATAACGATTGTTGTGATAGATAAAGAAAAAAAATTGATTTTAAAAATCAACATAAAGAAAAAAATATTCAAATAATTTTTTTAATATTGACAAAGTATTCTTTTAACTCTAAAAATGTAAAAAAATAATATGAATTGTGAATTTTTTCAACCTCTTATATTCTACTTCACTCTTACCAGAGTCCATTATGATCTCAGGTGACACCATTAGTTGATGTTTCATCTTTTCCTTCACCTCATCTAGAAGTCTCTATTCTTCATCCCCCTCTGTACATTATCTAAAAGCTTTCATCATTAATTTCGTTCAATTCAACATTCTATGATATCAATACATAAAAACTGTATCATATTCATAGAGATTCTTTCCAAAGTATACAACATAAATATACTTGGTAATAATTGTAGAGTATTTTACAAATTTATGTATTTTTATTTCAAGTAACTGTATGATCTGGTTGATGATACCTTGCTTCTTGTGAAGCTCGACCCTTCATGCTCCAGAAACTCAACATTACCCATACAAACCAGGACCAAGATCAAGTCATGATTGATAACACCATTGATCATCAAATAGTGTTATCATCTAGCCATGACCCAGTTGGAACCCAGTCATGGGTCCAGTCCAATCCTACTTGAACAATCAATTTTTGCTAAAGGTCTAAATGCTTTCCATGAAGCTTTCAATATCATCTTAGACCTTTCTATGCTCCAGCAACTTAACATCAATAAGGTTTCTGCTGATGGTGTTGGACACCACTGATGATCAGACATTCACAAAGCACTTCAAACAAACCTTGACTCTTTTTTTCTTCAATATCTGTGGTCTTGACTTGGTTGATGCTGTTGGACCTGAGTAATTGTTTAGAATAAAATAAATCTTTCATGTAAACATCACCAGAGCTACTGCTTAAAGTAGAAAAGTACCTTGAAATGGACAATAGTATTCTTCAATGATTCTCATTATTACTTGTGGTATTTTTTTTTTTTCACCAAAGTTGTAAGTTAGGTAAGGGTTTTTACATTTTTTTACTGACCATTTAATGACCAATAAAACCTTTGAATATTTTCTTTCTTTTGGTGAAAAGAATCTTCTTGCTCTTTTTTCCTCTTACACCTTTATAAGATACTTTATTTATTACGTGAATGTCAGCATCAAAACACGTATTGAGAATTTTCTTTTGATTTTGACAATACGTCAAATAACGGATATCTTTTCTGATTCTTTTATCTACTTTTTTTCTTTACTCTTTAAAATCGCTTCCTTTTAAAGTCTAACGACAAATAAAAAATCAGTCATATTTTATTTGAAAAATCTATAGATATCAATTTTAAATAGTTTTCAATAATAAAATGTGCATTGTAAAAAATTATTTTCTATTCTGTTGTATGAATAAAAAATGCACTTGAGAGAATTTATTTGAAATAAATTCATATCAGTTGGCAAACAAAAAAGAAAAAAAAAAAGGGTTTTGATTTAAAAGACTGAGAAGATTTGTAATTTATTGTTAAAAATAATTCAAAAGAAATAAATTTCTAAAGGGTTTTAATGTACATACATAGTTGAAAATCAACATTTTTCTCAACATTTTCTAAGAACTATAAAAAAAAATGTGTGAGGATCAGCTGTAGCTCATAAATATTCTCATCCCTTTTATTCCAAAATGTAAGAAAAAGAGCTCTACTTCTAGTAGTTGTTATAGTGGTATCTAGTGTATCAAAAGGATTTCTAAAAGTGGTTTCTCCTACTGACCATTTGATTGTTCTATGAAATATTGCATTCCAACTTCTAAAAGTCGGCTAAACTCTTTACACTAAATTTCAACGCTTTAGAAAGAAAAAAAAAAATACAAGAAATCGTTACAACATTTTAGGGTTACCTGCTGAGTAAATTATGACTGCGGGTGTAATGGAGTCCTTTTCATAGTCGTTACTATTTTTCCTTTATAAGAAAATCTGTTTTTCTACACTCTTAACATTCCATTAAAAATAAAATAAAAAATATTTAATTATTTTTTATTTAAATCTACAAATTAGCTTCAGGTTATCAACCTAATTTATCTTTAATAATTTTTTTAAGGGTAGTAGAGGGTTGGAATAATTTTTCTAAAAATAAAGGGTCTTAGAACAGACGATAAGCTTTAAAATGAGCTTTGGTTGATTAAAATTCGACCATTTTTCACCAAGATATAACCTTTTGAATCTAATTAACATTTTTTAATTTTCTCATTTCTTCTTTATAACCTAAAAAAAAAATTTTCTTCTCCATTATCCTTTTATTTAAATATCTAAAACCATCACTACACTCAATAATAGTGTCCCTAAGTTTAAATAAATGACAAAAACATGTTAAATTGACTCCTACATGTGTTAAAAGTGGTCTAGAAATATATAACTCATTGTCCCCGGAAGTCAAGAAGAGACATACACACATAATGTCCTTAAAATCCTTCAAGTAGTATTGTTTTACATTTAATGTCACGGCTGCATGCTGAGTCGACAAATGTCGCGCAAAAGTAAACGCAAAATGTTAGAAATGAACTGGGAAGTGGAAAGTTAAAGGAAAGAAAAAAAAATAACATTTGAGGTTATTCCTGATAGTTAAAATGTAAGCGAGGAATCTGAAGACCATAGGGGTCCTAAAGGACTTGAATCTTTGGATAAAACGACCTGAAGACATGATGGAAACCATTCCAAAACGATTCCATAAGTTGACCCAAGATTGCGCGGTCCTTTTGTATTTTTTTCCTTCTTCTTTTTCGGGTAGAATGGATATCCGGAGTAACGAAAAACATGCGTGCAAGTGGTTCAAAGTGATAAATAGAGAGAAAGACAGTTTTTTACGACACATTTGACGAGGAAAAACTCTTGGAATAAATAAAAATCATCATTTTTCAGGGAAATCATCAATTTATTGATTCTTTAGATCAATAAAAATTTATAAATTACCGTTAAAATATCGTCATTTTAAAGAATTTATTGTTTATTCGTTTTCTTTAGAATTATTTGGTAC